GTGTTCTAATCCTCATTAAACACTTTTTAAACCAAGTTATTACATCAGGAGCGGTGGTACTCACTCAGAGTAAACCTACTGAAATCAACGGACTTAACTTAAGTCATGTTTGTTGATTTCAGTAGGTCTACTTAAATACCACCCAAGAGACGTACTTAAACCTCTTGTTTAAATGAGTGGGGCATGAAAATGATCAACTTTGGCTGGATTGTACTACTGCTGATTTTCAAGAAGGAAAAGCAGTGTCACTTACCTCTTGGAGGGCAGGATACAATCAGCAGCCCCACTCCCAGCTATAACATTTTTGCTATCATATCGCCCCACCCCATTCAGAGGCCCGTTTCAGATACTTATTCGAATATAAATAAAATGCCATTACAAAAGCACAATTCAGCTTGCTTGCTTTTTAAAAAAGTACTGTTTTGAATATAAAAGGTTATAAGGATTTTGAAATGTAATGATTCATAAATGATGCTGACAATAAGATCATAAAACAAAGAGAAAGCAATAGGCAAACAACATATGGCTGTTAATCTGACCATTAAGATGCCAAGTTCTTTTAATGCATGGAAGGGAAGAGGCAGGAAGCTGTCTTATACCAAAGCAGACCAGTGGCCCAGGATCTAGCTCAGTATTGTGCACAATGATTAGCAGTGGCTTCCCAGGATTTCAGGCAGGGAACATTCCCAGACCTGCCTGCAGATGCCAGAGATTGAACCTGGACCTCCTGCATGCAGTGCGGATGCACTGTTGCCAAGCTATGTTTTAGCCGTCCACTTGAAGTCATTTCCTGGAATGTGTCTGCTGTCGTATGCTGACAGCTTCTACGAGCCACAGCTGAGAGCTGAGAGTTCTTGGTAGGGACCAAAGGTGGACGGACTACCCCAGAAAGAGCATGGCATGTCAGCCACCAGAGGTACTGTTGTTGTTTAGTCATGTCCAACTCTTCGTGACCCCATGGACCAGAGCACGCCAGGCACTCCTGTCTTCCACTGCCTCCCGCAGTTTGGTCAGACTCATGTTTGTGGCTTCGAGAACACTGTCCAACCATCTCGTCCTCTGTCGTCCCCTTCTCCTTGTGCCCTCCATCTTTCCCAACATCAGCGTCTTTTCTAGGGAGTCTTCTCTTCTCATGAGGTGGCCAAAGTATTGGAGTCTCAGCTTCAGGATCTGTCCTTCCAGTGAGCACTCAGGGCTGATTTCCTTAAGAATGGAGAGGTTTGATCTTCTTGCAGTCCATGGGACTCTCAAGAGTCTCCTCCAGCACCATAATTCAAAAGCATCAATTCTTCGGCGATCAGCCTTCTTTATGGTCCAGCTCTCACTTCCATACATCACTACTGGGAAAACCATAGCCTTAACTATACCTAACACCCCATTATTATCCCTCTGCAACATATTCGATTCTGCGACGCCAAGCACATCCCCACTGCCATTGCATGTTATTCGCTGCCACTAGCAGGTGTGGGAAACATGCAACTTAATGCCATGCACTGTACTGAATGCCATGCTGCAGAGGGGGAAAGGGGAGCTCAACATGAGGCTTCCATTCTCAGCAGCAGCCCTGCACTCCCAATGTGGCTCTGCCCCATTGCAAGGCTCTTCTACATGGCCAAAGCAAGCAAGCAAGACGGTAAAGCCTTGCTGCAAAACTCTTGCAGATTTTTTACCCGCCAGCAGTTTTATTCTACCTACTCGCAAGAGGGAGATTAGCCTGGCCTCACAAGAAGTATCATCTGTGCCACTTCTAAATAAGAAAACCCAAGGGACTATGCATATGCCAGCCCTGGATAAGAGAAAATGTACAGCATACAAATGACCAAAATAACAACTGGTAACATTCAATTGTCAGTAAGAAGCCTTGTTGGATCAGGTTGAAGATCTATCTAGACCAGCATCCTGTTCCCATGGTAGCCAACGAGATGCTTTTGGGAAGCCTGCAATCAGGCCCTGCGTGTAACCGCATTCTCCCTAGTTGTGTTTCCCAGCAACAGGTATTCAGAGGCATTCTGCCTCCAACAGTGCAGGCTGAACAACTGCTATCATGACAAAGAGTCATGGATATAGCCTTATGCCCTCTCTGAATTTCTATGATCTCTCCTTTAAGGCCGTCCAAATTGGCAGCCAAAACCATCTGCAGCAGTGAATCCGAGAGTTTAATTATGTGGCACTTGTAGAGGCATTTCCTTTGGCCTGTTTCAAATCTTCCAACATGGGATAACCGCATGAAGCTTCAGTATTAGATGAGGAAAACCCCTCTCTGGACACTTTCTCTCGACACCAGGCATAATTTCATACACCTCTATTTAGTGGCTGGGCTTCCAAAAGGGCTACAAAAGTGCTGCTGCAAAAAAGGTCATGGTGCTTGACAAAAAGTCATTTTTAACTAGTGACAAAAATAAAATAAAAAATGACATAGGCATTAGGAAGGCAAGGGGAAGACTTTATAACAAGCAGTATCCCCAAGTTCAGAAACTGTCAAAATCACTGCTATCTGGGCTGGGAGCTGAAACTCACACAATCCCATTGATAAATATTGTGGTCAGAGGATAGCCCTATTGTGTGGTTTCACTGAGAAAAGACATATAGGTTTCTTCTTCTATCACAATCTTACAAATAAACCCGTATCCCATAGACACTCTTTTTCTACTATCAGCCATTTTATTTTGTGTGTGTAGTTTCTAGACACAGGCACACGATGGCAGCAAACCCTCAGTAACAGCTTGCCATGGGACAAAGAAAAAACAATTTCCCTGCTTGCAAGATAGAAACAATAGAAAATTTTACTAAAACGGATTGATAATGCCCTGGTGCCAGGGGAATGGTTATTCCAACTGTCACCATACTATTTTCTCTCTCTATGGAAAGCACAAATGTAGTTTCATGCAAGTTGTTCAGCATAATTTAAGCAAAAATGGGAAAAGCAAGCCTAGTTAAGCACACCAACTGTAGGGAAGGAATACGAGTAAAAAATAAAATAAATACAGGCTGCTTTTGCAAGCTGAAGCAGTAAGGAAAGAAAATGGGCCTTTGGGCTTGCTGGTGCACTAAAGTGTTGTTTGGAAAAGGGGTATCTGTCACTCCTTCACAATGACCCCCCCGCCCCGTGACAGACAAGCAAGCAAACACTAAACTCAGCTACTAGGAAAGCCCAGCTTGCAGTCCTTACTAATAACGATCAATTCTGTCTTAGGCACTTCTATGTAGAAGCAAGCCTCACTGAGTGCCAAGGGACTTCCTCCCCAGTAAACATATCTAGAGTGAACAAGAGGTTACCGAAGAAACAGGCATGTTCTTGGGGCTGCCCTGCCATATCCACCCTTTAAAAAGTCCCTTAAATCAAGTTCCTAACTTCAGTCTTGCTCTTACAAGCTACTTTTCCGAAACTTGCTTTAGCAGTTTTCGCTCGTTTGTTGTTTTTTTTAAAAAAGTGGCAGTAACTTACAAGGGCTGACTTCTTTTATTCTGAAGCAGTGAACAGCTCCCATTAAGTCCACTCATTTCAGTGGGTCTACTCTTGAGCATGACATAAGTGGGATGCAACCCTGTGGTCCTAATGGTGGGCTCTGCTTCCTACCCACCACCAAAGCAGCTGTTTTGGGTGACGAGTTTAATGAGACCATAGATCCCACATCTCTTATCATGTCTACTTTTGCCCACAAGCTGCCTGCTTCTTGGCGTTAAATGTCAGATGAAGTGACGCAGTAGTGGCCTGCTTGTGATCAGGATCATCATGATTATTTGAGAGAAGTGTCAATATGTTATTAGTCAGAACACAGTGTGCTTTAAATAGACTGGCAAGCAGCAATGGTTTTTAAAGAGCCTGTGTCTCTTGAAACTGAGCAAGTCCAAACTGTGCATAATATGTAAACTTGTCCATTTTCCTGCATGAGTGATATTCTACATTTTGAAAGGACACTGGACTTTGGTGAACAACATTCCTCTCAAGTGGTTGTTCTTGTCTGTCCTGGGGCCTCACAGTTCAATGGTCTACAGAACAGAAGGGTTCAGGGTCTTAAGATAGGTTTTGTCATTGGCAGGACTGTGGTGGTAGCTGCTGGCATGATTCATAAATCACAGAATTGTAGAGTTGGAAGGGACGACGAAGGTAATCTAGTCCAACCCCCTGAAATGCAGGAATCTTTTGCCCAGCATGGGGCTCAAATCCACAACGCTGAGATTAAGAGTCTGAGCTACTGTGATGTGAGATGTGAAATAGGCTTGACTCTCTGGTGGCAAATCATTATTGCCATGGTGAAGGTTCACATTAGGAGACCCCAAGATGCTGGAAGTCAGTTTTGATGACTTTGACAACCCTGAAATTGGGTTTTTTTCTCCTCTCTCTCTTTTTCAGCATTTGACTAGCCAGCCAAAGCTATGAGAAAGCAAGAGTGAAATACTGACAGTAGATTTTTATTTTGTTAAAAGAAAAGAAACAAGCGAACAAAGAAAAAGAGAAACCAAACTAGTAAAGGTGGTATTAGTAAGCAGCAAAAATTCTTCAGCCTCTCTGCGCCTCATTTGTTTGAGGTTAGGTTGGCTGGGACTCAGTCCTCCTCAGTGGCACCTCAGTTTTGGGACCTAAGATAATTTGATGTACTTAGCCCTATTTAAGCATCAAACAGACAAAACTTATAGCTGTGCGGAAAAGCAAGCAGCTGACAAATTCTAAAATAAATAAAAAGTAAAATACCTCTTACTCTTCTGTGTCTGTTCAATGTCCAAGAAGCACATGAAAAAAAGAAAACATCTGCATATTTGCTAATGTTGAATAGGAAGGCTGCAGTGCTCTCAGAACAGTTTCCATTGCTAGGCAGAACAAGAGAAGAGAATAATATAAAATTGTAAGTAAGCATGCCAAGTAGTGATGCAGTTAAGTATCAACTACCAGAGAAATACAGCTGGATCAGAATGGAGTTCTTGTTTTTAAAGGACACATGTAAATGTAACCTGGCTTTCAGAAGGAAAATGGAAACCCAACATGACCCATTTTTTTTCTTAAACAGTTTAATTAAAAAAAGAATTAAAGAAACTTAAAAGAGCCCTGAAAAAATTGGGAAATCCCAAAGCATATTGTGCGTCACCTGCTTTAGTAAAAGAAACACAATAATCAAAAAAGATATTTAGTTTAATACAAATTTTATACAAAGAAAATGTGAAAAAATACTTCCATATGCTAAAAGCAATTATGCTTCACAAATAAGGCCAGCTAGGCTATCTTTGACACAATGCAATTCACAAATATTCTGCTCCTGATTTTTTTTTCCTTCTAGCTTTTTTCTTCTTCTTTCTTCTAATGTGTGTACTAGCTGGAGACTGTACAAACTGCATCCTTTATAAACAATGGGAGAAATCAATATGACTAAAATGTACAACAAAATGTACTGGAATGATATAATACAATTAATTTGCTCATATACATACATCACCTTGGTTTGTTCAATGCTTTGTTTACACAACATACAAAATGGTACTACAGTTTAAGTGTAACAGACAGTGTTTTCATGGGTTACTTTCTCTCTCATACTGTACTGTTTCATGCTTACATAAAAACATAAAAATCCCATAATACATGCTCTATTCCAGCATCAATGTCCTTTGCCCTCGTTTCCTGGTAAAGAGTCTTCTCCATCTATAGCTCTTGTTCCCTTTGAAAACAATTTCAAAGTCCTTTGGACACTTAAAAAAAGAAGCAGCAGCAATACAACTGAAACATAACCTAGTAGGAAGCATACGCCCCAAAATCCATTTTCATTATCTCTGGAAATATTGATCTGATATTTAGCTTCCGACTTTCCTTTTCTCTTAGCATGAATGAAATTTAACCCCCCCTTTTTGTAAACAATCTCTCTCATTTTAAATATGAAACACAAAATATGTCCTTTAATGTACGAGGAGCCTTAAGATTGGAAATGCTTGATTTAACAAATTTAAAACGGCAAGTTCCAGCTTCAGTTGCACAAACCAATGTGCAGGCGTGTGTTTTTTTCCGTCTCCAAAGGCAAGGCAAGTGGTTCAGTCTTCTCATTCTTGATTTATGTGTGCAACTGCAGTTCCCAGAAAACCATTTCTCTTGGTGGTGTTTGTGGCAAGTCTGATTTAACCTTTCCTTCACCAGCTTCCAACACTCCTTATACGTCGAAGTCAATACAAATATAAAAAGGAGATGGTACTCTAACATCATCCACAAAATGTACATAATTTACAACAGAAGCATAGATTTACCATGAATTTTACCAGTCCTCAAGCTTTTTAAAGCCAGCGCTAATGCTTTACATTAATGTAGTGTAATAAATGCTTTGTACACCTGTACAAAGCTAAAAGTCTGAACCTTTGAGGTTAATCCAATGAACTGCGGGGATTTTTAAAAAAACATTTCTATTACAGAGACGATTATATACTCCAACAGCTGCCTGGATTCCTTTGTTAGCAGTTAGACTCTCCGTACTTGGACAGGCATTGTGGTCTGAACATACTGAACTCCTGTTCTCATTGCCACGGTCCCAGCTGTAGGGCTTACTACTACAGGAATGGTCTGTGGATTAAAACCAAAACACACATGTCAGCAACCACAAGCACAGAAACGTAGGATTGCCTGTCATGAGAAACCCTCAGCATGATACTACCAGGGAAATAAAGGGCATAATACATAATAATACACTACTGTACATAATAAGCACTCTGAGCCGGGTGCAAGATATTCAGTACCGAGTCAAAAAAATGAGTTTTCCTATTCCTTGCTATATAGCCTCAGACCTGTGTGTAACTTTCCTCTCAATATAATTGCAAGCATTCCCTTAAACAGTAGAAATCTGATTAAAAGTGTTTACAGTTTCTGTATTACACAAATATTCTGTCTAGTCACTAGAAAACAAACTCTATGCATTGTTTAAACAATGTGTGTTCACTCAAATCAGATGGTAAATCCTGGTCTTCAAAGTGCTCACAAACCAACAATTTACAGGAGACAATGGGCACAACAGCTAAAAAAAGAAACCATGATTGTGTTGTTTTCAAAATGTAGTAACCTGGAGACTTCCATCACATGTACCAGGAACTGATCCAGTGCTTTCTTCACACAAACTGTAGGATGAATATTGAACCATGCTGATGTGTTGAGCCCCTTTAAGGCATTAGGATTTATTACTAAACTCATATATGCATTCCACAATAGCATTAGGTCAGATGTTGCTAATAAAACATGTCTAATACTCACATAGTAAGAGAATTAGTGGATTTGGGCACTGTGCCTTGGAACAGTACGATCGTTAGCATTATGACCACAGTAGGTCAGTAAATGTACATGGAACATTTGGTACTGACCATTGTAAATTATAGAATTAAATGTCAAGTAGGGTGAAAAATCACCAAGGCTCTCCCTTCTGCTTTAAGGCAGTATTGTTAAAAATTAAAACAGGATCACCACGACATCTAATTTTGAGGAAAACATGATCCCGGAGGGATCAAACATGATCAGCAAAGCAAGGTAAAACTCAACCAACAGAACTTTCTAAGGTAAAATCATTTTAGGCAGAGGTAAATCCCAACACCACCCTCCATCTTCTAATTGTGGCGGAAAGCTTTTTTGAAACAAGAAGCTCCAAGTTCACTTTGTTATGAAGAACTCTAGCTCAGTCTCTCTGTTGAGCATTTTTGGGCCTGAAGAGCACGGGATGAATAGGTAAACTTTTGCTTACCACATGGTGATTGCACAAATGAAATTAAGAAGCCTGAGGGATTAAATGGATGTGGAACAGTGGCCTAATTCCTACATCACAGCCAACATTTCCTATCTCAGCATCAAAAGATCGTGACGTACAATGGCAATGCGGCAATTCCAGAAACACGGAACATATATGCAATTTTGTTAGGGCTCGGTTTGTTTGGCATAACCTGGATAGTGCTAAAATAAAACTTGTTCGCATTGCACAAAGGAAGAGCTCGCCATATCTGAAGTAATGTTCCCCCCCCCACCCCCCAAAAATGCAGCTGTAACTATGTGTGAATGTTGGCTAGTCTTTGAATCCTTGGTTGGCTCTATGATGAAATTATATGGCATGAGGGAAATGGAGATGTTGTACGGCAAAATAAGGCGTTTTACACTGCAAATATAGACTTGGGACCGGTGAATTCATGTCCTGATAACACAGGAGAAAACCCCGCCCCCCACAATAGATAATGAGCGGTTTCAATGCCAAAAGCAGTACTTACAATTGTGGGTTGAGTAGTTGGTATATAGGTGGTGGTCTGCGGGACCTGGACCAGTTTTATAGGCTGGCTGCTTGTCACACCTGTTGCTATCTGCAGAGACAGCACAGGCAACCTCAGCAAAAGGTTCAGCTTTTACATAAATGCCACCTATTTATTATTATCATAGAAATTTGTCAGATGTTTGGCTTGCGTTAAAATTTGCATCTCAATGAATTCACAGGTTACTTTTTTTGTTAATGAAACCAAAATTCAAAATATGAATGTGAGCAATGTATACAGCTTGATGTTTCAAAAAGGTGTAACAATTATGTGAAAGCAATTTGAGATTTTCAAGCAAAATGTTCCATGGTAGAAATTGTAGGCACCCAACATTTTCTTTGCAAATAATGCCAGATCATAGCAAAACACAGCACTGCTACAAGCACAAGAGACTGCTCTTTTAAAAATACCCTAAACATGTGTGTACCTAATTAATCAGTCAAGGTTTTTTGTAAGGCTCATCACCAATTTCCAATGCATTTCAAGCATCCCCCTCAATGAAAAAACATAAAATCTAGAGAAAAACTTATAAAGTTTTATGAGCTAGGTTCACAGAAAGTGTGAGCTCATGAGTATACCTTGAGTCCTGTTCTCCAATAATAGTTCAAATGAAACATGATACAATTAAAGCATTGGTGAAGTAAATAATATATTGTTATTTTACTAAACACACAGGGTTTGGGAGCGAAGGAATAAATATGCAATTCCAGCTCTTCATAAAGATACTGGTTTAATTAATTATCAGTGCGACAATGGTTATTTACATCTCTGATTAGAAATCATATCCTAATCCACACCATCTGAAGAATGTTAATTGATAAATACAAGGCTTATGTAGCCAATGACATCTTATGTATTCCAATGCCTACCATTTCTGTGGAGAAGTTAGGGTACAGAATTATTTGAGGATATGGTAATTTGAGCAACAGTTTCAAAGCTGAGTTTTAGGTGCATGGTAGAAGTGTCGGTGCATGCTGTATGAGTGTATCTACAGGGCATATACAATCTGCGATTCAAAGGGGCTAGAATAGAGAAAGGTTGATGGAAACTCATGCACCCAGAGCAATAGCTTTGACTCAATAAGATTCAATGAGAGTGGCAGAATATTGCATGAAATTTCATTAGGGCATGGCATGGTGAAGGACAAAGCTATATAGCAAAGTGCTGTTGTTTCTCCTAGAATTTCACTGAGAGATGGGTACCATGAACTACTCCTACCTGCAGAGTCACTTCCAGAGAGCAGCACTGGCTGGACCCATGGATTTATCTTATGGAGTCCCACAGGGCTCCATCTTATCCCTCATGCTGTTCAATATCTACAGTACCACCTGGAGAGGCTGTGCAGGCACTGAGTCAGTGTTTGGATACAGTGATGGGTTGGACTAGGGCTGATAAATGGAAATTGAATCTAGTTAAGATGGAGGTCCTGTGTGTGGGTGGTCTCTGGTCCAGGAATTAAGGGGTTGGCTTGTTCTGGATGGGGTGGCATCCCCCCACCCTTGATGGAGCAGCTTCGAAGTCTGGGGTACTCCTACAGGCCAAAGTGTCACTGAATATACAGGTGGCTTTGGTGGGGCCTATACCCAGCTCTGGCTGGTTCATCAGCTGTGGCTGTTCCAGGACTGAGATAGTTTGGCATCAGTAATCCATGCTCTGATAAGCACACACATTAATGCAATGTGCTTTACATGAGTCCTTAATAACAGTCTGGAGGCTGCAACTAGTATTGAGAGTAGCCAGAAGAGTGCGTATCACTCCAGGTTCTGAGAGCACTACACGGGTTGCCAGTGAGCTTCAGGGTCCAATTCAAAGTGTTGGTACTAGTATACAAAGCCCTAAAGTTCCTGAAGGAGTGTCTTCTGCCATATGTCTAAGCACACAGTTTACAATGGGAGGGGGCCTTCTTGCAGTACCAACACTGTGGATACCAAGGAGGGTGAAAAAGTATGAGAGGGGTTTCCTCTGTGGTAGTACAGCTAGAATGTAAAACACATTTTTATTTGCCCAGGCCTTTGGAAGGAGATAGGATTATTTGGGCACTGTCATTTTAATTACTGATTTTGGAATTGGTCTTATAAAATTTCATGTTGTCAGCTGCCCTGGGCCCTCTTAAAGGAAGGAAGACTGGACACAAATAAATGAAATGAAATATGAGAGAGCCTAGATACATTTTGGTCCCTTCCCTTAAGAAACAACTTTGTAAGATTAAAGACAAATCTCCAAAATGTGTTTTAATTCTTATGAACCCTCAAGAATGTTAACAGGAAACCAGAATTCAGTGTTTATACATTCTCACAAATTTTACATGAAGGGGGTTGTGGTTAAGTAAAGAAGTATGTCGTAAGCCACCTCAAGCATTGTTTTAACTTTGGAAAGGCGGCATACAAGTAAAATGACTGACTGAAATACTTACTGTAACACTCTCCTTGCTCTTTTCAACAGCTGCCTCTTTTTCTTTTGGAGTACTGGCAGTTTCTGTAGGTGCCGGTTGTGCACTGGAGGTAGGCTGGGATGATTTATTTAATGTTTCTGTGCTAATTTCAGGATCCGTTTCTTGCTGTGTTGCAGTTGCTAAAATGAAAACAAAAGGATTTCTAAATTATGTAACTGGATGATGTTCACTCACAAATAAGTTAAAACAGTTGTGAGGAACCTTTGGCCCTCCAGATGTTACTAAACTACAACTCTCACCATCCCTGGGTATTGGCCAGGCTTCATGGAACTCATGGGAATTGTAGCGTGGTAACATCTAGAAGGTCAAAGGTTTCCCACATTGTTTACCTGACTGTGTGCAGGACTTCATGTGTTCCGGCCAATGGGCTTGCTGGCAAGGGTAGTCACAGTAACTGGTATTCCAACAACAGTAGAAAATTGCTTCTTTTTTGCAGTTGGCACACCACTGCTTCTTTTTGGTTTCATCCACAGCTTGCTGCTTTTCCAGTTCCAGCTGCTTCTTCACTTCGGCAATCAAACGATCTCTTTCCTGTTCCAAACTCTGACGCATTTCAGCCATTGTGAGTTCTAGTCAACAGACAGACAGCATATAGTCAACAGTGGGTCCAAATGGTAATTTAGAAATTTAAGTTTTAGCTCTAGATGCATTAGTGACTTTTAGATGAAAAACAACAGCTTCATTCTGTAACTGCAAGTGCAGCATTAGGCAACATATCTACCACACTAGTGATTATTGGTTCTCACGAATGAACTATAAATGAACAATTACTATCCAATTTGCAGTTTAACTTGCTTTCTGGATTTCAAAAAGAGTAAGCATATTTCCATTCTCAAAACAGTACATATTTAAATTGTGGTTCAGGAAATACTATATTGAGCTGGTTCAGATGTCTGAACTGGCCAAACCCTAACTGACCGTACATGTGAGGAACAGTCTAAGATGGCATGTTCCATCACATTTTCTACTCTTTCCAGGGAGGACAATTTGTACTATCACAGAGTTGCAGCTGAGATACTGCCATGGCCTTTTAAAAAATAAGTGGCAACATCATTATTTTGAACTGCATTTTTTATACCCAGATTGTGTTTCATTTCTGAAAGTTCCTGCTGATGTAACCACTGAAGCTTTTCTATTTCAATTCTCAAACGACGAATCTGGAATATCAAAGAAATAATTAGGTCACTTGATTAAAAAAAAGCCTTTTCAACCCTATGAGTTTTGGATTTAATTTGCATAAGTTTGCATATGAACAAAATGATTCTGAAGGGAAAAAAGCACCCTCTCTTGGTTTTTAGATGATACATTTCTGTTTCCCAATAATCACCATATCAAAACCTGTGTGTAAAAAGGGAGGAATGATTCCTATGGATTTGTATCTATTTACTATTAAAAATAACTAACATTTTTTATAACCCATGGCTCAACTAATGAAGGGTATATTTAAATTGACTAAATGAGCCCCAGAAAAAAATATGGACTTTAGAGTTCCATGATTCATACTTTAGATTTCCCTTCTTCTAAATAAAATTTCAAATAAAATAAAGTAAAACACACACACACACACACACACACACACACCAATAATACATAAATAAATAGAAGTGCTTAGTTTGCTGGTTTTAACCAGTTAGTGCATGATTCAAAAAGAGCACTAGGAATTATGTCAACAGTGATGAGAAACAAGCGCTTAAAACATGGCAAATTTTGTCCTTCTGGTATTTCAAACAGTAAACAGAGAGGAAACTAGGAGACTGATAAAAAATAACAACTCATAATAAGAGATTTTAGCAAAATTCATCAGCAAAATGGATAGCAAATGGAGCAATTTTTCTCTAATAATACTGATAGGGAATCTGTACACAAAAAAATGAGAGACCTTAAGAGGAACCTACATATATTAAATATGTATCCAGCAGAATTTAAAAGAAAGGTTCTACATGAAGAACTCATTTTTTTTAATGTTTCGTACAGTATATGGACCAGGATTAATATTGTTAGCACCACAGGGAATGACAAAAGTAAAGTGCCCCAACTGATTTAATTTTCATTTTACTGATATTAAAAGTTTTGCTTGTTTTATGTTGTAAGCTGCTCTGAAAAAGTTTTGTTATAACACAGGCTATAAAGGTAGTTAGTAAATAAATAAGCATTCAGAAAAATTGACTTTAAAGAAAAATAACTGCCTTTTTTAAAAAAAGAGAGAGAGAGAAGGCTGTTTTTTAATGCAATGTCACGATCAGCATGCTTCTGTAAATCATTAGTTGCCTACAGAACTCTGAGTAACATGGGCATCGCACAGTCACTCTCTCCCCTCCCTTGCTATGTGGCATGAAAAAGAGAAGGGTTAGTTAATGTGCCTGAATCACAGGAAAGAAAAAAGATAAGATATTGGAACTCATTTTCCCTCATCCTTTCCTTCCTGTTTTTCATGCTCCATGAAAACAATATATTCACTAAACAAATTGAGGTGGTGACACTGGCTGTACTCTTACGTAATGCTAAACAATGGTTTAGCGCTATGTGTGCAAGCCAGAATAAGCTCCCTGTCAATTGAGTATTTCAAATTGTAAACTGGACCTAAAATATTTTGCTTGCGTAAAACAAGTTAGATTTAGAAGGTCTGATGGAAATGCCTGCTGTGCATTTAAGGAAGTACAGTGGTACCTCTGGTTAAGAACTTAATTCATTCTGGAGGTCCATTCTTAACCTGAAACTGTTCTTAACCTGAGGAACCACTTTAGCTAATGGGGCCTCCCGCTGCCGCCGTCATGCGATTTCTGCTTTCATCCTGAAGCAAAGTTCTTAACCTGAGGTACTATTTCTGGGTTAGCGGACTCTGTAACCTGGAGCGTCTGTATCCCGAGGTACCACTGTAGAGCTATTATATTGTCATCGTCTGGCACAGTAGTAGCAGCTTTTAGCAAGAGCAACCTAGTTAAAATTTCAGGCTATAAACTTTAATGAGCTCCTCTCTCTCACAGTATGCAACCAGTAGTTTTCACAATAGTTGGTATTAGATCATACAAGAGGCCAGAACTCAAATACATATCTGCAGAATATTTAAAAGGCAGATTTCTACTTATTTTAAAAGTGTTTCACATTTTATTTTTTAAAGAAAAAAATGTGACTTGCTGATGGCAAAAGACACTGACCTCAGCTATTGTGCTTCCAGTGGTATTTTTTGAAAGGTCATTGTATATTTCTGTCATTGTTCCTTTTATGGCTTCCATCATCTGTTAAAAAAAAAAGTTTATTAAGGTATTAAAAATGATCTTGCTTTTTAAATTTCTTTATCCCGGGAACATTCCATAATTTCTTATGTAGGATATTATAAAAACTACTGACACATTTTTCTTTGAGTGGATTTTGTAAATCATATCAATAATATAAAAGAAATCCAGCAACCACTGTATCTTAGGTCGTATTGATACCTCTTGACCTCTGAGATTCATCCACTCCACACACAATGAATAGAAGTGAACAACTGAGCTTTAGGAAGAACTTTCTGCAATAAATGCTGCTCAGTAGTGGAACGAACTACCTTGAAGGGTTGCGGACTCTCCCTGACTGGAGGTTTTTACACAGAAGTTAGATGGCCATCTGTCAGGGATTCTTTAGCAATGATTTCTGCATTGCAAGTGATTGGGCTAGATGGCCCTTTGGGTTGCTTCACACTATATTTCTATGATTCTATGAACTTGGGTAGGATTCTGTGTGTGAATAACGATATCACCTCTCCATTTAGTTCTTTTGGTATCAGTTTCTAATCTCACTATGAGTAAAATCTCAGGAATCAAATAAAAGTGATTATACAGAGCCATTATAAATGATTGCATGCAACATGATTGCATACCTGCCGGGGGGGGTGTATCTGTGTGTACCTCAGACAACAATGTGGGGTGCCACGTGCTATGGTTAAATCACTTTACAGTATGTTTAGTTTGGTAGCCAGACAACTGGACTCTCAGATATGTGGCGAGTTCATAGTTCACTATTTACTTGTTCAACCTGAATGCCATAGGTTCTCTCTAGATGGTGTTAAATTACAATATTGCCATGTATCTGTAATGCCATCAGAGGATTCAAATCACCAATCACCATGTCGAAACACAGAATTCCATGTTGGAATTATTTTAGCAGTTAGATCTCAAAATGACAATCAGAATCCAACTCTATTCGCTTGCATACACCAGACACCAACGAAGCATTTTGGAGCCGTTTACTTTTAATTTTAGTCCTAATTTATGCATTGAGAGTCTGAAATGGAGTACTCTGGGAATCTGTTCACAATCTACCATGCAAGTTGCTGACGCAGGATCAGATGTCAGCATTCATGAGGTAGTAAAATGGATCAAGATACCTACAGGACTGAGATGGGAGAAAGAAACTGCATGAACTTTCTAAACATCATTTGTGACCTTATAAATGGCTTCAACTCACTGAGCGGTTTAGATAAACAGGCCAGTTACCTGTGTTTCTCTCCACTTCATGCAAATGGCTACTTTGGAAAATGATGTGAGGAATTCCTCATTTTTGCTTTTCATGTCTTTTTTTTAAAAAAGTAAGGTTCAATTTAGCTCTCTGCCTAAATATCTTAATTAAATAAAGTTACATCAATAGAAATTGGAATGGCTTCTTAAAATAAAGACCCTGGAGGGGGCAAATACACTTTGTAAGCATTTAAAGCACCACCCTTGGGTGGCTCATTTTTCATCATTCTAAAACCTCTCATTATGTTTAAATTAACACATTTTAGAAGAACCACTTCACACAAGAAGTAGGAGTTGTTTTTACTTCATGATTTTGGTACCTGAACAAAAATGGAATTACTTACTTGCCATTAATTGTTCTTCCAGTTGTGCTGCCCCTGTGTAGTCTCACTAGTGGTGTTAAGGTACGCCAGCTGTAACACACGGGGAAACTTTCACAGCAGTATTTTAAACTGGCCAGCTATGCACTTAAGCTTGATGTTCAATGAAGCACCTGTTTACAGCCTTGCCTGCTCAGTTCTCATTCTGGCCACTTCTCCTTTGTCTTCCTTGAAGGAGTTCAGGTAGTACACAAGGCTAGTTTACCCAGGCAAGAAAGTATGGCTGAAAGATGCTGACTTGCCCAAGCCCAACCAATGAACTTTATGACTTACAAGTGATTTGAAATCTACTATTTCTCTCTTGCATACACAGAATGTGTAGCAAGTTTTTCAGGGAGTAGGTATGCAAGACTAGGCTTTACAGCCCTGCCTAAAAATAAAAATGTCAACCCTTCATATACAGTCCTTTATCTACCACATGTGTACCAGCCTAAAGCCTTTGGAACTGTTGTGTCACACCTTGCACACACTAATTACAGGACAGTTCATCCTCTATCCCCACTCCACCACCAAAGCCCCCATATCTGTTTGGCAGCCATGTTTGGCAACTGTAGCTGAAAGCGCTTGTCTAAAGATGCTGGCTTTCCCGAGCAAGACCCAATTGGTCACTGTGGCACACCACTTGCCCAGATAGGCCAAGCAAAAGCATCAGCTTCCTCGGCTGCCAGAAACTCATATAGCTCAGCTACTCCCATACAGCTGTATCCAATGGGCTCCTGTACCAATAGCTTCTATAGAGATAGCTTTACATATCTGTAAGACTACTCTGTCCCAAGAAGTGCAAGGTTTAAGGCTATTGCTGTGACATCATTCCTCTGTACACTGAAGTGGAAAATACTCAGCTCAGAATACCATTTTTTTCCCAACAGAATATCAGCCTTTACGCTAGAACATCTACATGGTGCCATCTCAGAGTCTTCCTTCAAATTCCACAAAGGCCCCCCTTTCTATTAAGCCTCAGGCTTAATCTTTAGATCCTCATCTCCAACTGGAGCAAAGTTTAAGGACATGAAACTATATTTCCTTGTATTAATTTTCCTCTACTTTTCTCCTACTGCTTAAATACAGATTTTAGGCTCCTTGAGGCAAGCACTTGCATTTGTTTTGCCCTTACTATTTTAATAGACCATACAGATTGTTGACTATGCTAAAAGAAACACGCACGAAGTAGAAAAAAAAGCTTTGTCAAACATTACAAATAAATCTGATAAGTACTAATAAAATTATGATGTGCATACATATATCCACACATGTTGGGTTAATAAAATTTATCCATAAATGTATGTTAACCATGCATACATTCGGGCTGTTTTTGTCTCTTCCCTCCATCCCTGACCCCAAAACCCAAGCTTCTGTTTTTGGAGAACTACGGCAGGAAAAGTTGCAGTGCTTCTAGCTACACACCAGCAGCCAGTTTAAAATATTGCTGTTAAGGTTCTTCCACGTGTTCAAAGGTTAAACTTATCCACATCACAGGATGAGGAAAAATGTTCAGGCAAGTGCTTTGCTTTGTTGCACATCAGCAACTGCATTAACTTCAAAGTAAAACTTGTAAGAATGTAATGCTTTTAAAAAACGAAAACATAAAACTTACTTTACTAGTATACTTAGCAATATCTGCAGCCACATCTGCTGAAGCTGTTGCTATTGGTAAGTCTGTATTAACTGAAGATGAAAGTGTACTTGCTGATCCAGAACTGGTTACTATGGAAACAGGTTGAGTGCTTGTAACCAAGGTAATGGTTGACGTTGAAGTACTCTGAGTAATTTCTTTTTGCTGTACAGCTAAGGACACAAAACAAACCCACAAGTGAATCACTGCAGATTTCAACGTGTTTGAAATGTCAAAAAACAGGCAAACCAATGCTAAATAAATGCTGTTCAATAGCCTTTCACAGCTCAGTCTTGAACATTTGTGTTGGTGGATTGGTGTGTGATGCTCCCATAATACTTCTTGCAGTGGTGACATACCTTATTCTGTGACATTATGCTGGCATAACTGTGTAAACCAGTGCAAAAAAGAAGGCAGTTAAGGATTCTTAGGGCAACTTTTAGTGAGTGTCTATGCTGGTTTCACCAGCCACTGGAAAATACTCCTTAAAATGTACCATAGTGGGATAATACCTTGATTATGGCCAAGTAAAATGTCACAAAGTAGTGAACAAGCTGTTGAGTTATTAGGAACTGTTCCAGTATGATATTAAGCAAAATGGGGCAGGGAGGAAGGAGGAGGGCTGCAAATTAGGTTGACGCCCCAAAATCTACAGATTGCATCTGTCTAAAGATATTAGGAAGATTTAATTAGGTGCAAATTAAATTTCATAATTAATTAGATTAAGAACTGCTTGGACAATAATAATGATGGCTGTTTCCCCATTTTTGGAAAATAAGAAATCTAGAAGTTACTTGGATCTATCCTCTTAAAAGGTTGGCACTCTTTATTTTCATAACCATGTTTCACAGAAAATAAAAAACCTTCTGTCATCACATAACAAGGGATCAACATGTTCTTTAAGGACAGCTTTATAACCAATTAAAATTATATGGTGGAATCTAACATTGCACAATGGGACGTTATTTTCCTCACCTCTTCACTGCAGCCATGCCCTAGTCCCCTGTCACACAAACAATTTGCACGGGAGGGTTTTCTAACTCTCCATAGCAGATTTTAAGTCTGTGGGGGGTTATAGAGAAAGGGACTCAAGCACAGACAGCATTAGATACAACCTATATTGTGCATCTCCATATTGATACAAGATAAGCTATGCCTTATCCCTGAAGTAGTTCACTTTCTTCCACTAATAAATATTGGTGATTGCAATCATTTCCCTTCATATGGTTATTTCCACTTAAGACAGCTCATTTTTCAGTTATAGATACATTTCATTTTATAATACTTACGATATAATTAAAACTACAGTGGAAAGATATTGCAGTTCACATTCCAACTAAAATGCTGCAGATAAAGAAATTATTCTAAGTACTGTTGTACCTTGGCTCCCAAACGCCACAAACCTGGAAGTGAGTGTTCTGGTTTGCAAACGTTCTTTGGAACCCGAAAGTCCGGTGCAGCTTCCATAGCTTCTGATTGGCTGCAGGAGCTTCCTGCAGCCAATCGGAAGCTGCGCCTTGGTTTCCAAACGTTTTGGAAGTCGAATGGACTTCTGAAGTACCACTGTACACTTAAGGACCACACTGGTGGAGCGATTTTGCATTTTCATATCTTTACAGGACCCGTATTTTTGGAAGAATAGTTTGAAGTACTTGAGCACAATGACCACAGCAAAAATACAGCAGTGAGAACAAAATGGGAAAGGTGATAATACCTTTCACGGCTTGTCTTGTCTGATATCTTGTTCCTTGGGAGGACTGAGGTTGCTGCTGCTGACTCTGTTGCTGCTGCTGTTGCCTTTGCACCTTCTGCATATGCCATTTCTGAGAAGAAGTCTGAAATTTGTTTGAAGAATTCCATACTACCCGTTGGACAGCTGGGGCAGTTTCCTTTGGTAGAAGCGGCCTCTGCTTCTTCACTGGGCTGCCGGTGGCTGCAGCTGGAGTGCTGGCAGCAGAAGTAGTGCTTGTTGTAGCTGTGACACCAGCTGGAGGAGTCTGGGATGCGGATCGAGTAAGCACCTGAGTTTCAGTTGGAGGCTGACTACTTACTGTTGAAGAAGGTGGGGTTTTAGCTGCAGCTAAGTGGGTAGGGAAAAAAAATTTTTTTACTGACAATTCAGGTAATACAAAACCCAGTTACTGTGAGGAACATAGTACAACAGATATCTGTGGACATAATTATTTTTCAGTGGGTGAAAGTTGCATTGTTCGTTGCCAGCTGACTTTCAAAAGCAATTTACACATCACAGACCGAACAAATGCCATCTTTCTGCCTGCAGAGAAGACGTGATGAAGTAAAAGAAAGTAAACCGAGTCCTGTGGGGTATATGTTTGTCACTCTAGGAGCCTCTAAACTTTCATTTTGACCCTTAAAACATCTACTCTTGAACTACCGTATTTTTCGCCCTATAGGATGCACCGGCCCATAGAACACACCTAGATTTGGGGGGGGGGAATAAAGGGGGAAAAAATTATTCCCCCGCCCCCAGGCGCGGGGCTGGGGCGGGGGAAGCTCGGGTCTCCCCCACTCCCAGCCCACAGAATGGGAGCCAGAGCGATGCCGAAGCTGCGCACAGGAGAAGCCCAAGCTTCCCCCAACCCCAGCCCCCAGAACGGGAGCCAGAGTGATGCCGAAGCTGTGTGCAGCTTCGGCATCGCTCTGGGAGCTTGCGGGGCTGGGGTCGGGGGAGCTTCCCCCACCCCAGCCCCCAGAACAGGCTGCCACCCGCAAGCCTTGCGGACATCTGCCCGCAGATGTCCGCAGCGCGCCCTGTGCTTCGGGCTGCAGGCTGCCGCCCCAAGCCTTGCGCGCCAGGCGGGACCTCCCGCTGGACGCGCAAGCCTTGCGGACATCTGCCCGAAGCACGGGGCGTGCTCCGCAGCGCACCCCGTGCTTCGGGCTGCTGCCAGCAAGCCTTGGGAGCCCGGCGGGCACTCCCGCCGGGCTCCCAAGGCTTGCAGATAGCTTCCTGAAGCCTGGAGAGCGAGAGGGGTCGGTGCGCACCGACGCCTCTCGCTCTCCAGCCTTCAGTGAAAGCCTGCATTTGCCCCATAGGACGCACACACATTTCCCCTTCATTTTTGGAGGGGAAAAAGTGCGTCCTATAGAGCGAAAAATACGGTATTTTTAGTCCCTCACATCATGTAGATGATGCCTAAGAGCTGCTCTTTATCCTTGTTTTACACTGACATATATTAGGTTTTGAAACGTCTTCATTCAGATTATGAAAGCACCCTTAATTATTGCATTCTCAGCATAAGTTTCAGGAATTTGCTACTATAGGTAGCACACACCAAGATTTCAAGACTCTCGTGATCACATGTTCCTTGGTGATTGAATACTACTACAGTAGTACCTCGTTTTGCGACCAGGATCCGTTCCAGAGCCCTAGTCACGGGCCAAAAAGGACGCTGGACAAAGAGCCGCGTCTGCACATGCAAGTGGAGCAGTTTGTGCTTCTGCACATGCACAAGCGGCGAACCCAGAAGTAACCCGTTCCAGTACTTCCAGGTTTGCTGCGGATGTTTGATGGAACTGGCATGCGACAAGGTGGACGCTAGACAAGGTACCACTGTATAAACAACACAAGTCATATACATGCTGCCGAAAGCCAGGGAAGATGAAATTTAAGTAAGAATGTATTCATTTGTTTATTTAAACTAATTGTAATATATGCAGTCCAAACCAAAAATTAAATAAAACTCAGAAACTATAGAACAAAACACAGAATTCACTTACAAATAACACCAGCAACAGTGACACAAATTCAACTCTCCCTCTCTCACATTAAATACCGAAAGGTTTGAAATAAGCTCCAAAAAAACTTCTTGAAGGGTTTCTAACCTTTCTATCTACCATCTGCCTTGTCTGAGCATTGCAGAATACAGATCAGGGATTGGAAACCAATGGTCCCTCCAGATGTTGTTGAACTCAAACTCCCATCATCCAAGACCATTGGCCAGACTATTAGGGGCTTATGGGAGTCCAACATCTGAAGGGTGATAAGATACTAATACTCTGTACATACTGACAAAAGCTAGTGCAATCTAGAGTACAGCTGCATGTCTTCAAGCCACTGTAGCAAAGATACATTTTTGGAAGATACAGTTGAACCTCCATTTACATAATCCTCTGGTTTCGTAAATTTCGGGATGCGTGCGGCAAACCCAGAAGTATTTTACTGGGTTTCGCTGCGCACGCATGCACAGAAGTGGTCCTCAGGTTGTGGAAACCTTGGGATCCGACCGGACCTCTGGAACGGATCCCGTCCACAAGTGGAGGTACCACTGTATTACTAATGCCTTGCTTTGTTCAGCAGGCTGATTCCTGCATCTCTCCTTCCTCACCCTCACCCCCCGCAGTTGTAGAAGCTGCAGAAGCAGGGGCACAGGCCACCTGGCTCTGTACAGCACAGTGGGATGACTTCAGGTATATTCAAAGTACACACAGTGCATACAGTGGCACATGGGGGAGGCTGCTTCCCTACTATGCACACCCATTTCCCATTTGCGGCTGCGTGAACTGCCCCTAGCAGCCCTGCTTCCTGGGCTGCAGTTTAGCACTCAGTTGTGCATCCCTAACCCTATTCATTCCAGCAGCACTCATCACATGTCTGTGCATGCAACTGAAACAGTCTACTTTGATTATTTTAAAATATTCAAAACTCTGATAATTTTTATTCTAACCTTATTCTTCAAAATATTTGTTGAGAAGGAACTTTCTCATAGTAAGAGCTGTTGGACAGCTCTGTTGGACAGTGGAATGGACTCCCTTGGAAGGTGGTGGACTCTCATTCACTGGAGGTTTTTAAGCAGAGGTTGGATGGCCATCTGTCATGGATGCTTTAGCTGAGATGCCTGCATTACAGGGGATTGGACTAGATGATCCTTGGGATCCCTTTCAACTCTACACTTCTTTTTAAGACTTTTAGAGAAAAGCACATCAGTATCTTACGTTGAAATCAGACTGATCACAGTCTGCTATACCTAAACATGCTGTTCTCCTGTGGAGTATGGCTCATTTTAAAATGCAGAACAATTTGCTTTGCAGGCCTCTATTTCTGGCACCTTGTGGAATGCATGAGCTATATTCATGGGTTAGGAGCTGATTTGTTAATGGTCCTACAGTGGGGATTTGTGGTACTTTGATCCCTTTCTGTTTTTACAATAAGCACAAGTATTTCCTCAATGCTCAAACAGTGAGAAAATACAAAGACAGCATTTGAACCTTGTGCAATAAAGGTTCCAAAATCGATATCTGTATGTGCATGTTTGACAACATTGAGCAAATATTATTTGAGAAGTAATCCTCAAAATAGCTGCACTGTTAGATTTTTAAGGAAAATACAATTATTTCCACCCCATTCTAGAAGCACACGTTCACACACACACCACATAAGGTATCAGGATTTCTGGGACTGAACACCACAGACAGCAAAGTGCTTAATCTTAGATTGCCAATACGCATAACAGGAAAAAGTATATTTTTTTACCTTCTTGCTTAGGAGGAGATTCCTTGGGTTCTTTTTTATTTTTGCGTCCCTCACGCCCACACTGATCTTCACCTAGGTCAATAACAAGTTCACTTTCTGAGTCAGAGTCCAGACCAAGATGTACTGTTGGCGAGTCAGTCTCATCTTTACCTTTCAACTTCTCTTTTGTAGGATGTGACAAACTTTTCCCCTTTTCAGAAACTTCTTTATCAGAGTCTACATTTGCCTTTTCTTTGACAGGGGTATCTGTTTTCTCCACTTCTGAGACTGTACTTTTAATTTCTTCTTTTTCTTCAGTTGGCGTTGGTGGTTTTGGTTTTTTTTTCATGGCCAAGGATTCTTTGTCACTTCTTACACCTTCTTTTTCTTCTTCTTCCTGATCGTTCTTGGATTTCTGTTCATCATCACTGATATATTCACTATCACTAGAATCTGACTTTTCAGAGTCCTCTGAGTCGCTATGTTCTACTGCAACATCTTCAGATATTTCATTGATCCCTAAGTACAAAAGAAGACTATTTATTTATTCATATATTTCTACCACACATCTCTTTACAATTATTGAGGCTTATATAAAGAATTAAGACATAGATATAAAATAATGAGCACACATACGTTGTAACAGACTAATTATATACCATACTTATAATAATTCTGTGAAGGGGGTTGTTCAAGTATTAGTTTTGCAAGCAAGGCTCATTTGCCTCTCCAAATAAAGAAGCTTTGAACCCTGGTCTGTTAAGATGTAAGCCAAACTCTCTGCACAATGGACAACGCACCATATTTAAGATTTCCCCCCATTTATGTTAAAATGAACTATGTTTCAACTCTAATGCCTTCAACGCAAATTTGATATTACCATGTGCATACCTAACTGTGCTTTACAGCTCTCTATTGTCTTGTCAAGATTAAGCTGGAACCTGCTGCGAATTTGCCGCTTTGGGGAAATCAGTGGCGCAGGTGTGGATTGCTGCTGGACTGATTCACTCAACTCTTTCAGATCCATCTCAGCTTTACTACGATCTAGAATATTAAATAAAAGTGTTTTCAGTACATAACACAGCTTAAACAGAAATTGTTTATGTCAAGAAAAAAACCTAATTCAATCAGTCCACATTCAGTATTAATACTTGGTAATATTTACCACATATATTACAACATATCAAAATAAATGCTGAACGACTATTTGGAAGCATGTCTGCATTCCCAGAAACAATTAGGCTGCTTAAATTTCACAGAAGTTGATCAGATTTCAATTTCAGATTTAATTTTCACTGAAGTTGCTGTGAAGGTTTGCAGTCAAGGAGTATAATTGAGTATAAACTCCTTCTATAATCAAAGCTGTATTGAGTGAGAATTAAAGAAGAGTCCAGCTCTGATCCTTGATTATGCTGATGTGAAAACCTTATACTGTCGCATACTTAGCATAATGCTTTGTCAAGCCCTAGTCAGTGCTCTCACAAAACCTATCCATCAAAGTTATACAAATTGCCCAAATATGCCAGGGGGCTTTTTTGAAGTCAGGCTGATTGGGAAAATCACTGGTATCACCTATATGTTCATGCTATCCAAGGACCAGAGGATTTTGTCAGAAATATTTAGTTTTATACAAGAATAAGGAACTATGGTTTTTGGTAGTAGAGCAAGTAAGCAAATATCATTTAGTTCTCAAAATCCTGTATCTGCTTAACTATGTACTTTCCCAGATATTTTAAAAGCATTTAAAATATCCTTAAATTGAATGAAATTGCTTCAGTTGGGAAACAGAAAGTGTACCTGTCCACATTTATGATTCTGCACTCATAGAATCACCTTGAAACTTCTCATATGTATAGCAAATAGCATTGATAAAATGAAAGTTGGTACTGACAATTTTAACTCACCAAGATTCAGATTCAGAATGCTTCCTGGGGTGGATGTTCTTTCTTGTTTAGCAGGCGTTGAGACTTGAGGAGAGAAAGGTTTGGGGCTGCCAGATAAGCTCCCTGCTTGGCCTGTCCTTGTTGGTGCTGGAGAAGCTGACAAAGTAGACAATTGACATAACTGCCATTTCAAAATATGACTGAAACCCCTTATTCAGGTATGACCAAGGTCTTGGGTCCACTCTGTGTAATTTGTAGCATTTTTGCTTTGAACAGGAACCCCCCCCACCCCAGTTGTGGTTTGCACTTACTGGATTTTGCATTGCAGATTAGGTGTGCAAAGAGCAAAAATAAATAAATCAGTATTTTACATTAAAAATACATTTTATGAGAAAATACACTGAAAAATGTTTACTTTATACAAAATGTGTACCAATTAAATGCAGACTTTGCATGTCCTTTCAGAAAAGTCAGAAGGACAGGACAGGAGTGCCAATGAAAATGAAATGAAACAGGAAAGAGGTAGGCTGCTTGATTCATCCCTAATCCTTCCACAGCGTAAGTGTTAGAAAATACGAGGGCCCTTATCCAGTAGCTGCACTGGAATAAAAAGAGTGCAAAAATTGTGAATTTATTTAAACAATTTCAACTGAGAGTAAAATTCTCTTTTATTATGTCAAGTAAGAAGATTAATTATACCAATGATGTGTTGATTAACACAGATCACTAATTAGTTAGGAATGCTTTCAGATACTATCAACTTGCCAGCTCTCACTTTGGAAAGTTTTAGGACTACTTCCCCATTTATCTCTACCCACCTTAGATTCTGGTAAATTTCACCTGTATGTGGATTTCCTATACCATATTATTCTCAAGACATTGTTCCAACTTGCTAAATTAAAACGAACTATTTTGAAACATGACTGAGCTTCTCTACAGGTTTTACAGCTTGTTTGCTTACTTATTAAGATAGTTTAAATTTAATGTCTTGCAAAAAAAGTATTTATCAAATTCTAACATGCTCTTTTGCCAGCAAGTTAAGCCAAAGAACCCTAGATTAATATTTGCAAAGCAGAGAAATCTTTCATTATACTATTTAGCCTTCAAATTTAAGATGCTTCATGTCATCACTTCTTCTAATAGCAAACTCAGGTGGAGAATAGCAACAAGACTGTAGCCAAACAGGGTCACCGAGAAACAAGGAGATATCAGCATGCTTGGAAGAATGCCATGGTCTGAAGAAGTATTTTTTTTTTAAAAAAAGCAAACTAAAGTGGCAACAAAATGAATAGTCCAATGAGGACTGAGCATGCTTAGTACTTATAGAATAAAGAATGACATCTGAAAAAGAAAAATGGAACAATGGGCGGGGAGAGAAGGGAGAAATGCCTTGTTTGGAGGGAATGGCTGGCTGGGACCTGAGCAGGAGCTTCTTTTATGTGGAAGGACAAAATGTTGCAGTGTTTTGCAGGTCGAAGTTTGTATTCTTTCAGGTCATAGTCCTGAATACACATCAATAGAAATATCTGTACCAGTTTTCTTGCCTTTATATGAAATAGTGAGGATGAGTTAGTGGGAACTGCATGTCCATGGAACTTGAAAATTGGGGGCAAGCCCAAATTTCCTTCAGGTCTATATTTCATAACCTCCACAGAGCAAGAGACTGTTTTACAGCCTTAAGACTGCAATCTAAACCTTCTGCTGCAGCTCTCTAGAGCTACCACCATATCTGCAACCCACCCACTTACAATGGTGGCAGAAGGTGGGGAGGGCAACAGATCAGGTCCAACCCCTGTGCCCTCCCATTTGGTGGCAAGAAGGGGGAGATTTGCACTAGTAGAATAGCACAAGCGTTCCTCTATCAGGAGACTGGTTGAGCCAGCAGAAGCAAGTAGAGGGATGTCTCCTCATCCTAGCGTTACAGAAGTTTGGACTGCTGCCTAAAATATGCCTTTCCAGAACCCGGATATCATTACCGGAACAAATAATGGCACATTCAGGCTCAAAATTCCATTTTTCTAGTGCATCATCGTACACCTAATATATGCATCAAATTAAAAGCCAGCGTGCCCTTATGTTTGAAAATGCATGCTACTGATACACTGCATAATACCAGGTCCAAGATAATTTGCTCCCCAGGTAAAGATCTCAAGTTCAGAGTGTTTCTGTAATAGAGTAATGAGGGGAAAGATGTGTGATGGCAGGAATCAGAGTGAGTTACAAGTGAAGGAGTTCTGAGAAAGGACAGTTAAAAAGTTAAGAGAATATGGTGAGCAGGTAAGATCAGAGAGGAAAGGCATAGGTGAAAGGCTGGCAGTTAGGGTAGATGTTGAAAAAGGGACTTAGAAGTATTACTTGTTATTCATAACTAAGTAACTATTTTTTCTTGTTTATTTTATAAACTTTAAAGGTTCTTAAATTTATCTATGTGTTCTGGTCTAGGTCGATTCTAGAAATAATACATTTCCCCCATAGGCTTACTTTGATGTGCACAATTAAGCAAATAAAGGAAGATTCCTATTGCTCTCTGTAACTTGGTAGGTGGCAGCAGATTAGAGATTACTGGGTACTTGGTCTACATTCCAAAAAGGAAGGTGATCATAAACTTCAAAAATTATCTGATTCTCCTCCAATTCAAATTTTAAATGCAGAGCAAGATTCTTCATATTATATGTTCAAATGAGAAGAAGTTGTGTAATATTTAAAAAATGGAAAGCAGTCACTCTTGCAAAGAATTAAGCAAATATGCAAGAGCCTAGCACAATAGTAAATGTTATGAAAACTTCCTGATGTTATTAACATAACAAATAGAAAATTCAGCCATGCCTAATGAAGAGAGAAGACATTCATGAATGAACAAATTAGGATACCAATATTGGATCTAATACAGCTTTTTTGTAAAGTAATGTGCTGACACTACACATAAATAGCCCTGAGGGGGGAATGAAGAGTCTGTAAACAATTTGCGTTATACACAATCTATTTTTGCAATTTTTTTAGCTTATAGTGCTAGATATTGTTGCTTCCTTGCCTCTTAATGGTAAGCATGTGAAGCTAAATTCTAGACGAGATTTTTAAAAGCTGGCTAAAAATAAAAGAACACCATGGCAAAATGGTCTTTGTATTCTAGTCCCTAACTTGTCACTCTGCACTACCTTTCAAAATTCAGTATTCTGTGAGTTGTAGGAGCCTTCCTTGCAAACCACTGCTGATACTGGGGCAGACACCCCCTCCCAAAGTTACCCAGTCCCACTGACGTGTTCCTTGCAATGACACTTCCAGTAACTTTAAACAATAGCTCCTATCCAAGGAGACACCAAGACATCGTATTCCCCATTGCACCTAGAGAAGGTTAGTATGAAAACCTGACTCTCTGGACCAAACAATGCATCCTTCTTCTCATCCCATCAACACACTGAAGTATCAGAAACACATTTCTACCTGTTCCTACTGATCCAGATGCTCAGATCATGCCCCACCTCCCTGGTTCTTAGTTCTCCAGTGCAATGCCAGTCTGACCTGACATCCTTTGTTGAACAATTGCTCTGGATTCTTTCCTAAATGATACTCTTCCCAGGTGCATTTGACCCACCTTGAAGTTAACACAAATCCTCTGCTATTAGCATGGGCAACAACCTTCCTGGCTCTGACCCAATCTTTTAATTGTTCCCAAGGTAGCTGTGCAGATGCTTAGGAGCAGAGCTGCACCTGAGTCCAACAATACCTCCTACAAGTATTTTGATAATGAACACCAGATTATTTCCTTCCAGTTTTCTGACCTTCCTTGTTCTGCATGATGATAAAGTTTGAATATAGCCATTGAAGAAGCATCTTTTTCCCCCTGCCCTCCTTACCTGTATTCTTATCAATGAAGTCCATGGACTCTTCACTTGCACTAAAGTGACTGGAGGTTGCCTTTTTCTCTGCATCCTGTTCAACATCAGATCCCGTATGAACAGATGAATTTGTACTCATTGGGGAACGTGGCATGTCTGTTAAGGAAATCCTTCGCCCAGTACTGGTACTCAGCATTGGCTTGCTCATTAAAATCTTGGGTGATGCTGTCATATCAAAGTTAAGTTTAATTTTCTCTTGTTTGTCAGTCTTAGCAGTTCCAGCACCAGGATTTGAAGGGTCTAACAACATTTGGTATTGGTTGTTGGGAGTATACGGTGTCCGGAAAGGTGCATAATTAAATACTCCAAACTTTCTGCGGATATTCTCCACATAAACCTCCATCTCTTGCATTGCACTGTTGAATATGCTTTTAGTCTTTTTCACGGAAAAAGGAATTTCTTTAGACATGAGGTAGCAATTATTTACTGGAACCCAGGCCCTGCATTTAAGGCAGTAAAATAATGAGGGGACATGACATGACATTTCATGTAGATTGTGTCTAAGTCTTTCAAGTATGTTTAGAATCTGAATAACAATCCTATGAATGAATTACATAAAATTATGCCTGTTTGAGATTGAAACCTTCATTTAAGACAAACTTAAGGATACTTCCAATCTATGCAATACATACTGCAGTTTAGACAAAACCATTCCAGGTGTATGTTTTGCTTTCAAAACAATTTGATTAAGTAAATTCAACATTGACAGTATCAAAAAGGGGACACTGAGCCATTCAAAACACCTTCTGACTGAACTTTCAGTCACAATTAACCAGGAAATTATTATCCAGCAGGCTGTAATTTTCCTGTAGTGTTGGCATGTCTTTTGCAACGCTGCACTAATATACTGTACTTATTAAACACCTCACCACAAGCACTTACATGACGTCGTAGGACTAGATTGTTAAGACCTGTTCATATGACAGACCATGAATACCACACTATTACACAATCAGTTATTTGACTGGCAAACTTGGTGGCCCCATGGTAACCAAAAGGGCAGTGAGAGCAGGCCAACTACAGGAAGTTTAGGAATTCCTGCATGCTTTGTGGGGTGGGGGTAGGGTGATTCCCCAGGTATATAGTAAAATACTAATAGTATTACTTTCTTTTTTGAAAGAATGTTGCCATATCTCCTTCTGAGAGAGTAGCACATACACAAAGCATTTCTGCAGGTATAGAGCATGATAAATAGTTGGTGGGTGAAGCCAGGGTCCCCACCCAAGTTCAATGATAGCAACGGGGAAAAGTCTCGTCAATGTAACAAGTATCCCTACCTGTCTTTTCAAATTTAGGGGTTCTAATACAACCATCCTTGAAATTTTGCTCTGTAGTACTGCAGCACACAGTTTAGGAGCTGCTTCCACCATTCACACACCATCATTTTTATGCTCCTAAGTTGTTTCAAGGGGAAAGGAAGGCTGAGCCCCCACATCACACAAATTCTCATGGAGCATCAACATATTTGTCTTTCAAGTTTATATGTTCCAAAGTTGTGTTTTTGTGACCCCCTCAATTAACAATATTACAGTGAAGCTAAAATGTTAGAGTAACTACATAACGTGTATAAGGCATAAAAACGTAAGTTTGATCTAATGATAATGAGTTACTCCTGCCACAAAATTTAACATAGGCTTTATAATGTCCCAGAGAGTAAATGCGACTGGAGTAAAACATTGCCTCAATGTTGTGTATACAAAAACAACATATTGATTAACTTTACATATTCAAAATATGTTTAGTAAGCTTGCATTGCCATTGTGGCAACCATTTGGTATGAAACATAAAAATATGATAATTAATGGGGAAATGGAATGTACTATACATGCTACTAATATGAAGCACTACAAAGCAGAATAATAACATGTGAACTATGCAATAGCAACCACTGTGTGGTAATAGATATATATTTTAAAAAGAAGAGTCATTGAACCATTCAACCACCTTTTGACTGAACTCCCACCTGTCATGCTGACCAAAGAAACGAGCATCAACTTGACCGTCTTTATCCCTCAGTGCTTTAGCAGGCCAGAATGGGAAACCTTTGAGCTTAGCCCAGACCAACGGGTGTGGATTGCTCTAGAGGAAAGTGCACAGAGACCACACAGTGAGAAACTATTTAAAGACATATAGTACTTTCTAATTACTGGCATGCAAGACAATACTTTAAAATACGATATGGATTGCATATTTCAGATATTGCAATGTACCTTCCTTATGCAGAAAGGGTAGTGTTTGTTCAGATAATTGCATAGCTTTAAGTTTTCCCATTCTTTGTATGTTATGAAGAGAAATGCTTGCCTTGCCTTCCCTTGAAATCTCAGTCCTGTTTGTGATGGTAGTGAAGGGAATTCAGAAGGCTTGCCCTAGAAATTATGTTATTTCTATGGCTAGCAAAACTCACCCAAAATTGAAAGTTTTGCATCACTTCTGGAAGTTGCTTAGAATGGGGTTTGCTGAATCTCCATGAAAACAAGACGAACAATGCTCATGGTTTGTATGGAGAGCATTAAACCACAAGCCTGAATTCAGACAAGATGCTGAGCAAAGCCATGGCTTAGCTCCGGACAACAGCAAAATGACTGTAGAGGAGCAAAGCAGGTATGATCTCTGTTTCAGGAGCCTGCTTGTTTGTGCTAAGTCAAGGTTTGGCTTGAGTTATATGAGAATGAGGGTACAGTGAACCATTCTTTATTTCATACTATGTGACGCAGAACTGAGGCCTTTACTTCAGTCTCTATTACAACAGTCATTTAAGGGAGGCTTTTCCATTATCCATGTGTTGCATATTAGAGGGCAGGAGAATTAAAGAGACGGAGAACAGGGGCTTGTCAAGGTGTTAAAATGGGAAAGATAGCTATACAGGTGATTGGGTTTCCCAATACATTTCAAGAAAACATCTTTAACAAATGAATTTCTTTTAATGCTTCTTAATAGGACTGCTTGGGGAAATTTCTTTCAGTTCACCTAAGCAGATATATACTGAAAGAAATGCCCTATCTCAAAATGTGTTAGGAACCCAAAAACATTTTCTTTACGGCTGTTTTTGATCCTCAGTTGCTTGCTTACCGAAGTCCCTACAAGAGACAGTGGCTGAGAATTTGAACTGTGCTTGTACTCTTGGCCACTACATTAAGTTTCTGTTTCCTGTTGAAGTAGTTTGCACATTGACAATCAAACCATATATTTGACATTTAATTCACATAAATTAAAACAGGAACAAGTGCAAAACTGAAGACTGATTTTAAAGAATGGATGTTTTAGCAAAATTCCTGTTTTTCACAAAAGGCTGGAGTGCTTGGGTCTGCCAAGAAGCAGGAGGACCATGAACAAATTCAACTACTGGATTTACACATCAAATGTAGCTTTAAAATGCATACTTATAAACTGAAGTAGATTTCTCTAGGTCACTTACAGATTTAAAGTAAGAAGCAAAAGAATAACTCCAAACTTAAACTGGATTAAGTGTGGACTTAAAAAAAAGATTTTACTTACACAAGGCTCACAAAACCAATTCTCTCGTTTTTGGCAAGCAGCTAAATAACATTCTGGACATACTTCGATTTCATTCATCTGTAAAGAGAAACATCAGCTACTGTAGGAGTTGGGAGTGTGTTATTCAATTTTAATTATTCGAACTGTTCTATTAGAAGGAATCCAGAGTAAGAAGAGCAGTCATTCATAATTTTCTACTGCAGAGAATAATATATTTTGCCAGTCTGTGAATTCTGAAATTTAAGCATACTAAGCATACTAAGGCTGCAATCCTACACTGATTAAAGTGAGAGCAAGTCTCAGTGGAACTTACTACTGTGAAAATATGTATACAGTATGAAAACTAACTAGGTAATACATACCTCATGCTCACAGATTTTGATTATGACTTTTGCTGTTTGTGTTAATTTGTGATTTCCTGAGGAAACAGATAAGCAGAGATGTCTAATAAAATCTCCATTGTAAAAACATGTTATTTTGTACTACAATCTAAATATTTCTATTGGTTGGTATTCAAAATATTTATTAAAGGAAAATTATTGGTATATTGAAAACTAACAGGACAAAGAACGGTTTGCAAAAATAAGGCTTTCATCCTTTCCTGAACCCAGGCATGGCCACAACATTTTGGAAAGAATCCTCTCTTTAAATAGTAATTAATGGGTAGCAGTCCCTTTTAGTGTTAGCATTCTGCATTTCAGAACCACATTTTTTAACTTGGCCTCATACAAAGCAAGCCAACTTAACATATATTGTAAGTCAGGCCAGTATGAAAAAATCAACTAGAAATATCTTCTTTCTTGGTGTTTAAAGCCCTCAACTTATTTAGATTTCAAGTTCTTATTTATGGATGCTTCGCCTGCCATTTGGTGCGGCATTACCATAATGTGGCCTCATGATCAAATGATACAGTTTATCTTACACATACTTACCTCCATTGTAAATAATGCAATTGTGCAAAATCCATTTGGCATCAGCCAAAAAAGCTTCTGTGCATCCATACATCTTCTTTTTAACATTCTGCAAAAGAAAATATTGAAAATGTATTGAAAATCGAAAATCCAGAAACTAAGTTCACATTTTATTCCATACATATTAATGAAAAGCTGTGTCTAATTAGAGTTTACCAAAAGTGAGATTACTGTCAAAAGTGTTTTAGTTTGTTCATAGTCAAGAACTTAGTTGACATAATCAACTTGGCACTAATTTGACACAAATGTAATTTATTTACATATCATAATAGCATAATATGACTAAGAGTTTTGGAAGTCAAAAGATACTCAAAACAATTGCTGCAGAGGTAATTTCGGTTTCATATACGAAATCAGGTAAAAGACAGCTTGACAAAATATTGGTGGAGTAGGATCACAATTTTTTAAATGTTGGCAATAAAATTGGTATTCATAGTTACGTATGCCATCCTCAAAATTGTCAACATTTTGTAAACTGGACATTCTAGTGTAGTTTACAGCCATTTTAAAAATAGAGAAAATTCATCTACAACGGGCCCTTTTATGCCTGTTTCCAGAATCTGCCATATTCTCCTAAATTCCATCAAATTAACCTTAATAGTTTGTAACTGTTGAGGCACATGACAGATATGGGAGAAACAGAAGTTGTGTCCATGTGTCACAGTAAGGCATGGTTAACATGGATAAACAAACAAACAAACAAACAAACAATGAAAACAGTTCACCATGGACAAGCTGTTCACTCCTGCTTCACTCCTCATTACTAGAGAATGGGAGCAAGAACCACAGTGCCTGGATTGGCATTACCTACAAATTGGAGTGGAACAATTGCAACCCCCAAACAAAACCACAATCTGAAGCAAAGTTTTTTTTTCTTGGCTTATCAATCATAGCTGTTGGGAGTGAAACAAACCACAGCCCCTGGTTCAGACATAAATACTAAGACAAAAATTGTGGTTGTTTCACTTAAATACTAGCAAGGCAGGGTGAAGGAAGAGCTATCTGTGCATTCATAGCAAACCATTAATCATGGCTTGCTGTCATGCGAGAATACATCTAGAAAGAGCGTGGCTCTTATAGACTGTGGGAAATAATAGTTATATCTGGATATATTTATTTATTTAAAAGGATTTATATACCGTTTATTCACTAAACCTCTAAATGGTATACATATAATACAGGATAAAAGTTGTAACACAAAGAAGGAAACCCCAGAAAGATGGGGGCAAAATAAACTCTTTTAAAAATTATTGTGATGCCAATTTTCACCCATATAAAAAGAGGGGGAAACAGGTTTGTTGTGTTCTAAAAGAAAATAGTTATTGACGACAAAGAGATAAAATAATAGAGAAAAGTTACCACAGCAGCAAGACCAAGACCTACCTTATTTTTGTAATTTTAAGTTGTTTTAAGCTGTTTTTAATATTGTGTTTTAATATTAATGTTTTAAATTGCTATAACCTGTCTTGGGACCTTGTGGTTAAGGGTGGGTATAATAATAATAATAATAATAATAATAATAATAATAATAGCACAAAGGATAATAAAGGCCAATATTTTCAGTATAGCTATTGGGCAAGCTTGCTCATCATCTAAAGGGAAAACTGCATGGATTTTAGAATGAGACAATACATATAGTTATGAGCACAGTAACAATTTAGTAGAATTGAATAGGATTTTTCTCCTTGCTATCAACCAACCTTTTCTAATGTACAAAGGTCCATTGGATGAAATATGTATTCTGCATAATCTGGATGCTGATCAAGTGAAACTGGCTTTTGAAATGGCTCTGTCTGTTTAAATAAAAGCAAAAATAGAGTCAGGACTGCAACATTTATTGTATTAAAACTGGTTTCAACTAATCAATTAAAACTTTTGTCAAAGTAAAAAGTTGCCCAAACAGGCTGATGACACATTATCTAATATTATTTAGCAGAAGCAAAAGCAACAGTAGTACAAGTACTCGTAAAAACAGCAAGTGGCAAGGATATTTTCGAACCATCGGGTTGCATCCAATTCAATCATGCTCTGAACAGACCACTGAAATCAATAGACTAACTTAAGCCCATTGATTTCAATGGGTGTACTCTGAGCATAACTCAGTTGGATACAACCAAGTGCCTCCAGTGAGAGAAATAGGGGAACACCACCTTTAAAATTTTACATGCTATGACAGAGAGATAAATAATCTAAAACAAAGAAAGCTTGCCTTTCACTTCAGAACTATTGTTTTTACTCTTTTAAATTTATAGATATCAAATCATCTAAACTCTTTTACATAATTGGCTAAAAATTATTCAAAAGTGATTGTGCAAATTAGACATAAACCAACATCTTGTGAACAAACATCTGCCATGAAATTATAGATGGCAGTCTGCTGGTCTTAATAGTAAATTCCTTCTCCCTTCCCCGCCCCCCTCCCATGGTGGCAGGAAACCATTTTCCCCCCACTATACATTAGATAGGGTAAGAAAATTCTAGGGAGCTTTACATGTAGTCAGAAATCTAAAGGCTGAACAGACAATATCCAGTGGAGTGAAACAGTAACACATATTATTCTTACCCCTGGCTGTTTCATTTTCTGTAGTGCAAACTTGAGCAAGTAGGATAGCTGTTCAATAGTGAGCATTGTCATAGCTTTACTCTGTGTTTCTATGCATTCCGCTACAGTAATTTTCTAAAAGTAAAGATTGAAAATACTGAAAAAATTGCAAAATGTGTGCAGATGAGCACCCCATCACCCCTTCATTATTGTGGAACATGAAGATTAATGCCACATGCAGACATGGATGTTGATAATTAATTTTCCCTTAAGTGGTGCAATGAATATTGCAACAGTCCTGTGTTCATGAAAATGTCCTATTGGTTCAGAAATGGTACCCTAAAAAGATTCACGTGGGGATGGGGGAGGATGAAGACAGGCTGGCTTTGCTGGCAGTTTCTGATTGACCCCCCAAATGCTACTGAATTATGAATCCTGAAGTTAAATGTGGCTGGGCACTTGCCCAAATCTTCCTTATTTCCACCATTATGCCCAAGGAGCTTAGGATTTTGCACCACTTGTCTTGGACAGGAAGGAAGATTGTGAACCAGAGAATCATGGTTAACAGGAAAGAATCATGGTGCCATAGGGGATAATGGAATCTGTGTGAGTGGCAATAATCACTCCGAATAACCTATTTAGGTCCTATTTCCCCCCTAACAAATACAGCTGAAAATGCTTCCAAATGTAGAGCACTGTAATTACACTCTTTCTAAATGAAGTGTACCATTTTTCATTATACTAAGGCATCTACCTGTTGGTGTGCAAGGCTATCAGTCTTGCCATACCTAGAATGATTGCTGGTATCTATCCTGTACAGTATTACTTTGCCAAGTTTTTCCCCCTTTGCTCTTTATACTAATAATCTCAGAGGCAATGACTAAATCCCCCTTCATACTTCATGCTAGTGGTCTGGAACCTGCTTCCCTGTGAAGTTTTTTTACACTGCCTCAGTAAGTATTTGAATGCAGAAAACAGGTAGGGAAGGCTAATCCTTCCCAGCAGGGAAAGAATAAGGCAGAAAGGAATCATACAACTGGCCTTGCACACACCAAAGTGATGCGAGGAAGATATCATACATAAACTGCTTTCACCACAACATGCTAAGTGTTGCTTGGGAGGCACAAATGGAGACAAGTGCCCCTGCTATCCCCATACAGTGGTACAAGACACGATGAGCACAGAGGATGTAGGTGATAAGGATGGGGAGAAACATTAATCAAAGAAAAACAAACAGAATGGTAAATATTGGCAATAGCCTTATTTTGGATGCAACTTTGCATTGCTTCTCTGCCTTTCCAAAAAGTGACCAGGAAGTCACACTGGAAAGAAAAAACATGGTTCTGAGAGGTGAAAACCAGTAGCAATGAGACACATATTCACCTCAGACAGACTAACCTCACATTCTGGGCAAAACCAATCCCCCTCTGGCTCCGCTGTCAGTTTCAGACACTTAGCATGATAAACCCGAGGGCAGAGTTCACAGCAGAGGACTTGGCCTTCCCGATGACAAACCCAGCAATAGAAATCATTCCGTCCATCCTGCGGTACAACATCAACAGGGTCTGTGGTGAGTGGCTGCTTCATATAGTAAAACGGACCATGTCTTAGTTCTGACTGAAATGTAGGCAAGAAAGACAGGTTTGGTTTCAAAACAAATTTGTATTTTAAAATAAATATGATGATCACACATGACCAACCAGCCCCCACCAGCATTTGATACAGCCCACCTAATATTAATTCAGATTACTTCTCTCATTCAGTACATAATAAGCATTTGAAACCAGAGCTACATATATCTCCCTCAGGCAAGTACAGTTGTCTCAACTTAAATGTACTTTAATGTAGTCTGATGTACTCTAATGTACTTTAATTAGAACCAAACTAGATGCAGTTAGTAATTGTATAGTTGTTTGTTTGTTTTTTAAGCAAATACCATGGGTGGGTTGAGGGGAGAATCAACCCATTGTCCAGAAATATATCAGACACCCTACACCACATCCAATACTTGCATTGGGAAAGAAACTTGCATTAGCTGCAATGGTACATAGATAAGCATAATTAACTATATTTATGGAGCAGATGACTCTTTCTATCGGACAACCTTCACCAGAAAAATCCGAATTTAACTTATTTGTATTTATACAATCAATAGTTATATAAACATAAGCTTCCCGACATTTCATGTGCTTTAAATGTGTGAATGTTTGAACAGGAAGGTGCAGGACAGTAGTAAACCTTGAGCACATTTGTGAAAAATTTAGAAAGGGGAAGGGAGAGGACATACAGTGATACCTTGGTTTACAACCATAATCCATTCCGGAGGTCTGTTTGTAAACCAAAACAGGATGTAACCCAAGGTGCGCTTTCGCCAATGGGGCCTCAAAAAAATATATTGTTCGTAATCCAAAAAAGATGGGTTGTATTCCCAAAAAAGGTTGCAAACCGGGACACGCACTTCCGGGTTTGACATGTTTGTAATCCAAAATGTATGCAAACCAAGGTACCACTGTATACCTCTCTTTACAAGTATCTGTCTGGAAATAAATGTGCCATTCCATCAGGCTATAGCCAAGCGAGAGATGGGGAAAAGAATATCTTCCTGCTCTGCTTCTATTCAAATTTGTTGTTACAAGAACTTTGTACCTTTAAAAATATATGCTTGTGTTAGCTTATTTCCCTTTACATGACTTTTCTTTTTGATTACAAGTCTGAGGGCAGACTTCTTTGTCATTTAGCTTCCAGAAGTTTAGGGAGTCCTTTCAGCTCAGATAAAATGCTTTAAATAGATGTTGACCCTTTACCCTTCCAATGCTAGTCCTTCTTGCTCAAAACCATTAACATATTTTTAAAAGACAACTGGGCCAACTCAATAGTTGCTCAGCTATCACTTCAGAAAACATTGATTCTAAATTAATTAACAGTGGAAGTTGGCTTCAAAGCAAAACATATTTTGGTCTTTAGCCATTTTGTATATGAGCACATTCAATAAAAGCCCAAAAGAAACAGGGCATGTAAACCCACGTCAACTCCAAAGAAACACATGATTCCAACACCGCTGCAGTTCCAGCAGCGTGTGTTCAAAATATGTTATAATAATAATAATAATAATAATAATAATAATAATAATAACAATAAATAAATTTATTTATACCCCGCCCATCTGGCTGGGTTTCGGCTAGTTGTTTTGCTCACACCAAAATGCACCAAACATACATTATAATCTAGTTACTACAATAAGGCATGTCAATGTGAAAAGAGGTCACTAATATGACCCAACCTAACATCATTTCCTAGTGTACAATTCTAAATGTGGTCCAGTAGGTATCATAAAATATGCTGCAACATAAACTGCAGTAGTGTGTCAAAAGGATAATGAATACACAACACTGATTGGCAAAATAAGCAAAGACAGAGGGCAAATGCCAAACATTATTACTAAAACTAAAGTGGCCCCACTGCTCCAATTAGGAGCAATTCTTTAGTGCAGACGAGATTTGTCCTGAGAGTGCTCCTCATTCACATTCCTTGAGCCTCCAAGGAACACCTTCAGCAAAACAAAAAGACCACACTTGAGACCTGACATTCCCAATATTTCCAAAGTTAGAAAACCAAATAAACAGACCCAAGGAGAAACTTAAAACTCTTATATAGTTTCAGTCTTTGAACTCTCTATACCAGCCTCTCTCAACCTTCAGTTCTCAGATGCTGTTGGACTACAAGTCTCATCATCCCTGACCACTGATCCTGCTAGCTAGGGATGATGAGAGTTGTAGTCCAACAACATCTCAGGACCAATGGTTGAGAAAGGCTACTCTATACAATTTTAGCCTTCTTTATATATTTTAAAATGTTACACAACTGAACATTACTGCAACCTCAAACTCATTTACAGTATTCAATCAAAAACTGAAGTTCAGTTTGCCACTGGGAAATCAGTAGTTCTTGGAAGTAACTATTGCTTCATATAGAAATCAGTGACTCTGAAGTTCAAACAATTATTTGGCTGCTGCTAGAGATGAAGTTTATAGACTTCTATGAAGGCATGAAATATGTTGCTTGCAATCTAGGACAGTAATCATCCTGGATTTCACATCCATGTAAATAAAGTATATTTACTGAGAACAACCACCTTGAATTCACCACCTCTGACATGTTTTACAAGATAAACAACCCTAACTTAATCATATCATACTCTGTTCTCAAGGTCCTTTTGTGTCTTGCCTGTTGGACAACCTGCTGCAAAAACTTTTCAGCTCAAAAAAGGTTCCTTTCCTTATTTTCACAGCAACTTGAAAATAGCTGTAACACTAGAGATACTCTATAAATATTAATTCAATTCTAGAAACAGTTACATAGCTAAATGTGTCTTTTTTCTTTTTGCTGCAATAGGTTAGTAATAGTTATGACCACTAGGTGACACCTGAGGCACTTCAGTTAAAAGTTGCTTGGACCTGCTCCAACTTAGATGCTGCAGGCTTAGTATGTACTGCAGGATGCACCTCTAAATAACTGCTTGCCTAACTGTTATGGATATTTTTCATTTTGTAGAACCTGAGGACATGGACAAGATTCTTTGAAGGCTAGGGCCTACCACATACAATTTATTAAGATTGCCAGATAAAAACTAGCCAAGTAGGTCAGAAGAGTGGTAAACGTCCTTCTTGCATGGTCCAATATGGTATTAAGGAAGTGGTAGTAAAACGTTTCTTGGAAAAAACTCTCATTGATCATTTCTAGCCAGTCGCCAACATTCCATTCCTGGTTAAGCTGACTGAGCATGTGATGACTTATCAACTCCAGGTTTTCCTGGATGAGGTAGATTTTCTACATCCATTCAGTGGCTTCTGATAGAATCAGACACGGTATCCATTTGCATAGCCTGGCCAGGATGGGACTTGGGGACATTGTTTTAATAGTGGCTCCAGTCTTTCCTGGAGGGTCTGTTCCAGAACACAATGCTGAAAATCACTGCTTGCAATTAGGCTATAGTAACTCAGAGTGTTCCATCTTGTCATCTAAGCTTTTCAACATCTGCACAAAATCACTGGGCGAGGCTGTTTGGAGATTTAAATGTTGTACCATCAGCATGCTAATAACAAGACAGCTTTTTCTCTCCTTTCCATTCTCTCTGGCATGTTATTGTCATTATTTGTTCTGCTCTTTCATTATATTTTATTCCACTTCTTTAATGTATTTAGTTCTAAAATATATGATAGTTTTACTCATGTTTTTGTACCAGTTGTTGGCAGCTGCCTTAGGCATGATCCATAGAAAAGTAAGATAGAAATATTTAATACATAAATAGTCCTAACTACATTGCTGTTTGAGAGAGACTTCCCATTACAAATCCTACTTCAACACTATGGGTAACACGTTAAGATTACCATACCCAAATTGCTACTGCTGCTGTTCCCACTTACAGTATTAATTCTTACATTGATAAGTGTGCCAACAAATAGCATTAGTATTATCACCAACTATATGCCAATACAAAAAATGTTACACTCTCCTGATTTACTCCCATAGAAATAGAGAAGGAACACATGTATCAGAAATACCAAAAGAGACATTTGGTTATGTTCTCTCTCAGCAGCTTCATGATAGGAAGACTTAGTTTCAGTTCTTACTGTATAAAAAACTAGAATACTAAAAATGACAAATGTGGTACCGATGGTTTAGAATGACTTTGCAGTTGCTTCAAAACAACAATAGCACTGCTGTTATTTAAGCAAGATTAGTGCTTTGTAGAATACTGCAAAAATTCAAACGTAGATCTTTCTTTTTTACTGTAAAATGTATGAAGAATTTTACAGTATTTTCCAAGAATGCTTTGTTCACTTTTTGTTGTGGTTGCTTAGCCTACCAGAAATAATCACTGCTTACTTATACTTCATCTAAAAGTGCTTTAGTGGTTGTAGTTACATTATGAATACTACAATCACAAGAAGATGGTTATTGCAATCATACAAATATAGCAACCACATACTCATTGTCTTCAATTGCCACCTCAAAAATTTGGGCAGTGCCACATGATGCCCTAATTATTTTCTATTAATAGAAGACAGACTAGGAGATGAGTATGCAGAAAATAGGAAATCTCCATCAGGAGATACCATTTTTCAACAAATGCTACAGCATCAGGGAAACTAATACCACAGCTGAACATGGAGTTTCTCCAAGGCATGGAGAAACTGTTTAACACAGTAAGCATCCAATGATTAGCCGGTTAGGATTAAGCTGTAATAGATATTCTCTATGTATTCTGAGAACTTTGGTTGAAATAAACAAATAAATGCATAAATATTACATTTGCTTAAGTATACCTGGGCTTTGACTCATTTACTTGAAATCATTATTACTAGGAAAAAGTTGCTTTTAGTGTGCTTACATAGTTATCAATAATTTAGAGCATGATAATGTAGAAAAAATTCCTAGTTTTCCTGGAACTATTTAGCAATCTAAATATAAGCATTCTAAAATTATCTCTTGGATATTCTCTTGCTATATTTATTTACTAAGTAGCATTAGTTGTTAGTGGTGCATTTGTTGTTTCATTTTAGCAATACAGATACAAAAGTAGCAACTGGAGTAGCAATGTAGAAGGTATTTTGCCATCACAGACAAAACACTTTCTGAGTAGGATATTTCAGCAAATGAACGATCAGCAGCACTTTAGCACTCCAGCATTGTATTTCTCTCAAAACATACAGCTCCAGAAGTTCCCAGCCCTGTCCAGTTTACTTGAAAAAGAGCTAAGTAGCCTGCTGGCAAGGCACCCATGAAGGCCGTTGCCATTAGGGCTGGCAGAAGCACACTTTGGGAGACACTGTCATTTAATGTGTTATAACGAGCGCAACAAGCAGAGTGGGGCAAATGGTAGACAGAGCAATATAACACCCCCTCCTCATGATAGCCTGTTCCACTGAAATTGCTAATTGCTGCTCTGCCCTAAGTCCATCTCCAGAGTTCTTGAACAACAGCCACATGAGGCTGTTTTCATCCCCTTCAGTTACTTGGGTTTCTCCAAGTTAAAGCCAGCAGAACACCCAGCAAGCAGCAAGTAAGTGGTGCTTAGCATAGGAGTCCTAGAACCATAGAATCTTAGAGTTGGAAGGAACCCAAGGGTCATCTAGTCCAACCCCCTGCATTGCAGGAATCTCAGCTAAAGCACCCATGACAGATGGCCATCCAATCTCTGCTTAAAAACCTCCAAGGAAGGAGAGTCCACCACCTCTAGTGGGAGCCTGTTCCACTGCCAAACATCTCTTACTGTCAGAAAGGTTTTTCGAATGTTTAGTCGGAACCTCCTTTCTTGCAACTTGAAGCCATTGTTTTGAGTCCTACCCTCCAGAGCAGGAGAAAACAAGCTTGTTCCCTCTTCCATGTGACATCCCTTAAGGTATTTGAAGTTGGCTATCACATCTTCTCTCAGTCTCCTCTTTTCCACACTAAACATACCCAGCTCCTTCAAGCACTCATCATAAGGTTTAGTTTCCAGATCCCTGATCATTTTGGTTGCCCCTTCTCTGCACACACGGAGCCCAGAAGTGGACACAGTATTCCAGGTGAGGTCTGACCAAGGCAGAATAGAGTGGTACTATTATTTCCCTTGAACTGCACCTATACTTTTGTTGAGTGTGGGAACTGAGAAGAGAGGAGCAGGACCGGCTACCAGAGCCAAAGCGATGGAGAAACACCGGTTGGCCATGTCTGGAAGTAAGATGCTGAACTAGATAAGCTTTCGCCTTGATTCAGTAGACCTCTTCATAAGTTATGTGAATTCATTATTTTAAATAAAGAAAGAATAAACTATTCCTTTGTTTAGGTTGGTCAAACCCTGGAAGTACGGGGGGCGGGGTGTCTATTCAATATAAGGGTCAAGAAAATTTGACTGACATTAGAGTCTGTTTAACCAGAATTCTGTTTACTTACAAAAATAGCACTCATTTAGACTTCACTTCTTAGTTTCAGATAAATCTTGGCTGCTGTAGAAACTAGAAATAAAACAGTAATCTCCATCTTCAGTAGACCCTACAGCCAATGCAGAACTATTACCATAAGTACAGATACTGGACCAAGGAAAAAGTAGAGCACCTAGTAATCTCCAATGGTTTCATATAAAACACTGCATCAAATCCACGACTTCTATTACCTGCTCTTTATTATTACTGTTCAATAAGCCAGGTTTCTTTTTCTTTTTAATAGGGCTTGATGATGCATCCTCTGGGGAGTGGCCATTGGAAGAGTGTGGAGGACTTGGAAACTTCCTTTTTTGTGCTGTACGTTCAGCAGAGCCAGGATCTATAACAAAAATTATACCAACATTAAGCACCCCTAACATACCACTAATGTACTAGCACTTTTTAGTATTTCAATGAACAGGACATAATAATACAGGTAATTATGCAGTAAAGAGACAGAATGCCAGGAAGGCTCTCTGTGGACTCTCAGAACTACTTTTTCTTGTACAGTATTGTGAACAATTCCACCAATTTCCCCTTGCCACCAATTTAAAAGAAATTTATTTAAGATATAGCCAGCAAGTATCAAATACTACATGCAAGTAATTTCTAAATGTATAATCTAGCTCTCCACTTACTCAGCTACATGGCTATCACCACCAAGCCAAGAGGAATCAGCCTATACAAGAAAGTATGAAACTGAGGCCAAGCAGGCAAATATTACACACCTTGGAAAGTTCCAGAATGATTATTACCTAACATCACGCTTGGTCATTGGTCTTGTGAAATGGTTATACAGAACCTAAACAATACTGCTGGGCACAACTGTGAAAAGTCAACAGCTTAAGAACAGTAAATGCTGAGAGGATGATGTGATTTAATTCTACTGATTAAGCATAATTAGAAAGTGTTCCAGAAGGGTTCCAAAGCATGCCTTTGGAAAATAAATTTATTTTAATATTGCATACTATATAAATACCCAGAGAAAAACACACCAAGTAGAAATTCAGTTTGGAATGTAGCTACCCAAATTTTTAATCTTCACATGACAATTTCCCTACCACTGTATTACTTATTTGTGGGTCATTCCACGCCAAATCACCTGATGCCATGTGCTCTCACAACTCAGATTTTCTTCAAAAAAATTTTTATATGTAGATACCTATGAGATAGCCTCAAATTATTTTTTTAAGATTTTTTGGTCCAAAATTGGGCGCAGGATAATTTTTTGAAGATTTCTATTTTCACGTGATTTAGGCCAATGAAATTTCTCCTGTTTTGCTTATTTTTCAACCAATTGGGCTTATTTTGGTATCACACATTCATAAGAATAGTTAAAATTGTACCCTCTTATGTTACAATGTCATCTGATATATTTTTAAAATTAAGTTTTATTGATTATTGAATAAAAACAAAACACTTCTGCAATGATATGGTCAAAGCTATTTTGTTTCCCATACATGTAATATGGTCAATGATGCTGTTTTGACCACTGTATGCAACAAGACCTTTCTGAATCAGCAAGAAAAAAAATGTATTTATGTATGTGCTGTACTTTTTTAAAAATTAGCATGAAAATTAACATTCTTTGGGTTTGAGGTATTGACAGCATACAAAATGTACTGTTGGGTGACAGGGTTACAAAATGTACTTTCTATGGTAGAATTATTATTTTTTATGTCACTTCACATTTGTATTCAAATATGTCCTAGAAAGTTGTGTGTTATCAAATGTAATCAAAGTTCCTATAATCACCCACTAAGAGCAACCACAGCACAAATATATTGGATCAAAAGCAAAACATGATGAGCATGAAAGTTGCCTTATACCAAATCATATCATAGGCCCACCTCGCTTGGTATTTTGAATACCAGGATTTACTAATCAATTTCAACCAATGGACACATTTTGAATTTTGAGAAACTGCTATGGGCACTATCATAAAATGGTGGCCATGGGGGCATGGCATAACACAAAATTAAAGTACAGCTGTTGTTGTACTCCCCATTGTCCCCTGGACAAGCTCATGCTTGCCTTAGGAAGTCACCTATGTCCTGTTGGTCCCAATTGTGGAGTTCACACACTATTGATTCGCTTTCCACACACTGATGTTATTGCAGTCTAAAACAGAGAGCACTCCCCAGTACCAAGAAAAAACATACAAGGTGGCAACACCACACTCTAGTGCACGCATGAGAATAGAGTCATTGCTCCTTGCACCCAGATTATCTAGCTCAGAACCTGCCAAGGCAAATCTCCTTGACAGTATAATATAGCTCTATGTTGACTAACTATATAACTGCAAGGAAACAGCAAAATATCTGAATCCACTATGGAAATGAGGTTATAACAACCAGATTCCAAAAACTAGTATACTGTGACTGTGCACTGTGGCAATGTTCACAGTCAGCCTTTGTGATGATGGCAGGACTAGCTACGTTATTTTTAGAGAAATATCTCACTTCCACATCCTTCCTGATGTGCAAAAAGGAACATTCTCAGTTCTCCACTCAAGCCACTTGTAAATATATTGACATTTTTGCCTTTCCAGTTTAGGAGCCTGAAAAACTGAGGTACAGCAAAGTCAAGAACACAAGAAAAAAATAGTCTTGTTGAAGATCCCTTGGCAGAACTGCTAAAATAAAGTTCAGCTTGCCAACACAGCTTGGAGCTAATTACATTATATTAGTAACAGTCACTTTCCCATTAAAATCCTACCAAATTATGTATCCTAATTCAATTGTTTAGTAAGGGAGAACATTTTCCACACCCTCATAATTATGCCCTCTTAAATATTTCTTATTTACATTATACTCTACTCAATCAACAGACTTTAGGTAGCTTACAGTGTCAATAAAAATATTAAAAAGCCATTAAACCAACCCATATTGTGTTCACAGTCAAATATCATAGAACACAAATGTCAGGGAACTGCCATCGGACGGAAGGGAGGTGAAAGGGCTCACACAGGTTGGGAGAGACGCAGCAGCTGAAGAGGGAACCAACAGGGAGGTGAAAGGGCTCACACAGGTTGGGAGAGACGCAGCAGCTGAAGAAGGAACCAGCAGGGGAGAGGAGCTGAGCTGGAGGGATGGCTCAGAGACACTTCCAGCGAAAACAGTGGGGAGGTTTCAGAACCTCCTGTAAGAACACCCACTCCTCGCCGGAAACTGTCACGCAGAGATTCCAGAAGACGTGTTTCCGTTAAGGAGCTTTTATGTTGGAAGCGATTACGAAAGCAACCACTGTCGGAATCTGCTAGTGACTAGAGCAGCCATGTCTGAGTCTCAACGTCACAGACAGAGTATTTTGGACTTGAACAAAATCTGAGGGGATATCGATTTTACGCACAAGCAGCTCATCATCCCATCACAGCATTCCGACAGTCTTTGAAAGCAGCTTGTGCAGGAGAAGGCATCATGAGCAACCCAGCAGGAACCGGAGAAGCAGGAGCTGGAGCGGGTCCAAGCCTGGAAGAAAGGTACCAGATGTTGGAGGTCCAGCTAGCGATGCAGACGGCGAGGCTTGAGGAGAGGAGGGCTCAGGATGCAGACAAAAGGGGAAAGCCACCCAGTTCGCCAGAAAGGTACCAGGATTGGTGCAGAAGTTTGGGGAGCCCAAAAACTATCATGGTTTTCGGACAGAAATGCAATATGCCCTCAATCTGCAGTTTGATGAATTCCCTGACGAGGAATCACGAGTGGCTTTCGTGATTGAGCATCTTGAAAAGGGGCGAGAGACTGGGTTAGACCCCTGATGGCAGCGAATAGTGACGTCTTAAAGGACACGATGAAGTTCTTTCGCGCCATGGATCTGATGTTTTCCAGCGATATTGAAAAGGGAGTGGTGCGCAGACAGTTAATGGGTTGCAAACAGGGAGCCGATCTGTCCGTGAGTACTGGACTGAGTTCACCATGCTTGTTCACAGATTGGGGTGGGACTTATCGGCGGAACCCATTCAAATGCTCTTTGAAGAAGGGCTTTCTTCGGCTGTGAAAGACGAACTTTCCCGGGCGCCCAGGGCGGAGTCTATGGACCAGCTGACCAAATCAGCGCTGGCCATAGGAGGCGCGCCAGGAGGCGAGAGCATTGGAGAGGCGGGAAGGGAAGGGGAACGTTGGAAGGAGTTCCGCATTCCAGACATTCCAGAGCCAACTTTCCCACCGGCAGAGCCGATGGAAATCGGAACAGCGCGCGCGCGCAGTTTCAAAGCCCAGTGAGGGGCAAAGAAGGAGGGAAAAGGCGCCCGGAAATGCTATCTCTGCCAACAGCCAGGTCACTTTGCCAGAGTCTGCCCCCAGAGGAAAGAATGGCAAGGGATGGTAGGAGCTGTGGATGGAAGAGAGGAAAAATACCGGAGCAAGTAAAGCCAACGCCTGGCTGCCACTGTCAGGGCACAGCAGCCAGGCCAAAGAGCAGTGAGAGTGCCCACGCCAGAACCTCCTAAACCCGCCCTAGTGATAGAAGTGACGCTAGAGCTGCCAAACGGACACCCTCTAAAGATAAAGGCGCTGTTGGACTCAGGCAGCTCCTGCAATTTCATGAGCAAAGAGTTTGCAGCTGAACACCAGATACAGACAATCCCTTTAAGCAGCCCCCTGCAGGTTACCACGATCGATGGCAGGGAGCTGTTGGGTGGAGAAGTCAGCTTGCAGACCGTCCCAATGATAATGAAGGTAGCAAGGCACACCGAACTGATAGCTTTTAATGTGGCCACCTTGGGAGGAGCTCCCATTATATTGGGGATGAGCTGGCTAGCGTTACATGATCCGCTGGTGGGCTGGCATCAGAGAGTGGTTTCTTTTGGTTCAGCACATTGCTTAGAACACTGCAAAGAGGGAAAGGGTTTGGCAGGGGTCCAAGCCGCCCTAGCAGGGACTGAAGTAACAGAGAACGTGAAGGTACCACGACAATATGCAGATCTCCGTGACGTCTTCAGCGAAAGGGAAGCTGACCAACTACCCCGCATAGACCCTTTGACTGTCAAATCAACTTACTCCCTGGAGCACAGCTCCCTGTAGGCAAGCTGTACGCCATGTCAGACAGAGAGATGCAGGAGTTAAGAGAGTTCATTGACAAGAACCTGAAGAGAGGGTTCATCAGAGAGTCCAGGGCGGTGGGGGCAGCCCAGTGTTTTTGTGGATAAGAAAAACACGAACAAGCCGAGGCTGGTGTGTGACTTCAGGGCCTTAAATGCAGTGTCAGAACCAGTAGCCTTCCCTATGCCCAGGATTGACGACATTTTGACAAGGGTGCGGAAGGGAAAGATTTTCACAAAGCTGGACCTAAGGGGGGCGTACAACCTGGTACGAATAAGGAAGGGGGATGAATGGAAAACCACTATGTTCACCCCTTTAGGGGCATTTGAATATTTGGTTATGCCCTTCGGCCTACAAGCAGGCTCCGCAACATTTCAATCGTTTATGAACCACGTCCTGGGGCCTTTGCTTTACAAGAATTGTGTGGCCTTTTTAGACGACGTGTTGGTGTATTCTGAGAATGAGGAGCAGCATGTGAGAGACGTCAGAGAAGTGTTGAGCAGGCTGCAAGCCAGCCTGCTGTGGGTGAAACTGGAGAAGTGTCAGTTTCATACCAAGGAGGTGGAATTCCTGGGGTATCGCCTGTCAGACAAGGGATTGGCCATGGATCCCGGCAAGGTCCAGGCGGTACTGGAATGGAAAACACCCAAAACAAAGAAGGATGTGCAGAGGTTCCTAGGATTTGGGAACTTCTATCGTAAGTTCATCCGAAACTTTGCCCACCTGACGGCGCCCATTACGGACTGTCTCAGCAGTAAGAAGAAGTTCGTGTGGACTGAGGAGGCGGAGCGAGCATTTGAGGAACTAAAAGGGCCTTCGCCTCGGAACAACAACTCCTGCATGTGGATTTACAAAAACCGATGAGAGTGGAAACTGACGCATCAGACAGAGCGATTGGGGCGGTGCTTCTGCAGCCAGGCAAGAAGGGGTCAGAGTGGAGACCGTGTGCCTTTTTTCGCGAAAGCTGAACAAATCCGAGAGGAACTACACGGTGTATGACCGAGAACTACTAGCCATTTATGAGGCGTTCCGGAGATGGAGGCACCTGCTAATTGGCGCACAACATAAGGTGCAAGTGTGCACCGACCACAAGAACCTAGAGTATTGGAGGACGGCACGAGTGCTCAACCAACGGCAAGTGAGATGGGCCCAGGAGTTCTCCAAATTTAACTTTGAGATTAGTTACGTGCCAGGCCCAGAGAACATTAGGGCGGACGCTCTCTCACGCAAACCTGAATATTTGGAGGAGGGGGCACCCGAAGAGAGACATGTCATTCCAGAAGACCGCTGGGTGTGTGGGGCGGCATTGGTGGGACAAAGAGAACTGGTAGAGGAAACAGAGAATGATGAATACGCCCAGAATAAGCTCAGAGGTCTTAGGGGTGATGGAGAGGAACCAGGGGTTTCGAGGAAAGAAATGGAGCTTTGTATTACAAAGGGGCACTGTATATCCCTGAAGGAGAGTTAAAGGGGAGGGTACTCAAGCAGTTGCACGACAGCCCTACGGCGGGGCATTTTGGACAACACAAAACCATGTGGTTGGTCACCAGGGAATTTTGGTGGCCTAAGGTGAGGGAAGATGTACGTGAGTATGTAAGAGGGTGCGAGCAATGCCAGCGAGCCAAAGGGAAAGGCGGGCGCCGGCGGGGCTGTTAGAACCCTTACCAACCCCAGAGCGACCTTGGGAGGCAGTGTCGATAGATTTTATGACTGATCTGCCGAAGTCCAAAGGGAAAACAGCCATCATGGTGGTGGTAGACCTACTAACAAAGATGTGCCACTTTGTAGCTTGCTCGCATGCAGTCACGGCGGAAGAGACAGCGAAGTTATTTGTAGAAAACATTTTTAGGTTGCACGGGGTGCCATTGAGGGTGGTCTCAGACCGAGGAAAACAATTTACTTCCAGGTTCTGGAGGAAGCTCATGAGCTTACTGCAGGTGGAGGTCAATTTTTCGACTGCCCGGCACCCTGAAACCAACGGGCAGGCGGAAAGAGCACGCGGTGTCCTCCAGCAATACCTGAGGTGTTATGTCAATGACAGAGAGAATGACTGGGTAGAAAAGTTGGCGCTGGCGGAATTTGCCTACAACAATGCCGAGAATGTGTCCACAGGGATGAGCCCCTTCTTGGCTAATTATGGGTGTCATCCCAGGGCTTTCCCAGGGGGGAGGGGAGAGATGGAGCGTCCCGGCAGCCGAACATTTTGTGGAAGAAATGGAAGCAATCCATCGTCAGCTCCAACTCAACTTAGAAAGGGCGAAGGAAGAATACAAGAGGCAGGCAGACAAGAACCGAAGGGAAGGTGAAACCATAAGGGTGGGAGATAGGGTGTGGCTGTCAACCCAAGGGTTGCCGTTCAAAGGAGGTTGTAAGAAATTAAGACCCAGGAGGTTGGGTCCCTTTGAGGTCATTCAACAGGTCAACCCAGTGGCTTTCAGGCTCCGGTTACCCAACCACATGAAACTGCACCCAGTATTTCACAGGTCGTTACTGTCACCGTACGAAGGGGACGAGAAGGGCTGGCCACTCGGGGACCGGTCGTAGAAGAAAGAGAATGCAGCAGCCATGTGGCTGAAATCCTCGACGCCAGGTGGAAGGGGGATCAGGTGGAGTATTTGGTAGCGTGGGAAGGAGAACCGGAGTCAGAAAACACTTGGGTAATGGCTGAAGATATCAATGACGAGGTATTGATAGAAACGTTCCATCAAAGGTTCCCAAGGAAACCTCAGCCTGTGGAGAGGTTCCGGAGGGAATACTTTGGGACCACTGATGAAGGGGAGGAGTTGGAAGGATTCCCGGACTCGGAAGGGGAAGGGGAGATGGACTCTGAGGAGGAGGTGTACTTCGAGACCAGGAACCGCAACAGGTTGAGAGAAGTGTTCGAGACATCGGAAGATGAAGGAAGTTCATTCCGGGGTTTTGCCTCCTCACCGCCCGTAGAGGAGGGGAAGGGGGCCCTGGAGGGGAGGTGGATGTCAGGGAACTGCCATCGGACGGAAGGGAGGTGAAAGGGCTCACACAGGTTGGGAGAGACGCAGCAGCTGAAGAGGGAACCAACAGGGAGGTGAAAGGGCTCACACAGGTTGGGAGAGACGCAGCAGCTGAAGAAGGAACCAGCAGGGGAGAGGAGCTGAGCTGGAGGGATGGCTCAGAGACACTTCCAGCGAAAACAGTGGGGAGGTTTCAGGACCTCCTGTAAGAACACCCACTCCTCGCCGGAAACTGTCACGCAGAGATTCCAGAAGACGTGTTTCCGTTAAGGAGCTTTTATGTTGGAAGCGATTACGAAAGCAACCACTGTCGGAATCTGCTAGTGACTAGAGCAGCCATGTCTGAGGGGCTCCGTCACAGACAGAGGTTTGTGGACTTGAACAAACTCTGAGGGGATATCATTTTACGCACAAGCAGCTCATCATCCCATCACAACAAACACCAAATTCATCACTACAAAAGCTGTCTAAAGGAGAAAAGGACTATGAATACTTCCAAGTGACAATACAAACTCAATGGTCATGTTTGCATGTAATGCATTGCTAAACCATAGTTCATGATCTGTGGATGAGTGTTAAACTCCAGCAAAATGCTGAGCATGCAAGCTCCTGTCTCCTTTTCCTCCAGCATGGCTGGGAATATGACATCAGCTAAGTTTAGTTTTACAGAACCCCAGTTTACTGTTATATTTGAACCAAGGATCATGGTCTAAAACAAAACATAAGCATATAAGAGCCTGATGGATCAGGTCAATGGCACATCCAGTCTAGCATCCTGTTTTCCCAGTGGTCAACCAGATGTTTGTGGGAAACCTGCAAGCTGGATTCCAGCACAAGAGCACTCTCCCCTCCAGCAACTTGTTTTCAAGAGCATTGGTTCCTTCAACTGTGGAGGTAGAGCATAGGCATCATGGCTAGAAGCCATTGATAGTCCTCTGCTCCATGAATTTGTCCAAAACTCTTTTAAAGCCATCTAGGTTGGTGGCCATCACTGCCTCCTGTGGGAGTGGGTTCCATAGTCTAACTGTGTGAATAAATATTTCATTTTATCTGTTCTGAATCTTCCAACATTGAGTTTCATTGGGTGTCCATGAGTTCTAGTGTTATTGGGGGGGGGAGTTCTCTATCCACTTTCTCCATACATAATTTTATAAATTTCTCTCTCTTACCTTTTCTCTAAACTAAACAGTCTCAAATGCTGCAACCTTTTCTCATAAGGATTCTGTAACACTGGAAAGAGGATAGGGAAAGGGGGAGCATGCAAGCCCAATGCTTTGCACATGCAGACTCGTTCATGTAGCACTAAACTGTTACACCATGATTTACTGTTATGTGTGACAATAATGCTTCTGAATACCAGTTTGTCCTGAACACACCCAAGCAAAGAGAACAAATGGCTGGTAGTTAAATTCTGTAATGACAAAACCACACATTTAAAGTGGGACCACGCCCCCACCGTGTGCTTAAGTATCCTCATATTATGGAGTGTGGACAAGTAACAGTCACTTCTCCTACACAAGGAAGTTGCTGCTGCATTTGCCTCTTCCATCTGCTCCAGGTCCCAGGAAACAGTGGGGTAGTGGATGGCGGGAATCTGATCAGCGTGTCCCTTGCCTGAACAGTCTCTTCCTCCACTTCCCACACAGTCCCCCAGAGGCTACTGCGCTCCTCCTCAGCAGGTCAGTCCTGGTGGCACGCCTCCACATGGCCTGCTCCACCCGTCTCTGATCCCTCTCGGCCTCTCCTCTGTAAAGGCGGCAGTAGCAGCAGCTCAGCGGCCACTCAGTACAAGGGAGAGGCTCCTGTTGTTCCTGTCCTACCACACAGTTCTCCTGGGCCTCCAGGTTCTATCAGGCCACCAGCTGGGTCTGTCTCCATCCCAGGATGAGAGGCGCCCAGGGAGACACATTTCTCCACGAACTCTCCAGTTCCCTCACTCCCATTGGGCTCCTCTCTGCCTGCAGCAACAGCTGCAACAACAGCTTTGGAGGTGCAAGGACCAGCCAGACGCTCCCGCTGGTATTGTATTTTTCCTAGCAGCTTGCCGATCCTGTGGCGGTTGCCATCTTGCCTTGCCAGAAGTCCAGATGCAATTGATTTTCATCCAACAGTGTCAGCCCACTTGCAGATTTGTCTTCTGCTCATGAAATGGGACTTCCCTTTCCTTTTATTTGTGCTTCAGCCACAAACCCTCTCCCTACCCATGATGACAGCAAACAACAACACCTGGACATTTTGCCAAATTTTAAAAATCCACCTGGACAGAAATGTTAAGTCTAAAAAAGCTGGTGTGTCTGGGGAAAAATGGACATATGGCAGCCCACCTTTCAGAAGAGGGTCCGTGCTTTTTTACCCAAAATAATTACCGAAATGACAAAAATAAAATGCAACTTTATGTAGTGTCACAACTTATTTATAAACAGCCATCATTCATGATCTTGGATTCCAGCAAAATATTCTCCATGAAGGAAAATGTAAACAGTCCCATAGGTTTCCAATATTATATTTTGTTACATGAAAAATGAATAACTTAGGAGAAAAAAATATGAGAGAATTCAATGTATACTTTGCACTTGTTGTGGCCTATAATTAGAGATTTGCTACTTTGGAACTATTTAAATTGAGAGGAGATGGGAACTCATTTAATTTTCACATTATCAAAGGCATAACTGAGCTGTGTTGACATGACATGATGTACTAACCAAGAATGAGCAGCAAAGTCTCCAGTTCAAATCTTACCTCATCAATAAATTCATAAGGTAGTAGACGAGCCACTGTGTATCTTAGTTACAGCACTCACAACTGATAACAAAAATAATAATTCTGGCTTGCCTTTCGGAGTTGTTGTGAAAATCATATCCTCTCAATATGTAAAGCACTTTGAACAACAAGGAAAAGTGCTAAATAGATGCTTATTGATGCAAGTATAATGTCCAAATTTGCCAAAAGAAAAGGCTTTAGGTGCCCCTTTCCCCAATTATTTGCAATACAGTGTAACAACAGTAAGTGCTCCACAGTGCAACTAGCAAAACTAAAATTGCATTTCTTTGCACAAAGGGTGAACAAGTCACAGAAAGAGCAAGACTAAAAAGGGATTAATACTGCAGTCTACTTCCTCCATTCCAAGTCATGGAGCCATACTCTCCAATGCTAGAAAGGAGAAACTGAGAGTGTGAGTCTGGCTGGCTATGACTTGGTATAACTAAGAGGGCTCCCAAATGGAAGTCTTCTCCCCAATATCCCACAGAGAGGCACAGAAGAACTGTTATATTAGGTGTATTAGCATATACCACCACCAGAGTATATAGTGCTTAAGGGAATAATGTGTGCCCTAAGGAACTCATACACAATCTAAATTTAGATCGTGGGGGGCAGGGGTGGGAACAACAAGGGATGAATGGGGGCAAATGCAGGTAGAAACCTATAGGTATTCTTGGAGGTAGTTATACCTAAGAGGCAGCAAGGGAGACTGGGTAGAGCTTTTACAAGAAAGAGAGACTTTAAGGCAACTCAGTATGGTAGAGCTGGAGAAGTGATGATCATTGACAGAAATACTGGGTTATGAAAACAAAGCTTTGTGACGGGAGCTTTAAAAAAGCAAGTACTTTGTACTGGATGTAGAAGGGAAAGGGAATGCCAGCATAAGAATTTGAGAAAAGTTGTCACATGGCCTGAACACTGAGAAAGATGAATGATTTTGCCAGATTTGTGTTAGATAAGATGAAAAACAGCTCAATGTGAGTCATAGCAGAATATGACCAGAGCATAACACAGAGCTTTAGCTGAGCAGAAGGTTTGGGAGAAAGAACATGGTGGCAATATAATGAATATGGGAAACAACGATAAAACTACAGTATTTAAAGAGTGGATGGTGACCTTTTAATGATGTTCATTCACTGAGATACAGGACAAAATAAGATTAATGATCTAATAATAAATATTAAGTGTTTGGGCAGGAACCAAAAGAATGGCATTTGTAAAAGAGTTATGCCACAGTACTCATAGGAGCAGGAGCATAGGTCAAATCAATGTCAAAGGTTCCAAGTCACCAGATGAAGCAACGTTCGCCAGTATTCACCTTATGCTCTGAGGAACAGAAACACTGTTTTAACTCACCTTTAGATCGAGTGGAGATATCCATCCCTTCCACCACCTCCTGCTCTGCCTTTATTTCTTCTTCAGCCAAGCTAAGAAAGGAAAGAGATACTTAAGATTATTATTTTCACACTGTAGTTTACATATTGCGGCCTTAAAGAGGAAGGGAAGCTGACTAGCAGCCTGATTCTCACTTCCATGTGCTACTGCAGTGGATGGGTAGGGTGGCAACAGTGGAGTTAATACTCTCATCCAAATTTCAACACTAGAGTACACACCAACCTCATAAGGATCTCTGGTATGCTATCACCTACACATACCAAGGGTACTGAGCAATGGGGACAGGAAAGAGGAGGGGTCAAAATAGTTCTGCGCTTGGCTAAGATCCTGAATCCACCTTTGCAAGAAATAATTTATGTTACCTATCAAGAATTGACAGTTCTGAGTAGTAGTAATGTCAACTCCTATAAGAAATGTTGAATACAAAGATGTATTAGGTACATTTCAGAAGTATTGATACAATAAATTACATTGGTGTTTGATTTGGGCACTTTGGAAGAAATATGGTATATAAATCCAATAAATAAATAAATACAATGTTCAGGCTAAGAAAGTTGGTAGAAAGCAGAGAAGGTAAGAGTTGTATGGGTTTCTATTGCAATTCTGTAAATGACAAATATACAGAGATAATATTCAAGGCACTATGGTGACTGCATTTCTTAGAGCCTAGTCTGGAAATTTGTTTTCTAAAATACCATTGCAGCACATTAAATATATTTTTTAAATCTGAAACAAAATGAGAATAAATGAGTTGCCCACAGAAAACAAATTGCCATGGTGAACCCTAACCCTGAGACACAGAATGAGGTTTAGTGAAAATGGACACATTTTTCATGGAAACTATTTGTGATTTTTTTAAAAAAGTAATTTATAGCATAATTAAAACCATTAGCGCTTACTGGCCATTAGTTATTAAGATCATGTAGTAACAAGAAAGCTTTCTTAAGGTGTGGTCTAACTCTCACTTCTTTCAGGCAGCCTGGGACCACTCCTTCTTTTAGAGAGGGACTAATATACAGTGGTGCCTCGCAAGGCGAAATTAATCCGTTCCGCGAGTCTCTTCGTCTTGCGAAGCACGGCTATTAGCGGCTTAGCGGCTATTAGCGGCTTAACGGCTATTAACGGCTTAGCGGCTTTAAGAAAAAGGAAACAAACTCGCAAGACGTTTCGTCTTGCGAAGTAAGCCCATAGGGAAATTCGTCTTGCGGAACGACTCAAAAAACGGAAAAGTCTTTCGTCTAGCGAGTTTTTCGTCTTGCGAGGCTTCGTCTTGCGAGGCATTCATCTTGCGGGGCACCACTCCTTGGTCAGCTAGCAGTCCTCTCCCTGTCATATGTTATCAACCACAAGGGTCAAGGGCCAAGAACACAAATGGTCAACCACTCCCATCCACATCCTTGAACCTTATCAATTGAAACAAATTTTCCAACAACTGACCTGAAAGCACAAGGTACCCCTTACTACTGATCCACTACAATAGTGGAGTCTAGGTCCCCATGAATACAAGCAATTTTATTCTCAAAAGCCTTGCAAAAAGTCAGTGCAGACGACTATGTGTCCTACCACTTCCTTTCAGCCACTATGTAAAAGCTCCATACTGTACTACTCTATAAAGCTCCACTGAATATGACACCAAGGGTGCAATGGAGGCAGAGAAGCAACTCTTCCTTGATGCTTTCCACCACAAAGCAGGCTCAACAGGGAATTTCCTAAGTGCGAGCAGTTTCTGAGCTCTGGGCACAATACTGCACCAAAGATTTCAGATAAAAACTGCAGAGTGGAAGGAAAGGAGGACCTTTTTCTGTCTCCCCACTCCTGGCTACTCTCTGAAGACTGGAGAAGAGACCCCTCTTAAGAATATTAGGAGGGTAATCAGGGAAAAGATTAGACCATGTGAAAAATGAATATTTTAGCTGTAGTTCTTTCATTTTCAGCTTTGTGATGTTCTTATAAACAAGTGTGTCTAGACATTTTGTTTTTGTGCCCATAACCTAGGTTTAGGGTGCCATTTAGCTCCTAGCTTTCATATCTCAGTTTCTAACACTATACGAGCATGCACTTGAGTTCAATTATATTGTTTGGAGACTTTCTCCATTTGCATTCTAGCTGTTTTCCAACTGGTATCACTGCCTTCTGCTTTGTGGTATACCACAGTGCCACCCCAGGCTTGGCTAAGTGGAAGAGAATACTCAGGAGCAATCATGTCATCTGCCTGGATCATTTCTATATCCGTCAGAGTGACCAGATCTTTGATATGGTTGCAAGACCTTGTCATCTGGAGAAGACCCCAGAGCCAACAGGAAACTAATAGGATACATTAGGGCAGACCATTCTAGCAGAGGGGGAAAAGTTGCTGTTAATCTGAACCTCAACAGGTGAGCTGATCATGCCAAGGAAATGGTATCAAAAGTGATCACCTTCAGATCACTCTCTTCCTACCCCACCAAGAAAATCAGGTCTGGTGTGTGATCAGCTAAGTGTGTTGGGTTGAAGACAGGTTGGGACAACCCTGTGAAGTCTTGAGCTGCCCCAGAAACAGCAGCCTCAGCATGGATGTTAAAATACCCCAGGACTGAAAGCCTGGAGAATCTCCACACTACATCCCAGATGCTCAGGCGGGGAGACTGTCGGGAGCAAGGTGGGTGTTATACAAACACAATCCCTAATCTGTCCTGTTCATCCAATGCCAGGCACAACACCAGGAACTCAGAAATAGAAACTAGAAAGAGAAGTATCAATTTATACAGACAACTTCCTCAAGCCTTAGATCTGCTCTGGTGATGAACTAAAAACCCTGGCAGACACAACTTGGAAAAACCACCCCTTCCCTGCTTTCCAGGCTTTGGTTATACAAGTCCAGTTTGTCTCCATAGCTGAGGGGAAACATGGGAGTTTATTCTTATTGCAATATGCTTCAGTCAAAAAGCAGGAAATTGTCTTATGGCTCTCCAAATGTCTGAGACTCATTGGAGCTGCCAACACCTGTGAAACCTGCCCAGGTGCCACCAACCAGAATAATACGGAATATAAATGATTAGATGGCAGAGGTTCAAATAGGACACAGCAGGAATACTTAAGGTCATGAAATAACAAGAATTCAAGGCCCTGCATTCTGTTTCTAAAAACAGTTGGCCATATGTCTCTGGGAAGCTCACAAAAGGCAATCATCCATGGCTTCATAATTCATGCCTTATTAGCCCAGTGTGTTAAATGACATTAAGCCAGAGCTCCCAGTTTCAAGCAAAATGGGTAACTCTGACTTAATGGATTTCCACATTGAACCTAGTGCACAGTGGGAAGAAGAGGGGTGAGAGAAGCCTTTGCACCCATGGCTTTGTAAACCATGTAAACCATGCCTAAAGACAAATGCCTAAAGGTGGCCACTGAAGGCATGATGGCAATAGTCATTCTGTCTTTGATCACCTCTTGCACTTAGTAATCAATATATACCACATATGAACTGGAAGTTCCCATTTTTAACTATCATGTCTAATGGCTATCAAATCTGTCCTGTAGAAATTGTCTAATATTTTAATGATGGTGCCCTAGGGAGAACATTCCATAAGGGAGCAGCTACTAAAAAGGTTAATTCTTGTGTTGCCACTCTATGGGCCTCCTGTGGAGGTGGCACATGAAGAAGGGTCTCAGATGACAATTGCAGGGTCTGGGTTGGTTTATATGGAGACAGCTGGTCCTTGAGGTCCTGAGCTACACAACATTCTATAGGTCAAAACCAGCAATTTGAAATTGGCCCAGAAACTAATTGGAAGCCAGAGCAGACAGACCAAGATTAGTGTTATATGCTCAGACCATACATATTGTCCTGGTGAGCATCCAGGAAGCTGAATTCTATACTACCTGCAGTTTCCAAACGATCTTCAAAGGCAGCCCCAAGTGCAATAGATTGAAGTAATTAACCTAGAGATTACCAGAGTGTAGAAAACAGAAACTAGGCTCTTCGTCTCCACATTGGAGCATATTGGAGCTCCACATTGGTGGGCCACTCCACGCCACCAAAGTCACTTAAGCCTCAAGTAACAGTGATGGAACCAGAAGTATCCCCAAGCTATGTGACTGCTCCTTTAGAGAGAGTGTAACCCCATCCAGAGCTGGCAATTTCACATCCATCTGGTATAAGGAACTACGCAAAAGCTATATTTTATTTATTTATTTATTTATTGAATTTATATACCGCCCTATGCCTGGAGGTCTCAGGGCAGTTCATCCTCTTTAGCCTTCCTTACAACTAAGACTGTGTCTTTATTATTCCATTTGCTATTGTCTACACCAGGCATAGGCAAACTCGTCTCTCCAGATGTTTTGGGACTATAAATCTCATCATCCCTGACCACTGGTCCTGTTAGCTAGGGATGATGGGAGTTGTAGTCTCAAAACATCTGGAGGGCTGAGTTTGCCTATGCCTGGTCTACACCAGCTCCAGCTCTAGAAGAGCCAACATGACAAGGAGAACACAGTAACAGCATACAGAGCTTGCTTTGGGAATCTTTGCCGGTTGCTTGGTATCCAGAATAACTTGGTAGTCATTGTTAAACTTGAGAACTTGGTTCTTTATCCATGACTAGATCATTTATGCATAGCTTAAATTATACAAATTCCATAACAATTCTTGGGGAAGCCCACTATGCCCTTCTGCTCGTTTTTAAGCAACTAATGATCTGTAAGGTAAAGGTAAAGGGACCCCTGACCATTAGGTCCAGTCGTGGCCGACTCTGGGGTTGCGGCGCTCATCTCACTTTATTGGCTGAGGGAGCCGGCATACAGCTTCCAGGTCATGTGGCCAGCATGACTAAGCCACTTCTGGTGAACCAGAGCAGCGCACGGAAACGCCGTTTATCTTACCGCCGGAGTGGTAACTATTTATCTGCTTGTACTTTGACGTGCTTTCGAACTGCTAGGTTGGCAGGAGCAGGGACCGAGCAATGGGAGCTCACTCCGTCGCGGGGATTCGAACCGCCGACCTTCTGATCGGCAAGTCCTAGGCTCTGTGGTTTAACCCACAGCGCCACCCGCATACAATGCCCTAATTCATTCTTTAGGAGTCAACTGTCAAAAATCTTTTTCGAAGTATTTAGAATACTCTGAGCTAATTTCTATCTACATATTTGCAGATAAGATAATGTTCTCTTTGCAGGCATGACAGAAATAGATACAATAAATTACTTCTGCCTCTTCTCTGCTGCTCTTCCAAATGCCCCACAGTTCTGAAATTTCTCAATTTTCTAAAATTGTGCAAGACAACAGTTAACACATTTTAGTGGTAATTAATTACATCGAAAACAGAATACTTTTTTGTAAATAGATTAAGGATAGGACCATAGATTTGACTTCACATCTCTGTTATATACACTACTCTATCAGAATCCCAAGATCAGCGAAACATTATACAGATATATGTTTACCAATTGTCACAATGGTTTTGCATTATGGGGCTAGAATAACCCTGCATTTTCTGGCAGCTATAAACACACACTCGTTCCACTTATCAACTGGGGTTATAGTGGTGAAATTTTGTACATAGAGAATAACCTTCCATTTTAATTTTAATCACACTATATGTAATTTAAGGAACGTTCCAAACCCAAGGTTCGCTGGGATGGCTAAGTGAGGATCCAGAGGATCTACAGCTCAACCAGGCCATGTCGGCATATGCCCCACATTCTGGTTTAGCCAGAGATACACTGGCATAACTCCCTCAAACTGACTATGCTGGCTGAACTGAGACTGGTATATCTTCCATGAGAATAAGCCCTTTAAAATGGGTGTTTTGGGGTGGGGTGGGCAGAATCTGAACACCGTTGCACTTGGTCACAAGAGCTGGTGACCGCGCCAAACCTATAACATCAAAAGGGGTGGCATACTGGTGTAAGTCAAATTCTATTTTTGTTTTCCCACTGCCAGTCTCAGGCCAGCTCAGCTGGCAGTAGCCCTGCTCTTGAACAGAGTTAGGAATGGGGTAATTTACACAGTTTTAACTTAAGACAGTGTAAATTATGCTGGGTTCTTGAAGTCAGGATTTTTGTGATACTCTTCTGAATTATAGCAGCTTTCCAAGTCCTAAATACCGGGGGGGCGGGGGCATAACTTCATAGTGGAGAACACACTGTGCATGGAAAAGGTCCCAAATTCAATCACTTGCCTCTCCAGGTAGAGCTGGCAAAGACTTTGACACCCTGGAGAATCACTGCCAGTCAGTGCAGACAATACTGAGCTAAATGGACCAATGAACTGGACAGACCAATGATCTGCTTCTGTACACTGCAGCTTCTTATGTTTCTATTTAAAAAAATAAAGGTTCTAGCCTTTAATTCTCCATAAGAATTGTTTGCAGGCTGTTTAAATACAATATCTCATTCATCTCACCAGCAGTTTAAATAAAAGATTTAAAGAGACAATCTCAAAAGAAAACATTTCCCAAACAGCTGTGATTCAGTACTTTTGCAATGCTTTTCTTTTCCCTAATACTCCTTTCTATTCTTTTGCTTTTTTAAAAATGGAAGTGCACTTTGACATCAAATGAAATGTAACCAGAAAGAAAATATTAAAGATAATGTTAAAGAAAACCAGTAAAAAACTGAGGGGTAAATATACAACATCTTTCCTACCACATTCACCAACAATTCATTCAGCTCATTTTAGTAATCTGATATTTCTTGCCTTTTACTGTGCATTTAAGAATATACTAGTCTAGAGCTGTGTACCACAAATAGTATTGAAGTTTCTACCACCACAAATATATATATTCTGTGAGGGAATTCTTTTCTTAGAAAAAGACACTGAAGAGAGCACTTCTGTGAGGAAATCTTTGCCAACAACATAACTGACTAAAATTTATATTAACTACAGCATTTATCAGGTTCAGTAACACACACTCAATTAAGTCTCAAATGTTAAAACAAAACTAAGTTGTTCTTCATATACTTTTTAACTTGCATGACAGAGATGATTTGCAAATGGAAGCTCTCCCCCTCCTTTATTTTTACAGGGAAGCTGGGAGATGGGAAGTAAAAAGGAGGGTTATAAATGAACACAAACATACCCTATGGGTTTGCAGCATATCTATCTTTATCACAACTAAAAAAAGAATCATATTTCCAATTTGCCTCCATAAGGTATTATAGGTTTTTTTTATTTATACAAATAAGATATATCCTTCAGAGAGTATCATTTCATTACACCCTGAATAATAAAAATATGAATGTAGAAACATCTGCATATTCCCTTATCCTAGGTTAACTATAGACAGCAATCAAAAGTTGTAGATGAACTGCTGCACCTTGACATTTAAACCAGGAAATCTGATATGGAAATCTACCTAGAAGATATTGCCCACATATATAATAGTATCAGTTATGGAAATTACTGTATTTAAGTTAATCTCAAGCACTATACATTTCTGGAAGCTATTTCATTTAAATGAAAAACAATGTTTTAACATCATAAACATTTAAATTCATTTTTAGCTTCAAAGTAATAATTGCTGCTCTCAGATTGTGAGCAGCAATCATAAAATAAAATGTCCAGAAATTGCATTTAATAAGAAATTGGACAAAGTATTTTGCATGCCATTACTGAATAAATAGCATCTGTGTATAAGCACTCACCTATAACAGTCTCTTACTCATCGGTAGCTATGCTATTTATGCAGGGATTCTTAAAATGGCGTCTGGCAGCACTGCATTGCCTCATTCCTATACTGAAAGCTAAAATGGTAGCAATTTATTCAATAACTATGTCCCTTGTTTAAACAGCAGTACTGTATTCAAAGCAATCATCTCGGTAGCAGAAAAAATGGTAAAAGATGACACAGTGATATCTGACAACCTAATGTGTAACTAAAATTCAGAAGACAGGGAGCTCTATGAAGTCACAGGTTACTAAGGAAATCCTTCCATTTTAGATGCTGGCTTCAGTCTGCATGTGCAAGCACTGAAAATGTTTCTCCAGCTACCCTGCAAAAAGCCTAATGTGTATTAAATTTAAATAATACTGACAACACGTACAAGACAAATTAAGCAGTTTAAATCCAGATGCATACATACATTTTAAATGTGCTTTTTCCTTAAAAGCATGAGAAAGTGGTAATAATGTTCACATATTACAGGATCTTGCAAGCAACTGTTTAATTAAGACTTATATGGCATAATAGGTTTCTTATAATACTAACAGCTCAATCCCATGGAGAAGTTGACATGCCTAAGCCAACTCCGGCTGAACACCTCCAAAATATGGAAACATAACTGAGTATATTCCTTTGTGCACAACCAACACTCGATTAGTGCTGTGAATATTACCTCAGGATAAAGGTTTCTTTTTATCATATTTTGAATCACTCAACGTCATGGGCTCTGACAATAAATTGTTATCACTGAAGGGGAAAAACATGTCTGATTGTAGCAAAATATGTTAAACTCAGTAACAGATTCTGTGGGGGGAAATACATTGGGCCCTGGTTTCTAACAACAGGTTTTGAAAGTCCAATCTTAAGGCCTAGTGCACCTATTTTGTGGTGCTATGTAGAGAATTTGGTACAAGCACAGCTCCCAGAATGCCAAGATGCCATCTGGGGCTCTTTAAGTTGATACTCTTGGCTCAGCAGAATCTAGGGCATAGCTGGCACTGAGACTTATCACTCTAGAGCGGATGACTACAAAGTAGCACCTGTCTTAGAGGGGATTGAATTTCTTTTATTTCTTGCCAGGTATAAAACAAACATGGCTGCTTTTCTGAACGAGGGAGGGGGGAGAGTGGCCATTATACAGAGAAGCTCATGTACATGGATGTCATATTTACAAATGTGTTGGAAAACCTAGGGGCTGTTTTGCATATGGTTCTTCCAATGTCAGCAAAGCAGCTGCTGAAGGAAGGGGGGGGCGGAGAGAAGCATTCCTTTTTGGACACTTTACATAAGGAACCCTTTCCTTTCCCTGCAATGTCAAATGCTATCAATAAGCTTACCCACTTCCATTTAGCTCAAAACTAAAATAGTACTGCTACTCAGAATGAAAGGCATGTGGTCTTTTTAAAGCTAATGTTTTTATTTTATTTTCTAAACCAGAACGCTTTGTTTTTCAGTTCTGATCTCTGCAGAGTCAATTACAAAAGTAACCGAATGATGTCTAAATAATAGTGGTGAATTATATTCATACTGGCCAAGCTAAAAAAATATGTAGCTGCTAAAAATAAATAAATTGGAATTATAATACTTCCTTATTGCCAAAACTATTGTTTTCTATCAGAAGACCAAATCACAGTTATGTTGCTTCATACAAACTACAGTCAACAACAAAACTTTCAAGATTCAGTACTGCCTGGGCAAAATGATTTAAGTATTCATCTACCCACCCTCTGTTGTTTAAAGACAAAAACATCACCTGGCTCAAAAAGGGTGGGATGGGTTGGCACACCGTGCTTCTAAGGATATGGCATCCATAAAAGTGACTGTTATACTTTGCAAAAACATTTCTTTTTAATTGGAATTCCTCAGTTTGGCTGAATTTGCTTTACTTTGATGGAACAAAGATGGGAGAAATTTCCAGAAGGCCTCTCTTAGCCTTGCTACAGTATTTGCCAATCTTTAACCTATCCTCTGTTTCTATTGGCTCAGGCTCTCGAAAGAACAGCATGATTGGTCTGATCTGGAAACAACACTGCTGTCTCTCCTTGCCTCAGACATCTTGCTGCAATGCAGACATTTATATTTTGTGAACTATGAAAGAATTAGCATTTGAACATTTAAAAGGGTGAACTTCAGGGGACTTGTGATGCTGTGTTTCATTATGTGCACAAGGGTAGTCCATGCAAATATGCCTCCCCCTGTCAACAATACCTCTGAAGGTGCAGATTTGAGACACATCCTTCTTCAACAAAACCTAGGGGAGCCATTTTAATTCAAGCTCATTTTCTCCAGCTTCTTCATAAGATCATATTGTGTAATGTTAAGATTCCACACCCAGCTGCTAACGTGTAATAAAGTGCTGCAAGAAAAATACATCTGAGCACAGTTTTGACAACCATTGGAACTAAACATTTAAGGTATATTGGTAATAAATTCTAAAATAGCATAAAAGCCCGATAATAAATGTCAGCTTCTTTAGAAATGAGGGGAGGGGAAGAGAATAATCTGAATTAGGTATTCTTAATGGTACATACTTTGGAGCTTTTCAACAAGCGATAGAGCTTAAGGACAAAAATCACAGTAAAAGGGATACTAGATAGCAGTTTATAATCATCATGAGGCCCCTGCACAAATGGTGACAAGGCATTCTTTCAGAAGATACATTTGTATAATATTGTGAATTGCACTGTTACAAAACTATGCACAAACTGAACACACAGCAGAGTGTAATGCTGTGAGAAAATGTTAAATGAAAAGCTGCTTGTTGAGACATGCATACAAAATGTCTCAGTTCCAGATTATTTTAAAAGCACAAGATACTCAAAAGTGGTTCTAAAACCAAATTTCATGCTGGATGATATATCATAGGATAACAAAAGCATAGAGTTACTGAAGGATAGCCTTATAACAATGTAGTAAATTACTTTGCTGAGAACTAGCACATTCATCACACTTCAAAAGCCTGAGGAAAGTCTGAATTGAGCTTTAACCTGCAAATGCATTAATTAAGGGGGTCTAGGAACAAAGAATAAGCAGAATTTTGTTTTCAGAGGAAAACAGGAAGTATACATTTCATGTGTGGCAGAACATTGTGAAAAGCACTCTGTTTGAATGAACAGAATTTTGAGAATACAACAATATTTATTTTTACTGAACTAGCTAGCCACAAAAATTCACTGGCTGGATTAATTTTGCCCTGTTAAAAGCAAAAGATTGAGAACTGTTTAAAATTATCAAAGAATAGTATACAAGTTTACTTACCAAGTGTTCAAGCAACCATCTCATTTCCCCCAGTAAATAGGATACAAGAAGCTGGCAGATTTGGGATTTGACCAAAAGGAAATTTTTGAAATAATTACGTAGCATCATGCCAAAAACCAGAAAAGCCCGAAAAGGAGGGAAAAAATGAACATGTAATGCTCTCATGAACCACACATGATTTTATATCACTCCACCTCTGAGAACTGTGCCTGATTTTTTACAGATGAGAAAAGCACAGTTAAAAAGTCAAATCGTTTTATCTGTACTAAATAAAAGGTAGATAATAGTTAAAAATTGAATTGTCTTTAAATAGGTAAGACACTGGAAGAGATGCATAGCTATGCCTGGTGGATTCAGACCTAGACCTTAACTATTTCTAAAACCTACAATAAGAAAGTCATTTTTAAAGAGACAGCTTGTAAGCTATATATTCTCATCCAGAAAAATGCACACACTGCTTCTAAGGATCCTGTTAAAAAAGAGAGAGTTAAATATCCATTTTAAGTTAAGGCAAAACTGCACAAAAAACATGATGCAATAGCAATCCACCAGTTAGGCCCAGTATCTTCAATCTACCATTAGCACTATTTACTGCAGTCTAGGCTGCTAAAAATCCCATATTTTATCAGGGATAACTTAGCATAGCTCTTCTTTTCACTGTTTGAAAAGGTAAACTTGCCTGTTCTGCTGTCTGCCATTATCCCTGCTTGTCTCCCTGTAGGGCAGTTAAATGCATCTGCTCCCTAGCTTCCATTTTCTCTTCAGCAGGCATGTGACACAACAGACAATAGTGCAGGCAAACTGCTCAGACACAGAAAGCTGCTTTGGAAGAACAGTATCTTGACAAACTCTAAAAACCACCATCCCCTTGTGAAGAAGTATGTATGCAAACGTTTTGCCAGTCTGTAAAATAAAGCTATGGCTAATGGCTACTAAATCATGTGACCCAAGAAAGCAAATTTAAACATTTTCAACTTAATAAAGTGCTGTGGGGTGAGTTTTGCGCGACAAATCACAGAGAATCACACTGTTAAACCACAACTCATAGGTTTTAGAGGAAAAAAATGTAAAAAAGTAAAGCTTACCTCTGTGGATGCATTGTTAACACAGTGTTATGTCAATACTTATAAAACATGGAGGACAGGCTCTCAGTACTCAGACAGAAAGGGCTTGGCACTTCAGCTTGATGATCTGTCTTCCTAATAAAAGCTAATCCTGGATTGGCTACTTTGGAAAATCTGAATGTAAAGCTTCAGGGGATTGGCTGAAACACTTCCTGAGCTATTATCTTTGTGCAGCTCTGGCAAGCAGGAGCCATCCTGTGCACAGAGAAGACAGGCTAAACTAGGCCTGTTTCAGCAAAAGAAACTTAAAAAAAGAGCCACACACATACAAACTCCTTGCAGAAAGCAGATTTTCAAGAAGAATAAAGTGAACACTAAGTGCTAGTCTAAATAAAGAATTTCTCAAACCACATCTGTTGCTTCTGCTTGAGGTTTTCTAAACATGGAGGTTTCCCCAGGTCACAAAAGCTGTTTTTGCTACAGAGAAACAGCGATTCTGAATAACACTGTGAAAAGCACAGTACATAAAGGAAGGAAAATGTTTTGAAGCATAACACACAGACACAGATACAGTCAGATACATAAACATATAATAAAGGATCAAGGTTAGTGCTGTAGTTCAGCTATTATATAACATCTACACAGCTCAAAAAGCAAATATGATTCTCTCTCCCACACACACACACACACATACACACAGGATTGCTGTGAGCTGTAAGAACCCACATTCTGGATTTTTACCCAACATACGTTGCAGTGCCTAACAAAAGTTGGATTATTAACCAGGATTCTGATTTCCTAATCACTTACAAAGTCCCTTTCCTAATTAAATATAAAGGATGCAGAAAATAGCTACGTTTTTCAGTAGTATGCTGCATGCTGTTTTCACAAACTGCCCTTCCCTCATCCCTAAGGCCTTCTAAAGTTGTCAGTTAAACAAAAATCTCGCTTGCCTATTAGTCTGCTGCAGCTGCAGCTTCCTGTCCATTAACCCTATCACATTCGGCTCTTTTTAAGATGCAGGCCTTGTGAAGAGTTGAGTTTCAGTTGTGGAAAAATACCAGAGCTGCTTTCAGAGCAGGGAGGAACAATGGGAGTGCAGTCTGAATTTAGAAACATTTCTTGTACAGCCCTAATTTAAACTAGGTCTCTAAAAATGGGAAGCAATTTTAAAAGGTTGTTTTAAAAGATAATTTATTTACAGTGCAATCCTGAATGTAACTACTCATAAGTAGTTGTTGTTTATCAATGGTACAGGTAAGTATACACAGGACACTGTAGCCAAAACTGGACAGCCTGATTTGGGGCCAGTTCTTAAGCACTTCACTTCTATGTGTGTGAAAAAGACACACACCTAGGCTTCATTCTTTTCCAAAACAGCCAGTATTTCAGTTTTGCTACCATAGGCCTTAAAATATGCTGTTGTGCTGAGGGAAAGGTAATAGTTCTAGATGAAACATTTCAAAGAACAGGTTTTCACACAGGTTCTCCAGTAAATGCTTACGTTTATGCTGACCTTTTTCTGTATCACAGTTAAAACAGTTAAGAAAACAAAAAGCCCCAGTTGCACCTACAAATTACCATGCAAAGAAATGTGTATACAAAAAGAGAAAGGAATATTAGCAACCTTGTATATGAACAGACCAAAATAAGGAAGTGTGAGTTTGCTGAAAGCAATTAGTAAAGAGAATAAAGAGTTCTGAGTATAAACCTCAAATAATATATCGAAAAGCCATGGGAGCAGGGAACCGATGAGCAAAGGTGGGTAGGTACACAAGGAAGCAACAGCATTCTGTGGCCGCAAAATAGAAAGGCTAGCAACCAAATTAAATCTATTTCTTAACTGCCCCAATCTCAACACTCAAGTAATGTAATCAAAGTTAAGACCAAGGGATGAACGGACACGGACACACACACACACACACACACACCCCTTTTGATTGTGGATTTTCACATGTGCATAATCCAAGGCAAAGAAATAATCCTAGGCTCTCTTGCCTCATGCTGTGGCCATGCTTTTCTAAGATAACCATCATTTTTACACTTCACAGGAAAACTCAGTGCTTATGCCACTAAGAAGATGTATGTCCTTCACCAAGGCTGTTTTTCAGGCTATACCAGCAAATTATGTTTAATACTGATTTGATATACAAAATTCTAGTTTCTGCGAGGCAGAAGCTTTTTGCCTTTCAAAACCTAATCACTGTTTTTCAGGATGGTGAGCAGCAAAACTCAGAATGTACCTTCACAGTTTTTGTCCATTTTCAAAATGCAGCAGGAACTGAACAATATAATAAAGGGGAAATATATATGCCACTTAACCATCTTCAGTGGAAACTAAGATAGGCAATTTCTGAGCAATTTTGCTAACCCAAGCAAAATCCCAAAGTGTTTAAGGGCAGTAAAATGTCCCCCAGTGAAGCCATGTGTATTGTGTCAGAAGGGCACATTATCTGCTTCCCTGTGTCATTCATATATGACATTTTTAAACCACAATTGCCTGGAACCAAAAGGCCCCCAAATGCCAAAAATCTACAGATTTCATTGAATCTTTTTGTTTGTGAAATCTTTTGTGAACATTTAAAAAAAAAAAAAATAGTGTTTGTGGCTAAAACTTGGGGACATTGTTTACTACTCTGTAGGTGACAATGTATTAGAAATAGGTCTACATATGTGCAAATTCAACAATGAGAAGTAAAGTAAGCCTACAGCTTATGTGGGGGTTATGTTCCAGGGATTGTGTCTAAAGTCAAAATTCCATATAGTCAAAACACACTAGGTTCAATGGTGGGTGGGATTGCTAAAGTCATTTTTCCTGGAACCCCGCCTCCTTTTTAACCCCCTTTTTTGCCAAGTTAAATGTGCACAAGTTAAATGTACGTAAATTGTGGGCTTGCTGTACACCAGTGGGGGTGGAATTTTTAACCCCATTTTAGAAGCAAGAGGGAGCTGGAAATAGCAAATCTACTAGGTTTTCTACTATCTGAGAGCAGAATACTCCTGGAATGCTGTGTCCTGTTCTGGGCTCCACAATTTAAGGAGGGTGTCGATAAGCTGAAATGTGGGGGGGGGGCAACCAACCTAATAAAGGGTCTGGAAACCAGGTCTTATGAGGAACAGTTGACGGAGCTGGGTATTTTTAGCCTGGAAAAGAGGAGACAGGAGATATGAAAGCCATGTATCTTAGGGGCTGTCACATGGAAGATGGAGCAAGCTTGTTTTCTCCTGCTCTCGAGAGTAGGACTCAAATCAATGGCTTCAAGTTACAAGGACGAAGATTTCAGGAAGAACTTTCTGACAGTAAGATCTGTTTGACAGTGGAACGGACTCCCTTGGGAGATTGTAGACTCTCCCACTTTCAATGTTTTAAAGCAGAGACTGGATGGCCATCTGTCTTGGATGCTTTGGTTGATATCCCTACATTGCATGGGGTTGGACTGGATGACCCTTGGATCCCTTCCAACACTGCAATTTTATGATTCTATGCATGTTTATATCCAGGAGTCTCAGAGACAGGTTTTATAATTTTAGGATACCCAATGTGGTGCCCTTCAGAGGTTCCTGGACCCCAACTTTCATTAATCCTAGCTAGTAGGAACCATGATTAGTCTAGCAACATCTGGAGGGCACCTTGTTGGCAACTCCTGATAAAAGTACAGAAACCTGTGTTTCTAATCTAAATGCAAAGGAATGGGCGGTGACAACCCACACAGGATCAAATTCATTCCCTACAGGAGAAAGAAGGAATCACCAGATAGTACTGCTAATCTATGGGATATTATTCAGTATTTGAAACTACTGAATAATAAAAGACCACACACTTAATCTGAATTCTTTATTATTATTCTGGTAATTCTTTGTATCCAGTGGTTTTATAGATCAAACGATAATCCAATAGGAGTTTATTTCAGATAGTTTGTGGGAGTCATAAAGCCACGGCAAAGGCTTGTAATATTGCAGGGTGCCCCCTGACCTCAGCTGACCAGCACTCTGAGCTTTACAATGTATTGGAATGTATTGACCTTAAATGGAGTTGTGTTTCCTCTGGGCAGTGATGACCTTATATGGTTTGTGGGTGGGTTAAAGGTAATGTGAGACATTGGCAAACGGCCATGCGGCTGGAGAGAGACAAAGGATAATAAAAAAGCTACGGGAGGAGAGAGAAGTTCGAAAGGAGCTGCTCATACCATCCTGAAAATATTGCTGGCTCTCTGTGTCTTTATTTTATGCTAAACTGCGCCATTTGTAACGGCTGGCTCCGACAAGTGGTGCCCCGTGTGAGGCAACTTAAAGAAAACAGTCTGAGGCAGACTAAGAGGATTTTAAAAGAAAACCATGTGAGGCTGAATAAAAGAATATGTCTGAGGCTTTTAAAAGAAAACCGTGTGAGGTTTTTCGATCCAAGCAAAACATATCATCGGCTCACCACGCCCGGCAAGGGTTGCAAGCGCTAATCATCTTAAAAAGATCCCGGTGAGTTCGATCTCTTTTTTCTATCTTGATTTTAGAAAAATGGGCAGCTCTTTGTCTACTCCCCAACAGAAATTTTTAAAAGACTTAAAATTTCTCCTCTCCAACAAATTGGAAGTTCCGGAGGGTGATTTGATACAGCTCATTCTGGCCATCGAAGAGCATTCCCCCTGGTTTCCTGCAGATGGGACTTGGGAATTAAAACTTTGGGACAAGATTGGGGCACATTTTCATGGGCACCCCAGCATAGGTGTTCGGATTCTAAATGCATGGTGCAAGGTTCGTTACGCCATGGGCTCTTTATCACCAAAAAATATCTCCATGGCTGCATTGCCAACACAACCTCCAGCTTCCTTAGTCCAGCCTGCTGTGTTACAGTCTGTTCCAATACTTGCCTTGCCAGCAGCTCCAGACCCCAAACCTCCGGACTACAGTTCCTCACCTGAGGACCCAATCCTGCAAAAATACCGTGGTCTGGCTGGCAATGATCCTAATCTTTCAGCGGCAGAACCAGCTACCCCTTTTCAACATGCAGTCCTTGCCTGTTCCTTAATTCAGGATACTATGGCATTCCCTGTTATTGTGCCCCCTGCTGGTGCCCCAGCAGGCACCCAAGCCCAACACCAACCTTTTGACTTTAAGATTTTGAAAGAGCTGCAACAGTCAGTAAAGGCCAATGGACTCCAAGCCCCATATACGCAGGCGCTTTTAGAAGCCACATTAGCCCAGCTCTTGGTTCCAGAGGACATCAAGCTTTTGGCCCATACAGTGTTACCCCCATCAGCTGGTGTTTTGTTTGCCCACGAATGGGAAACTGCCTGCCGTGCTTATGCTCCAGCCTTGTTACAACAAGTCAGAGGAAATAATCCAAATGTTACCCTCGCAGACGTCACAGATGCCATGATGGGGCGTGGTCCCTTCGCTCAAGCTTCAGTGCAAGCCACACTGCTGCAAATCTTATTGAGGGACACTGCTCTTGCTGCTAAACAAGCAATGAGAAAAATCCCAGAACCCAGTATTCAATCAAGGTGGGGTTCAATCAGGCAAGAGGCAAGAGAATCATATTCTTCCTTTATGGACAGGCTGCTTACAGCAGTGAGTCGCCAAATTGAAAATCCTGAAGCCAAACAAATAATTATCAAACAATTGGCCTTTGAAAATGCCAATGAGGATTGTAAGGTTGCGTTACGACCGATAATACACAATCCTGCCACAGACACAGCAGCCATGCTTCGCATTTGTCAGTCTGTAGGTACAGCCACCCATAAGGCTCATCTGCTGGCAACAGCGCTAAATGAAAACCAGCCTGTAGCCACCGATACAACTTGTTTCCAGTGTGGCAAACCAGGATCACCGATACCCCAGTGGGGGTAGAACAGTGGCCTCTACCAAAAGAAAATCCGCAGCAGCGGCACCAGCTATCTCTGACCAGCTTATTTCTGAACAATTGACTTTCGGCCACATTGAACCATCTTCATCCCACTGGCTCCAGCAGACAGGGAACGGTTTGCTTTTACATTGCCAGTATATAACAATTCGCAGCCCACCCAGCGATATCAGTGGGTTGTCCTGCCTCAAGGCATGCGGAACTCCCCTACACTTTGTCAACATTTTGTGGGTGAAGCATTGAAACCTTTCCGCATGCGCCACCTAGGGGTGCTGCACACAAGCTGCATCTGGCAGTGTTTGCCTTCCTAAACATTTGCCTTGCCATCCTTTGCTGCACCGTTATACAAGGATCCAGCAGACGACCCAGTCCAGTTGAAACCACCATATTTCACCTCATCGGCTGGCAAGCAGCTGTTGTCAGCTTCCTACTCTGGCTGGCAGTATCCACGGCTCAGCCACTTTCGAACTAGAAGAACAGCGTTGTTGAATAAGACTTTTAGGGGAGAAAATTATCATAAGATATGGAGGGATAATATTTTTGTACAAGATATGATTATGTTTGCCAGTTTATTGCATGCTTCTAAATGTTGGGTGTGTATGCCAGTCATTCCGGCATAATGCTTCATGGTGTGCCTGTCAATGGATCTTTTCAATTTATTAATATTATATCCCCTAAGCAAACTTTTTGGCCTCCAGTACAATTGACCCTCCATGAGCCTGCCCCCATTTGTTTTCAAATTAAAGAGGGGAAAGAATCATGGGGCATATATCCAAACTGTCAATATACATTGAATTTCACTTTTAATAGCTCTTGTTCTCTTACAGGAACATACAGTGACCAATCTCAGTGCTATAGGAGTGACACCAGTGCATGGCTAATAAACTAGAAAGGAAGCCTACCATGCAGCTTGGAATCAGAATTCTTATATTCTTGGCTCCCAGATGGGAGTTGGCTTCGACATTTATTGATTTTAGTGATCATTATAGTAGTTATTTGCATTATTCTGTGTTGCTGTATCCAATGTATTCCGTCTTTAATTTCTATATGTACTGCATGGTTCTTCAGTCCGCGGCCCGCTTCCGGTGTCACAAGAGTCGCTTATCGCGCTCGATATTGGTATTGGTATTGGTACTGACATATATGACTCTGATTAATAAAATAAAGAAAGAGGGCATGTGGGAGTCATAAAGCCACGGCAAAGGCTTGTAATATTGCAGGGTGCCCCCTGACCTCGGCTGACCAGCACTCTGAGCTTTACAATGTATTGGAATGTATTGACCTTAAATGGAGTTGTGTTTCCTCTGGGCAGTGATGACCTTATATGGTTTGTGGGTGGGTTAAAGCCATGACCGGATGTAGGTAATGTGAGACATTGGCAAACAGCCATGCGGCTGGAGAGAGACAAAGGATAATAAAAAAGCTACGGGAGGAGAGAGAAGTTCGAAAGGAGCTGCACATACCATCCTGAAAATATTGCTGGCTCTCTGTGTCTTTATTTTATGCTAAACTGCGCCATTTGTAACGGCTGGCTCTGACAACAGTTAGAAATGTGGTCGTGTTTTAGAACACTACCTTAAGAAAAACACTTTAGGACAAGAATCAAGAACGTAAGAAGAGCCTGCTGGATCAGGCCAAAACCCCTCTAGCTCTACTGCACCTCCTCTTCCCAACATGGTCAACTGGTACAAGTGTTGTGACAGTGAAGATGACTAAAAGGGACAAAAAAGCACAACCAGCCTCTTCCCACAATCAACATATAACGCATACAGCTGTCGTGTTTTCAAATGGCTGTTATACTGGAGAGTACAGGACTGAAGTTTGAAGGTATGGTTATGGTCTGAAGACATAGGAGGGCACCACCTTGCTAAAGGTAAGCAGGACTGGGTCTGATCAATGCCTGCCTGTGAAGCCTCCAGGGAACTATGTGTATGCTTCCTTGTGTTCCATGTTAGAAGAAAGGAGGGATATAAATGTAAATAATAAATAAATACACTCGCTCTTAGATAGGGAGAGACTGAAAGCACAGCAACGTTCTATCCATGTAATGGGAGAGACTGAACATAGACCTGAGACAACCAACACTGTAATGGACAATTATAAAGGGTGCTTCCTGGTGGTAGATGGGGGGCGGGAGGGAGTCCAAACAGTAAAACATGCAAACCAAAGGGATCAAATCATTGCAGGTAGAGAAAGGAAAGAATATTCCTTTAGTTCTGCAGTACAAGACAATGCTGCTCATGTAGTATAACACATTTCTTGGAAATACTTAGCTACAGCTTTAGTGTGCAGTTGTGTCAATAATATATGACATTTCAAGAATGGGGGGGGGGGGCACGAATCAACAGGCTAATGTCTTTGAAGTCTAATGCTAACATGGAATGCTAAGCCATATACTAGGCATGTGGGGAACCTATGGCCTTCCAGTTGCTATTGGATTACAAGTCACATCAGCTTCAGCCAGCAAAGCCAGTGGTCAAGGATGATTGTGTGAGTTGTAGTCCAACAATGCCTGAAGGCAACAGGTTTTCCATCTCTGCCATAAACAATAGTTTTGTAAGCCACTTGGCACATGAGCTGTGCGTTCTGAGTGCTTTGCTCCTCCCCTTTGTATGAATCATAGAATTGTAAAGTTGGAAGGAATACTTAAGGTTGCAGGAATCTCCACACACAATCCCCCATCCAATTTAAAACCATACCAGACCCTGTTTAGTTTTGCAAATGTGCTAGCAGTTTTATTGATGCACCACTAGGAAGTCAACAAACCATGACGGGGGTTTGTTTAGCATCATGTATAAACCTGTACCTAGGGTAGCTTTTGCCCTAAAAACACACACACAATCGCTAACAGAAAATCATGGTTTAAGGCTAGCTGGAGATCAGGGTTTGTTCTGGTGAAACAAAGTACATTTGGGTTCAGACGTCACACTAAGCCCTTGGTGGTTTGTTTACCCACTTGCACAAAGGAAGGGGTGAAAGAGAAAGTGCCCAAGCTACATGCACAGTGTGGCTTACTAAAACATAGCTTTGGCTTAGCATTTATATGTAATCACCACTTGTAAAACTGCAAGGGTGCTTTTCTAACAATGAGAAATGAGCAACTAATATTTACTTGAATTATTACATCCTGAGGGGGAAAGATTATTATAGGAATGTGGCTATTTTTTGCACCATGAATTCATTTTATGAACTTTAAACAGATATTTAATTTGTACTTGACTGTACACATGTTCCAAGCACAATTGCCCCCAGCGGACTGCACACCCATATTAACACCAAAATGGCTGCTAGCAGCAGTGTCAGTGCTGTAGACAAAGCTTCCTTTGCCTTGCCCTGTCTAATACAGAGGAGCATTTTGCAAACTGCACATGTAGCTCTTATTCACTCTTGGTGCTTTAAAGTTTTAATGATTCGGAAGCCAAGAAAGAGAGAGAGAGAGAGTCCACTATGGAGGCTGCCCATGTGGCTTTATTTCACTGGCAGCTCTGCTTCAGTGTTATTCATATCAAGAACAACATTCCCAAACAAATACAACTGGTATACAGTTTGATTCTCTGTGGGAAAGACGTCCTGGCTCTGGGAGTGCAATGGCGCTGATGGTGGCTGGGCACATAGCCAAAGTGACACATTCAGTCCCTGGAGGGAGGATTTGGTCACATATCAGCTAGTAATTTAATAGCAGCAATAGCTAGATGAGGCCTCAAGTTCTGCTCTTCTAAAACAACAAAATGCTTTACTGAGCTAAAGCAAAGGGCTTTTAAGTGCCAGTAAAAACAAAGACTAATTGGGGAGCCCTCTCAGGTAGTTCATGTTGTTTTGAACTCAGAGGCAAACAGCAGATTTATCTCACTATGGTAAACATATCCTTTAAGTATTTTAAATTAGGAAAGTGGAAGAAATATTGGAGCTTGATCTTCCCCCATTTGGAATGATCTTGCATGCCAAGTCCCAAAAAGAATGAGAGGCAAAAGTACATTTTATTGGAACAATATATGCTGTTGAAAGCAAGGAAGCTTTCATGCTTCAAGCTAAGGCAACTGAAAAAACCCCTGCTGCAATCAGTGAATGAAGTGTCTTATCCTGTAATAAAAGGCCATTAAAATGCATGGCCTACTGCAGGATTAGCCAATTGCTTTTCCTGGGGTGTGGCTATTTGAGAGTGTAGGCTGTAGAAAAACAACAATGAAATGGGAAGGGCAGGCAGGAAGGCGGAAATAGAGGGCTAAAGTCAGAGATGTTAATCAGTAGCAGTCTGAAGAACCCAAGTGGTAAAAGATGAAGTGGGGGTTGAAAACCATGAAAACAAAGCCTAGAAAGAAACAGAAGGATGTGGGAGAAGAGTTGTTGTTTTTTCAATCAACCACAAGCCAGTAGAAAACTCTAGAAACATGGCACTTTCCCTCAATTCTTCTCTTTACAGATTGCCTCAGAGAGAGTGCATTATTACCCATAAGGCAGAAGGGAGGGAGGGTTGCTCCCAGAAAATGCCACACATGGTACTTATGGCCCACAACACTACAAATAAGAGCTCTCCCTGAAGAGCAGCCAGTGCCTGACACAGACAAAAGAAGATGCTTTTCTGTCCACAAGACATGAAAACAGTAATTGCTGAGACATGTTCAGGCAGAAAGGAAAAAGCTGTGTAGAAGAAAACAGGCAACATGAGCTATATGAAAAGGAAAAATAGATGCATACAGAAGTAGGCTGCTCAACTATGCATACTACAAAGGAGTCAGAGAGCTGCTGCAGATGGTTCACTGTACCAGATAGGAGACTGGAGCAGCATACATGTTTCTGAAATGGGGGAGAGAAGAATATGTCCACAAGGTTGACAGACAGAAGACTGTATTTCAAAAGTAACTGGAAAAAGATATATGCCTTCACTGGTAGTATTACTGGCCTATGCACATTTCAAGGGTCTACATTAGTAAAGTAGTTCAGAATATTTTTTTTAGCATCATGCAAGTAATAAAAAAAAAAAAATTCCCCAAAGAGAAGGTGCTCAGGTACTATATGAAACAAGTATTTTGCATAACAGAAATTAGAAATAAAACATGAGATACAAAACAGTCTTACCTAGTATTGAAAGCTTACCTTCTGGTTAAAGTTTTCTAAACATATGAATTAACAAGCAAGCAAAGGGTATATGGAGGATGTTGGCAAACCATCCAGGCTAGTGAACTGGGGGGGAAATAATGGGTAAATGGAATAACAATGCCAACTGGCCTTCAGCTATGCAAATCACCTTGAGGGGTAATAATAGCCTTTCTAGCCTATAGCTGCAAGGGTACTGTTAGGTGATATGACAGCGATCAGGATGCATCCTGTTATCTCTCCTTCAGTGTTTCTCAAGCAATTTAGACCAGTGTTTTTCAAAGAGTGGGCCCTGGGCCAAGACTTTCAGATGGGCTTCTGTGCCAAGGCAGTGCCTCCTTATTTGTCTGCCATGCCTTCCAGCCATGCTATAGCCTTCTAGTAGGAGCAATGCCAGCAACAGCATCTTCTTGCATGCTGAGTAAAGGTGGCCTGGAAAAGAGGGGAAGGGAAGTAAGGTCTCCCTCCTCTGAGAGAAAAGGGCAAGAGGTGGTGTTGAAGCAAATTAAAAAATGAAATAATATATTACTAATAATAATAAACAGGGAAAAGAAATGAATGGGAAAAGAGAGGGAACCTGTTATAAGTGAATATAAAAAGGCCCAGTGAGAAAGGATAAAAGAAACAAACAGGGGTTGGGTGGGGAGCAGCAGGGGTTGGGTGGGGGGCAGGGGAGTAGGAATAAGGCACAAGTTGACTGAGAAAGAAGAATGTGGGGGGGGGGAATTACAGAATATTGGGGGGGGCATTCAGAGCTATGTGGTGCCGGAAAGAGAAAAAATATTTTTAAAAGGCTTCTGCACTTGGAACCTCTGGATTAGAATATTTTGCCTAAAATGTAGGTGCTCACTCACAATACCTCCAGACCAAATTTTGTGCTTAGGTTGAGGAAAGCTAAGCTATGGAACTCCTTGCCACAAGCAAAACATTTTGACAATGAATTTAGCAATTCCCAGTTATGAATTATATATTAGTAGAATATAATTTTCAGCAGTCTCAAGCAGGCCCTTGTGTTAAGAAGTTGGAGAACCTCCGACCTCCCTTTCTAAAAAAACTGGGGCTTCCCAACCAAGCATCTATTCTACACCTGTATATATAGAAATTCTTGCTACTGTTCTTTTTGGGAATCTATCTATTGGTGTAGTAATCTCACACAGCTAATAAAAGTAGTGAAGCAGTATGGACAGTATGGTTGCACAGTCATCAGCAGGGATCCATCTTGTAGTAACGAGGTGGGGCTTTTCTACTATGGTGGCCTCTTAATGGAATCATCTCTCCTCTGAGTTATGACAGGCACTCACACTGATTATATTTATGCACCTGCTGAAATCTCATTTATTCTTCCAAGCCTTTGCCGGCAGTTAATACCAATCTCTTCTTAATTTGTTTGCTTTCGATTACTGTTTTCCCTGTTTTCCCTTTTTTAAAGAGATTATTGTATGGATGCTAATATTCCAGTTTTTACCTTGTGCTGTACATCACTTTGTGGTTTTTAAATGAAAGGCAACAGAAAAATATTTTAAAATGAATAACACCGTTCCACACCCTGCCCACCATTTTTCTCATCCTCCTCTAACAGTCAGTCAACATTTTGAGGGGTTTCTATGTCATTCCCAGATGCAGAAATTAAACAATTTAATGTATGGATGTATTTGGGAAGCTGTCCCTTAGGACACTTAAAAATAACAAAGTAACCTTGAGTCTGCCAATACTAATTCAAGCTTTCCCTTACTTTTGTAGCCAAATCTGCTCAAGCCATGGACAACATACAGCTACTACTATATAGGCAAGTGAGCTCTTGCAACAAAATGTTGCAATGCTTCTATTGAAGGTCCCAAACTCCCCATTCCACAGCCCTAATTCTTCCCACTCCCCAACAGTCCGTCAGCATGGGGGGAGACTGTGGATGTGGGCACACTACATTAAATTATTTAATTCCATCTACATAAAAATATTTAATTTCCATTGATATCTATGGGCAGATGTCTCTTTTCTGACCCTGGAGACATGGAAAAACAGCTTCCTCATATGAACTGGAAAGTGACCTAGCCAGATAGTGTAAAAGCTTTTATAGGAGGAACAAGTGAATGCAAAAGGACCAATGATGATTAATGAAATAAATTTGGGCTGGGAATTAGGTAAAAATTTAGTTTAAAAAGCGTATGGAAGAAATTACAGGACATGAGTAAAAATATCTGGATATATACCTCTACAGCAAACCTCTGTACTTAGCTTGAGGAAAGCTGAACTATGGAACTCCTTGACACAAGCAAAATTTTGTGATGAAGAACTTAGCAATTTCCAAAGATGGAACAGATATCATTAGAAAGTAATGTCAGCAATTGCTACCTGATTATGTCAAATTTTATCTCCATTTTGTGCTCTACCTCTGTACCACCATTTTGAGACTAATGGGCCTTAATAAATTTTAGCCATCTCAAGTGGGCCCTGTGAGTAGAAAGTTTGAGAGAACTTCTGCCTTAAGCAGCCATGTTCTACTGTGCCTTATCCTTTCGCGTGTAAACATTCAACCCATTGCTCTGTTAGCTCTAGTGAAATAGGATTTGCAAGTATATACTTGTTTTTAAACAAAATGTTTCCCATGTTTTTGTGTGGGTTCTGAATACTTCTTGTCTTCCATTAGCACAAACTCCTTCATCTCCATTTTAATAACATTGGGTTGCCGTGTCTGATGCAATTGCTTACAGACAGCTATATGGTTGCCTTGAATTATACAGCAGACTATTTAAAAGAAAGCTAGACTCCACCCATAGAATCTCATGTTTCAAATAGATAAATGGCTGGGTTAGAGGTTTTGCATTTCTGGAATTGTTCCCAGTCAAACTATTAACCCTGCCTTAAAAGACTGATATTTTGATCTACAGCTCAGCAAACCAGCTGCCTGAAACACTTGAGTAAGATGAACCAGTTTTCTAGCATGCAGAAAAGCTGGAGGTCATATCTGTGCATTGTTTTTTGCCTATTTGAACAAAATATTTTTTTTCATTTTTGTGGCTTGGGATATTTGTTCTAGCAAAGACTGCACATTCCTCATCTTCCTACAGACAACTTGAAAAACAGCAAGTAAACTCACATTGCTTGCAACAGGATCTTGACATGGTGTGAAAGCCTTTCTGATTAAACTTGTTAACTCTCAAGTGTCCTAACAAAGCTGATGCCATCAGTAAAGGACTGCTCTGGTTCTATCCTGGCTTGTGATCCAGTGTACTAATGGCAAGTTGTAACGTGCATGAATTGACTATATTTACTTGATAAAATTTATACACTGCTTGATTGTAAAAAAAGACCCTGAAAGCAGTTTACAAAAGATAAAACAGTAAAATCAAGAAAGATTCACAACCATACTTTAAAACATTCAAAAGTTAAAATACTAAAACAGATTAAAACTATCCCAACTTTCTAAGCATCTGGGTAGGTCTGTCTAAACATAAATGTTTTTAGCAGGTGTCAAAAATAGTACAGTACAGTGAAGGCTGCCTGCTTGATCTCAATAGACAGGGAGTTCCAAAGTTCAGGAACTGCTACACTAAATTATCAAGTTCTTACAAATGCAAAACAGGTATTATGTGGCACCGGTAAAGGTAAAGGTAAAGGGAATCCTGACCATTAGGTCCAGTCATGAATGACTCTGGGGTTGCGCGCTCATCTCTCTCTATAGGCCGAGGGAGCCGGCGTTTGTCCGCAGACAGCTTCCGGGTCATGTGGCCAGCATGACTAAGCCGCTTCTGGCGAACCAGAGCAGCACACGGAAACGCCGTTTACCTTCCCGCCGGAGCGGTACCTATTTATCTACTTGCACTTTGATGTGCTTTCAAACTGCTAGGTTGGCAGGAGCAGGGACCGAACAATGGGAGCTCACCCCGTTGCTGGGATTCGAACCGCCGACCTTCTGATTGGCAAGTCCTAGGCTATGTGGTTTAACCCACAGTGCCACGCGCGTCCCCTGTGGCACCTGTAGGTAGTACCAATTCCACTGATGAAAGTGGTTGAGTGGACACATGTAAGGTAAGGCGATCCCATAAATAAACATGTCCCAAGTTGTTAAGGGCTTTATATACTAATAGTAACACCTTGAACTTGGCCTAGGAGCAAATTGGCAGCCGGTGCAGATCTCTGAGCACAGGTGTTATATTCTAACAAAAGTCTCACTCCTGGAGCATTCATGTTGCAATGTACTGTACAGTACTAAAAGCAGCTACTGTGGCAAGTACTGAAAAAGTCCAGGAATGACCACAGCTGTTGAACCAGTCAGTCAGTAAAAGGCACTTCTATCCACTGAGGCTACATGGTGAAGTCCTCTCACCTCTTGTACCATGTCAACTTCACTTGGGAGGTAGCTTGTTTAAAAACACTCCACATCAAAATCATTATTTTCATGAGTAGGCAGACAGACACCTTCAGATAGGCAACCTTCCCCCATATGAAACCTCTTGTACTTCAGCTGCAGGATACTCCTTAAGTACTAAAGAGTATAATGGCCTCTTTTGGACCAAGGCAGTATTAAAGCAGTTAGTCGCAAGAATTCTGAGGAATAATGGCCCAATGATGCCTGTGTATGGGGGTGTGGGGAGATTAAAAGGGCAATGCTAATACTCAAAACTGGCACAGTTCCTTTTTTCATATGCTGCGTGATGTGCACTAATATACTATTTTAGAAATTCATATTGTTCTGGAGGACAAGCATGCAGCAGAGGCTTAGTTACACTTGGAAAGAATTTCCTTACTGATCACCTTTCAGCTTTTCTGGACCATCAGCATTTTGTTTTTTGAATTATTATTTATAAAAAATATTTATATACCACTGTATCAAAATATATATTCCAACAGTTTATATAAAAACATAAAACTACACAGTAAAATCATTTAAAAAAACTAAAAAGTTAAAAGCAAAAATAAATTAAAAACAACAAAAGTTCCCAGGGAATCCTCATGGTCTATCACCATACTTCAGGCAAGATGAGGCAGCTAAACATTCCTTATCAGCTAAATGCTGAGCCAAAACAACTACTTTCCCAGAGTCTGTTCTCCAATTAAAATATGCAGCTGGCATAGCTCAGTTGGTAGATTATGAGACTCTTAATCTCAGGGTCAGGGGATCAAACCCCACGTTGGGAAAAATATTATTGCATTGCAGGGGTTGGACTAGATGACCCTTGTGGTCCCTTTCAACGCTACAGTTCTATGATTCTATTTGGCTTTTACGGCTGCATGAAAGTAAAACAGATAATACAGATATGCTACATGCCTGCATATTGCAATTAACACTGCTGAGCCAACTGACTTTAAAACTATTCAAAATATAAACACTCTAGAATTAGAACATACTGCAGAGCTCAAATACAACATCTTTACTCATCAACATCTTTCTAGTTTTATTAAATGTTATCCAAATAACAAAATAGTATTTCATGAGACAAACACAAAAACTAAACCAAACCAAGGGTGGCATGAGATGTTACATTCACAAGAAAAAATAATAAAGCAGGTTATCTGGATGCTTGTGATAAGATACAGACAGGTAAGTGGAGGGTACCATCATAAGAAATGGGAGAACAAGACGTGTGGCACACATGACTTACAAGATATACAGAAACATAAATCTATAACTGAAACTATCAGAGGCACAAGGAGTACCAAAAATAAAAGGCTCTATATTACATTACGAAATATTTTCAACCAATTAGACCTTACTTATCCCAAATTTCTTGAGAGACTTGTGGAAAAGGCCAATGTAAATTTCTCTTTATATATATTCAATGGGATGCGGGTGGCGCTGTGGGTAAAACCTCAGTGCCTAGGACTTGCCGATCGTATGGTTGACAGTTCGAATCCCCGCGGCGGGGTGAGCTCCCGTCTTTCGGTCCCAGCTCCTGCCCACCTAGCAGTTCGAAAGCACCCCTAAGTGCAAGTAGATAAATAGATACCGCTTTATAGCGGGAAGGTAAACGGCGTTTCTGTGTGCTGTGCTGGTGCTGGCTCGCCAGAGCAGCTTCGTCACGCTAGCCACGTGACCCGGAAGTGTCTGCGGACAGCGCTGGCTCCCAGCCTCTTAAGTGAGATGAGCGCACAACCCTAGAGTCGGACACGACTGGCCCGTACGGGCAGGGGTACCTTTACCTTTATATATTCAATAAAATCCCATCAAAAGATGTTACCCTTGATTTTTCTTTCAAAAAATGAGTGTACAAGGGAGATTTTTCATATAATGCAATTTTTCATATATCATTCCACCTTAATGTGGTGTTAATTTCAGACAAAGAAGAAAATACTTTTAAAGGAAACAATAAGATATGATTTAGCCATGGTGAAGTCTGTTACTATTAAATGCATTCAAGGTCAGAAGGAATGTTTACTCCTAACTTAGCCAAAAACCACAGACTCTCTTATTGGGACTCAAAAGGCTACTGGCATGACTTAATTTCCAAAGACCTCGGAGCAATGAGAGGTGGGGTTAAGAAGATAAAGGCAGACTACTGCATGCAACTGTGGGATGATGTCAGCTTCATAAGGGTTTTGACATTTAGTATTTTTTAAAGGATGAGCAGGCAACACTGGAGACAATAGGTGTAATGCTACTACACTGCTCATGACCAATTGTATGGGTGCCAAAGTAAAACATAACATTTATGACCCATGTCTCAGAGCACAGGTTATGGTAAGATAAAGTGGTAAGATAGAGAAGTGATTGTAAGTCAAGTAAGGGGTGTCAAACCTTTCTGCCTCTCACTGATTTCCCCTCACAACCCATTCCTTCCAGCCACATTACTCCTGCTTGGCATCAAGATCAGAAATAATTCCAACTACCAGAGGGAAGAAACAATTTGGGTGAGAAATTGTGGGGCAGCATTCCAAGACACTGCTTTGCAGACATTCTGTGTAGTGCAGTTCTAGGCACACATGCTTGAACCAGGCAAGTGCTAACTAATGGGTGTTGCTACTGAAGTCTGCAAGTACATGACAACTGCTGCTGACAAGAAGCTCCTGCTGCCACTGCCATAACCCAAAATGCCAGTTAACTCTACTGGAAGGAAGAAATTTAGAACCAATTGACCCACATAACAAACTGCTTGCTATTTTTCTTGTTTTAATAATAAAAAAAATCCATTTCGGCTTGATGCATGTTCCTGGTTTTGTTCTTTGTGTACACATATACTTCTTGTGGCTGTGGGGATGCCCTCAGTTACATAATTTGTATAATGTTATTAGCTGTCCTGATGTGAAATGCAAAAAGGCAATTGCTTGTTCATGAGATTAGTTCTCTAGAAACAGATAAGGGGGTGGGATGCAGATGTGATGATGGAAAACACTGATGGTGATTACTACCCAACAATGAAAATGTGTATGACCACAATTTTTCTTTATAGTTAAACTATGAAAATAACAAAAAAAACAACACTAAGCTGAGAATTGTCAGACCAAATTAGCCACTTAAGCTTCAAAGAAAGGAAAAATCCATCTGCTTAAACTTCAAATGTGTGGCATTGGTTAATGTACGCTTCTAGTTGTCTGCTAGTCTATAAGAAGTAATAATTTCTTCCAAGTGAAAACCTTGCTAGGGCCCCTGCTGTCACCCTGCAACACTATGTATATACAGGCTGGATGGCTTACTAGAATATTTGTGGGTTGCTATACTTCAGTATTTGTCTGTCTGAGCAAAAGAACCTCTACACAAGAAAGATGTCTAGCAACAGTAATTCATTCAGCTCAAGTGTCTTCTTCTCTTTTATCCCAAATTCCCATTCCCTAAGTTTGAGTTGGCCCTAGTTATGGTTACCCAATGTTGCAGATTAGGCTGCAATTCTAGCCAAGTTTACTCAAAAGTAAAAAGGTTAAGGGACCCCTGACCGTTCGGTCCAGTTGTGGACAACTCTGGGGTTGTGGCGCTCATTTCACTTTACTGGCAGAGGGAGCTGGCATAAAAGCTTCTGGGTCATGTGGCCAGCATGACTAAGCTGCTTCTGGAGAACCAAAGCAGAGCATGGAAAAGCCGTTTACCTTCCCGCCGGAGCGGTACCTATTTATCTACTTGCACTTTTATGTGCTTTCGAACTGCTAGGTTGGCAGGAGCAGGGACCAAGCAACAGGAGCTCACCCCATTGCAGGGACTGGTTAGGATTGCATCTTTTGGCTATTATCTATCTTGTGAAGTTTGTCAAACATCTCAGCCCTGAATATATTTATCTGGAAGTAAGTTGGCTGCACTTACTGTAGCTTCCTTTTTCTGCCCTGTCCAGGTAGTGCAGGCATAGGCAAACTTGGCCCTCCAGATGTTTTGGGACTATAACTCCCATGATCCTTAGTTAACAAGACCAGTGGCCAGGGATGATGGGAATTGTAGTCCCAAAACATCTGGAGGGCCGAGTTTGCCTATGCCTGAGGTAGTGTAACAACTGTTCCTTTAACTGAACTTGCGAGCTATGCTTCCAATGGTGTCTCTAGGAACATTCAGTGCCTTTACTCTCTTTTTGTATCCTGCTCCTTGTTTGTGAAGGGCAATTATCTCTTCTCTTACCTTCCTGGACCATTCTCTTAACTTAGTCATTTTTCTAACATGCAGCCAAATTTGACACTCATGAAATACCTGAGCTGGCTAGGGGTTTGCTGTGTTCCACCTCAAGCACACCTGTTGCAACTAACGAAGCCCTTGATTAGTTGCATCAAGTGTGCTTGAGACAACACCTGCTGTATTTGTGCTGCTGTGAAGGATTCTGTTCAGGGGGTGAAATAATAGTGAGACTGGAGAAGCCAGTATAAGTTGCATTTTCTGCTGATTTTGGGGAAATCACTTTAAGTATCCATTGTGTTGAGCTATTTCAATTGCTTTTGTTTGATCTGCTCATTGCAAGCAGCTGAAATCTGTAAAATTTGATAATAAAGCTGATTTGCAATGGGGGTAGAATAATTTTGATTGTAACTATAAATCAAGTATTTGCTTCCAATAAAGTATACTTAGGACAGAAATTAAAAATGCTGTTCATCCAAGTTGGGTTGAGAACCCGCAAATTCATTCTTACATATCATATTTTTTGTGATAGGGCCTTTTGGAGTTACTCTATGTATTGCTTAAATTTAAATTAAATTCTAGCTGTAGTCTTAAATCATTTCCAAGTACAGCCTGCTATAGCCAACTACGTCATACTCTGAGTAGATCCACTGAAATCAATGGACTTAAGATAGTCATGACTGACCTTTAAGTCCATTCCATATATGAATTAATCAAATATCACCCAGATACTTGTACCATAAACAACTGTTAAATGGTTGCTCTGCTTGTGTCATCTTCTACCTTAATGTACTCCATACTCCAAGTTACCTAGTGTAACACCTACTTAACTAAAAAAAATAAGAGAGTAACTTAGAGGAGAGGAGTAATGCAGGGTGTTAATAACTGCTTCTGCTTTCTCCTCTTGCGTTAATAGAAATATAGCACCCTCTTGTGTTGCCTTACTCTAGAGTCATGAAAAAGTTTTATTAAAAAAGAGCAAGGGCTGTAGTTTTAAACATCTCTGAAGTATCAGTCTGAAGCAAGAGTTGCATAGCCACACAAAATGTAAAGAACTTAAATGTATACGGTTAAACAAATAAGTCATTGGCAACGCATGCATGCATATGCACATGCGCATGCGCACACACACACACACAGAGGTCCTCCTGCAATTGTTAAGAATATTCCCATGGTGAAGAGTGTACACCTACTGAATCATAAGGCAGGGAAATACCATATTCCAAGGTGAATGGGAAAAATGAAATTATTTTAGACCTTGTTCAAGTAACCAGCTCAATGAATGCACCTACTGCAATTCAGCCTTTGTGTGACACTCCTCCAAGTTTCAATTCAGTTAAGAGTATGTACCCATCCACATGTAATGGTCTGGTCCTGGCTTGGCCCCCGAGCCAAAAAAGCCCAGGGATGTTACATTCCCAGGACAAGGCCTGGCCAAACTCTGGAGGTCCAAGGTAGCAGCTGGGTAACAAAGCAATTCAAATACACAAGGTCTTAAGAATTAGTCAAGGTTGAGCAGTCCACAGTGAGGCAGCCCAAAAGTGGGCATGGTCCAATAGCAGAATCATGAAACAAAGTCAAGGTCAAACACAGCAGAGTACTGTAGTCCAAGAGCAAGGTATTAGTAGGTGACAGCCAGGGAAGCAACCAGAAACTGGGTTGCACACAGCTGAGAATCAATATTGTTCCACAACTAACAGTCTTCAAATGGAACATGATGTACCGTATTTTTTGCTCTATAGGAAGCACTTTTCCCCCTCCAAAAACGAAGGGGAAATGTGTGTGCATCCTATGGAGCAAGTGCAGGGGGGAGGCAGGCAGGAGAAGCCCCCCAAAGCTGCACACAAGCTCCGCGCTGCTCTTGCGGGCTTTTCCTCAGGAGGGAGAAGGGACTGACGTGGCCAGTCTCTTTAGCCACGCGCCACCTCTCCAGCCGGGAGAGAGTGTGCGGGGCTTCTTTAGCCCCGCGCACCCTCTCCCGGCTGGAGAGGTGGCGCGTGGCTATGGCAGCAGCCTCTTTAGCTGTGCACCACTTCACCAGCAGGGAGAGGGTGTGTGGGGCTAAAGAAGCCATAGTCCCGGGCTTCCCCGGCAGCCTCAAGAAGCTCGCAGAGCAGTGGGAAGGCTTCGCGCCTTTCCGCTGCTCCCCGACCTGCTCTTTGGGGCTGGTGGTGGGGGAAAGCAGCGCTTCCCCCCACAAGCTCGGGGAGCAGCGGAAGGCTGCATGCCTTTCCGCTGCTCCCCGACCTGCTCTTTGGGACTGGCGGTGGGCTTTACCCTGCCAGCCCCAAAGAGCAGCTCGAAAAGAACCTGAAGCCTGGAGAGCGAGAGGGGTTGGTGCGCACCGACCCCTCTCGCTGTCCAGGCTTCCAAGGTAGCTGCCTGAAGGCGACTGAACGCACCTTGAACAGCACCTTGTTTTAGAGGGGGAGAACAAGGGGGGGAATTCTCCCCCTCTCTGCGCAGTGCCTCCTGCTGCTTTGCTGAAGGGGCGCTGGGCAGAGAGGGGGATAATTTTTTTTTCTTGTTCTCCCCCTCTAAAACAAGGTGCGTCCTATGGTCCGGTGCGCCCTATAGAGCAAAAAATACGGTAGTTTATAGTCGTCCAGACCTAGCTTCAACTTGTTAGCCCAACTTTCAAGGTTCCTTGCTTCTGAGAGCCCTTATTCTCAAGGAACCTGGTTCTTCTAGGCCTTGAGGCACACACTCTTATTATCAATACCCATTAGTATTACATTCTTGAGTACGTGAATACAACTATATAAAATAACTATTACAGACAAACAGAATGATTTTGGTTTTGTAAGCCTTATAGTTCATTTAAATAAAGAACTCAACTGAATAGGATGCAGGATATTTAGAAAATGAAATAGAAGCAGTTTCTTCAGTAAGTTCAGCCAAATATAAGCTCATAGCAGTTCTTAACACCTGTATTCAATTACAAGAGATCGAAAACATCTAAGAGGTGTCTTCTTTAGCAATTGATGCTCTTTGGTGATGTGAGGTGCACTGATGATCTTACCAAGATGGTCTGCAGTACGGAGAGGCCAGAATAACCTCATGAAAAATCTGTCCCATTTCCATCGCATGTTACAAAAACAAAAGGGGGGGGCTAGTATTCCAGAATTCTAATCTTGTGGAAATATAGGAGATTAAAAGAGGAACTACGTGTCTAGCTGAACAATGACAAACCTGGTTATTGTGATGAAATATTGTTCACAGCCAATAATTGCTGCCAGGGACAGGAGCCTGCCCCCCCCCCCCATGCAGGGGTTACGTTCTGGGCCCCAGCACACATAAATGAAATCATATGAAGGGGGAACACCCTCTAAAAAGCCTCTGAACACCCATTTTTTCCTGTTCTCCAGCTCTCTCTCCCCCTCGCTTTCCACACAACTCTCTCTTCAAAAAGAGCTGAAGTCCTGAGGCAAGCTGGAGCCTGGAGGCTGTGTGGCAAAGCAGCTGCTGCTACACTATTTTGCATGTCAGCTGCCAGGCGGGGAGGCTGAGCAGCCTAAACAAATCTCTGCTCTGCCCCAGGTGTTTTCGGGGCTGCTTCTTCCCTCACTGACTCCCTCTTTGGGCTCCAGGAAGGGTCTCCTCGGGAATCACAATGACTCTCTAGCTCTCTCCCACCATTTCCTGGTATGGTTCTATTTATTTAATTATTTCCCAGCGTCACACATATATGGGGTAGCACGTGAATAGAACACGTGTAAGGGGTGTGTGTGCCTGTACTTTGACTCAGAATCATCATCTCTACCCGCCATATCTTTCTCATACTAGTCAGAGAAAGTGGCATAAAACAGATGCCTCCCAAATCATGCTCAATAGCCACCTCCCCTTCTACACAGAAACCTGGATGACGCTTGTACGCATGACACACAAAAGAAAATATTGAGAATCCATTCCAGATCTTTCAAAAAAACAAAACATTGTATTAGTACAGTGGAATACTAGCTGAATAAAGACAATTTAATGTGACAGTATAGCAAAAAAATCCAACCCCCCCCCATAAATTATACCTCTATCAATAGTAAATGTGGAAAGGCCCTTAATTAGTTTCCTAAGGAAGAGTCTTTTCCCCTGGGTTCAACCAGACCATATTTATCTCTGAAATGTCTGTCACAGATTAACACATTTGTGTGAAATTTCTGTCATTGATTAGCTAGTATGAAAAGTGTTAATTTAAGTACCCATCAGAAGGAAAGTTTATCAAGCACTAAACATATTATTTAGTAACTGACACTCTGACAGATCACGTTCACTGTTCCCTACATGAAAAGCAAGTTCCTACTATACCGCTCTGCAGAAAATGTCATTCACTTCTGAATACCACTCTTTTTTTTAAACCCACTAAGTAAATGACTATCAGTAGCACAGAAATCTTGGCAGCATGAATAGTAACTGCAGCTTAATGAGAAACAGCCTAAAATATTACACTGGACACTTGGTACCACTCACTCTGGAATATAGCTATAATGGATAAAATCGTCCATAATTTGAGATTTCAGCAAGGACTAGAACCTCCAGACAATTTTTATGTGATTTGGGATTCCTTTATGACATATACAGACAAACTTCGTCACAAGCCTGATAAATCTGGAAATATGCTGGTACTTCATGATCTGCTAAAGTTGGTAGTTTTTACTTGGACGTTATTATTTTAACTCATATGTAACTACACATTCTACATGTCTGTTTTATAGTTTTGTTTTTCATCTTTTGATTTTCATCTGTTATCATTGTTTTATCTGTTTTATATACATTATAAAAAGGAATAAAAAGCTTTACAAACAAAACAAAACAATTCAGAAACGTCAACAAAACAATCTTCAGGAGCAGCTATTGCAACCTTTAAGGTAGTGATGGCCAAACTTGGCCCTCCAGTGTTTTGGGACTCCAACTTCCATCATCCCTAGCTAACAGGACCAGTGATCAGGGATGATGGGAATTGTAGTCCCAAAACAGCTGGAGGGCCAAGTTTGGCCATCACCGTTAAGGTATGCCAATAGGATGACTGAAATGAGGCACCAGAACTTCCCATCATTCTCCCAACAAGAGGACAAAATAACTAGAAAGAATGAAGACATTATCAACACATGGAGGGACATTGGAATCATATCCACACCCTTCCTTCCTGTCTCCGCTTCACATGTCAGCATAACATATGCAGTTCAATATGCGCCTATCAGAAATGCACAAACTTTAAAGCTCAGTACAGGAGAGACTTACTAAAAATGCACATAAATAGGACACGTACATAGGAACAAATACATGTATATAACTTTTAGACTGTACCAATCCCAAGGGAGGATGAAGAGGTGTGATTCTGCTTTCCTACTGCATGTTGACTTTATGTGCACTGCTGAGTATATGATCAGAACAAGAACTGAATATTGGGAGATACATGTTTAATCAATACATTTTTTAAAAAATCAAGTGTTAAAGCTTACATTGAACCTATGCCCATGCAAACATAATAACACTACTACAGGTTTCCTAGGCCAGCAAGTTACAAGAGAAAGTTTACTAAGATGCAAATTTGGCAAGTTTTTTCTTAAGTTATGCAAATTCCTAATGGCGTGCTCTGGTCCATGAGGTCACGAAAAGTCGGACACGACTAAACAATGGTTATAGAACCTGGTATTCATTTCCTGATATAGAACCTGATTCATTTCAATAAAATTATTTGGTAAAACGCCTTAGGGATTTTGGCTTGCCAGATTTCTGCCTGGCCTGTTATGAGCTTTTTAACAGCAGTGTGATCTGCAAACACTGGCTACATTGCTTATCTATATGCAGGACCAACCCACCCATGCATGACACAAGGTAGGCACCTGCCTTAGAAGGACGCAGGATCCACAGAGGCAGCAGATCCTGATGTACCGTATTTTTTGCTCTATAAGACTCACTTTTTCCCTCCTAAAAAGTAAGGGGAAGATGTGTGTGCGTCTCATGGAGCGAATGCAGGCTGTGCAGCTATCACAGAAGCCAGAACAGCAAGAGGGATTGCTGCTTTCACTGCGCAGCAATCCCTCTTGCTGTTCTGGCTTCTGAGATTCAGAATATATTTTTTCTTGTTTTCCTCCTCCAAAAACTAGGTGCATCTTGTGGTCTGGTGCGTCTTATAGAACGAAAAATATGGTAGATCTTTATTCCCTGCCCCACTGTTCCTAAAGTATATCAACCCCTCTTCCCTCGCTGGGAGGGGAGCACCAATTTTGTGTTTCACCTCAGGCACCAAAATGTACTGGGTTGGCCCTGTCACCATGCTTAGAAAAGCTTCACCTTCCAGTCTGTGTCCTGAAACAGCTGGCAGCCCTTCAGTTTGGCTGCCAGACCTTGTTAATCTGTGTCACTCCGACTTCCATGTATTAGACCTGGTCATTTGAGGTTGACTACACTTACCCCATCATGACAACCAAGTTCTTGTGTGGCTTTCTTTTACAACTCTGAAAAACAAACCAGATGAATTTGATTTTAGATTTAAGATGCATGAGAAAACAAATCAGCATTACTTCCCCCCCTATGTTTGGTTTATGATAAAGTCTTACACACCAATATTCAATTAAACTAAGCTACTGGTAGAGAAACACAAAATACTGTCATCTGCAAAACAGAAGACAACCACAGCATTTGTTCCTATATTCTTTTTTTGGTTTTGGTTCCTCATTAATTTCATCCTTTCTTATATGGAGCTAATAAGGTCTTAAGAGTCTGGTAGGCATTTTTTCTTTTACCCAGAACTTTAAGTTTATTAAACAATGAAATGTCATACAGAAAATTTCTGGCGTATCTTTACTGCTTACCCTCCAGTACACCTGAAGGTAGCAAAAGTTCAATTGAGGGAAACACAACAAATTGTGGCACACATAGCTCTGATCTCCAACAGAATGGAATGGCCAGGTGGCTCAGGAGGATCTGCAGAAGCAGGGGAGGGGGGCTAACACTGTTTCCCCCTCCCCCAGCTTCTTTTGCCTCACTCAGCCTAATGATGGGGCTGGCTGGAAATCTGAAGAGAGTGCTTCACGCTGCAACATTTTGTTGCAAGCCCCACTTAGAAGTCAACAAAATCTTAAGTGGAAATCCTCATTAACTGAAGGCTTTCTCGCCTGCGCTATTTGTATGAGTTTTATCATTCTGTGAGCTGCTGTGGAAATCCAGATTTAAAAGCAAGACTAGAAAGGCTCTGGAAAGAAGCAAACACAACAAACCAGGCCATACACAGATAAGATGCGTGAACGAAGGAAAGCAGCCTCCTCATAGCAGCCCCACTGCTCCACGCTGAGCATTGTGGCGGTTTATTTCTCCGACCCTCCAGGGTTTGGGGGCCAAGATCTACCATGACCCATTCCCCGTCCGTCCCGTCCCCCCAACCCCCCTCACGTTTCTGAGGGAGATGCCTGGGATGAAACCTGGGAACTTTCCCAAGGGAAACACGTGCTCTGCTACTCCTCCAGCTGCGGGGCCCTGCCTTGGGAGCCGGATTCAGGCCGACGTAAAGCCCACTAAGTTCAACAGGGCTAAGTTTCTGACGAAAGAAAAGAACCCCGAAAAAGCTTCCTCTCAGGATTGGGGTCTGCACGTCCTTCTTATTTTCAGAGAGTGGCTCGCTTCGGGTTTTTTAATGTGATAAAGCCTAGGACGCATATTTTGAGATTTTTTACCACATAAGGGAAACAAAAAAACAACAACAAGCCCGTCCCGCCACCCACAGCCGGTACCTGACGCTCTTTATTCTTTCTTAAAAACTCCTCGCAGGATGTTGCCTCCGCTCCCGAAAGCTCAGAGCAAGTGATACAGGTGGCTGGACCCGGCGCAGGCTCCACCTCCGGGGCCCAACGACTGGCCGCACTCAGGTGTCACTCACGCGAACCCCGCCTCCCTCCTCAAACAGCCGTTTCGAGCGTCGGGCAGCCTCCCTCAACCGCCCCTCTCCCTCCCTCCCTCCCTCCCCGATTCCCGAGTCCCCGCCCCTGGCAAGCTGCAGCCGAGGCAAGCGATTAGCCGCCGAAGCCGACAGTCACGTTCACCCTGCGCGGCGATTGGACGACCCCCGGAGGGAGGAGGCGGGCCAGAGTTGTGGAAGGGGTGAAAGTCGTTGGTGTTTACTAGGCGTGAGGTGAGGGGGGGGATTGTTGAGGAGTTTTTTTTTATTTATTTTAAAGGACTGCAGGGTGTTCTTCATCCTTCATCTCTCTTTCTTTCTCTCTTTCCCCTCCACTTTGGGGCCTGGAGCTTCCCCAGCCTCACAAGCCTCCTCAGCAATGGGGCTGCGGAAGAAGAATAAGAGCCCGCCAGTCCTGAGCCATGAGTTCGTTATCCAGAACCACGCGGACGCCGTGTCCTGCCTGGCCATGGGCCTCCTCTTGGGGCTTATGTTCGAGGTATCAGCGCTGTCTAGGGCCTGGGGGCGAGAGAGGGCGGGGGGCGGGTAGGGTGGTCAGCGTAGTAGCGGAGCGCGGGCTTCTCGGCTGAGGCACACCCCTTTCCTTCCCCCTCCTCCGCGCGCGGCCCCGCCCTTTTCCCAAATCTCGGCTCGGGCACTTCCTTTTCCTTGGCGATTCTCACCAGCCCCCTCTACGTGTGCCCGTTCACGTTCTTCCTCTGTGCAAGAGAGGCGACGTTATCCCTGTCGGGGCCGGCTTTGCCTACCGCTCCTCCTTCCTTCCCTCCCTCCCTTCCCCCGCACGGAGTCTTTTGCTCAGATAACTCGTGAAAGCAAGCCAAGCCACATGTTAGAGACCCTCTGTCGGGAGAGGGAGGGGTGGGGTGAGGTGGGATATAAATTCTCGGTGGTCGAACTGATAAGAAGAACAACAACACCCCACAACTAAATGATTTCTCGGCATAGCAGAGATAGATGCCTTTGGGTTAATGTAGCGCTAGATAAGGCAAAGTGGGAGGCAAAGTACTCCCCCCCCCCGCCCCTTCTCTGAAAGTTTTGTCCTGCCTCTACTATTACAGTGGTACCTTGGTTTAAGAACAGCTTAGTTTATGAACAACTTGAATTAAGAACCCTGCAAACCCGGAAGTAGGTTGAGTTTTTTTGCCTTGGAATGAGAACATGTGTCATTTCCTGTTGAGTGTGTTCCATTTCTAAATTGAGTCCCCTGCTGCTATGGGAAAGCATGCTTTGGTTTAAGAACGGACTTCCAGAGTGGATTAAGTTTGTAAACCAAGGTACAGTGGTACCTCGGGTTAAGAACCTAATTCGTTCTGGAGGTCCGTTCTTAACCTGAAACTGTTCTTAACCTGAGGTATCACTTTAGCTAGTGGGGCCTCCTGCTGCTGCCGCCACGTAATTTCTGTTCTCATCCTGAAGCAAAGTTCTTAACCCAAGGTACTATTTCTGGGTTAGCGGAGTCTGTAACCTGAAGTGTCTGTAACCCGAGGTACCACTGTATTCGAAATTGGCCCACCCTCCATTTTCAAGGCCCGAGAGAGAGAGAGAGAGAGTGAGTGTATAATCTGCTTGGCTGCTCTCTGGAGCTGGTCACACAGTGTTGCAAGCCCAGCCTTGGCATCTATTTTCAGCACTGAAGCTCAGTTCTAAGGTGTACGATAAGAACAGACCTCAGTCAGTATAAGGAATCTCAAGTTTCATTGGTTACTAAACTTTAATGAGAAGCTAGATTTGAAGGTTAGTATTTCTAGACTAGCCTTTTCCAATCTGGTTGTCTCTTCCAATCAGCCAGTGCTGATCGGAGTTGTAGTACAAAACATCTGGAGGGGCACCAGTTTGAGGAGGACCAGAACTCAGTACAGTATCTCATTTTCTGTGTTAAGCATTGTTTGTATGTGTACATTTTGAGGGACTGTCATATGTTTATATGAGTTGGCAATCGTGTGGTATGTGAAATGCAGCTATTAGGTGTATATTTGGCATGACACATATTATTGTAGCATTGATTATAACATATACTTATTGATACCTCTGCTACATTAGAAAGGGTGTATGGAGTGTTAGGGGAGCCGTAGTACCTTTGGTAGGGGACATACGCTCCTTCTGTGATAGTTTGTCCGCAATGGGCTCAGCTGCCACCTGTGGCTCCTAGAAGCTGTCAGCATGTAACTACACCCCAGAAATGGCTTCAGCTGGCCAGCTAAACCAGGTGTGGGTATCCGATTGGTCTCAAACCCTCAGTAAGTTAGTCTCCAGCACATAGAGCAGATGAGACCAATAGTGGGTTCAACAGTCAAGAAGGTGTTTTCTGCATGTGCTGTAGAGGGAAGTGAGGGGCACATAAGGCTTATCAACCTGGGAAGGTAGGCCATCTAGAAGAAGGAAAACTCTGATCCTAAAGCTCCATTGCCTTGTGGGATTTTGCTGGGAGAACAAAAGGCTAAGGAGTAAGCCCTACACAAATCCGGAGTGGAATTCCTAAGATGGTTGGATGGTGCCTTGTACACCTCCATCTGGCAACTCCTGCAGCACCAAACTCCTGCAGAGTTTGGTGCACTCCATTGTCTCTCAAAACAGATGGATGCCAACCAACATTAGAAAGCTAATAGGGTGCACGCTATTCAGAAGGAATGAGGTGTGTAAAAGTTATGGAAAGCTGTGTTAATGTGGTTGGTTGATTGCTTAAAGAATGCTTTTTGCCCCATTTGGTTCAAGCAGGAGGTAAACGAATTGTGACAAAAAGGTGTAAGATGTGTATGTTTGTTCTTTCCTTATGGGATACTGTTAATATAAACAACTTAACATGCCTTTTAAGCAGAAGTCTCAAGTGTGGCCAAATTTACATAAGCATGTTCATCATAAACCTGCAAAATGGAATTTGGAAAAAGACTCAGAATTACTTTTGCACACCTTAGATTTGATATAAAATGACTGTGTCACAGTTGTGCCCTGTTTTCAAAAAATGCCATCAAACATGATGTTACGTAGAGGTGGGCAGGCAAATCAATGAACAGTAAAGAGAGGGATATGTAGGGTTGAAAAGCCTCCCATGTGCTTTTCAAGAATCCCAGCTCAGTCTGAGGCAGTCTTAACAGCAAAGGAATTAGTAAACAGATCGGGGGAGTAAATAGGGAGAAAGGGGCAATGCTATGATTCTGGAACAACATACAAATATGAATGTTGAAGGATACAGAGGAAGTTCACAGGGAGCAGCAGGGGAAGGTCAACCAATTGGGGGTTAGGGAAGAGTTGCTCAGATCCAGCAATTTCCTCTCCACTACAGTTTTTACCCTAGTCATAAAGACATGTGGATCTAGACATTACTTTAGCCCAGGGATAGGGAACTCTGGTTCTCCACATGGATGTTGAAGACCAGTAACATTTGGAGGGTTTACCCTCACTGCTCTGTTTGCATGAAATCTGGATATTGCACAGCACTGTTATATGACAAAAGAATTGCAATGGCTAAGGTGATGGTCTGAAAATGAAGTGGTGCTGTTTTTTTTTATCTAAGGCCATTGTAAAAATGGGAAAGTTACAATAGGGAAATTAGTTTCTACCTTCACTCAGCAAGGTGTTTGAATTGGTCTTAGAGTAAAATACAACCAGAAGATTTGGCATAATTATGCTCCTCAATACAACTCAATGTAGTGCTAGTATGAGGAGACTTGTAGCAGATTGTTAACGTAATCAGGCTGCAAACTGCAGTTGTACTCTTAGATCTGCAATACATTAAGTACAAGTGTATAATAGACTGATGTTTGTGACTGGAATTTCAGTTTTTAGAGTTGTGAATATCTTCCAGATGGAACTTGCTGTTGGATTTACAGTAGCAATATAAGCATTCTAATTCAGTTTACAGTGGTACCTCGGGTTAAGTACTTAATTCGTTCCGGAGGTCCGTTCTTAACCTGAAACTGTTCTTAACCTGAAGCACCACTTTAGCTAATGGGGTCTCCCGCTGCTGCCGTGCCGCCGGAGCATGATTTCTGTTCTGATCCTGAAGCAAAGTTCTTAACCTGAAGCACTATTTCTGGGTTAGCGGAGTCTGTAACCTGAAGCGTATGTAACCCGAGGTACCACTGTATATACTTTTCTTTATTTCTGCTAATGGTGAAGGTGCAAAGATCCTCAGTGACTTTCTGGCTGCAGATATTGCCTTATATTATACATCCATATACTTGTTCTTTTAACACGTCTGATGCCTTGAAATGCATTTCCTTATGGAGTGTATGGTTTCCTCAAACAACCAAGTGCTACATAGTAATAAAATGATTTGTTTGCTTAAAAACTAGCAGAGAGTTAGGGAGGTTTTGACTTAATTGGGTAGCACTTAATTCCTTGGTGGACTGTGACCATAAGATGATACTCATTCCTGTACGTAGAGAGTAGGAGTTGTTTTTTTGAATGTGGAATTGTATTCTGCCTTCAGAGAAAAGCATTTTGTCTTTGTAGTGTCCCTATTTATTTGAGTGGAATGAATATGGCTTTCAAAACACTAAGAAAAATCCTACCATTGTCATTGGCTGTAAATCATCGCGTGTGTCCTGGCCTGTGTTGGTTAGCTGCCTGTTGCTGAAGGTGGACCAGGAAAGGATACTTACCTTTGCTTCCATGCTGTTTTGGTCCCTTGTGAGGAAATAATTTTCATCCCTGTTTCTTGAACTATCCTCTGAACAACTGTGCCTGCATCATAAAGGAGATTTGGGCCTGAATGTAATGTGCATGCTTCTGTGTATCAAAAATAAAATGGCAAGCATGTAAACAATGTATTAATGTGTATTTTGGGGATCCTTTGCCAATTTAACACTTTTCGTCCCTTAACAATGGTTCTGGGGTTGGACTCTCATGTTTCCTAACATTTTAGGCCCTGGTTTTTCCTATGGTTAGTCATTATTCTTATTATTATTGATGCCTGCACATGTTAAGCATGGCTAATGCTAAGCTGGCTTTGTTCATAACAAGAACTTAGGAGCCAACATCAAAACTTAGCTTTGGGTCCTCCTCATGATCAAACCCAGCTTAGTGTGTTAACCACGTTTTACATCAGTTGTAGACATAATGACTAACTGTGAGTAAAACTCACGGGAGTGAGGATTTGCACATCAGAGAGCACAATCTTGTGACTCTGATCTCTTAAGGGACTGTCAGTGTTACATCAGTGTCAGCCCTTGGTATGGCCCAATTTTAAATTTGGTGATACAATCCTAGACCAATGAATGTTTACCATCCCTGATGCATATAAATATATCAAGACTGAAAGCCAGAAAGTTGTGTGTTAAAACAAAGGATAAAAACTTTACAGTGGCAGCTTTTAGGAAACATGTACCGGTAAGTGATGTAAGCGCTTGCTAATTTGCCTTCTGTTTTAAATTTTAGGTTACAGCCAAATATGCCATTATGTTTATTACTGTTCAGTACAATGTTACATACACCACAGGTAAGAGTAAAACAAAATCATCTGCATGGCTGGCCATTGATTTAAACAATAAAACACTGATAAGTCTCATGCCAATTATTTACAGTGCAATTCTGTTCATGCTTACTCAGAAGTAAGTTCTGCTGAGTTCAGTGGGTCTTACTCCTTAGTTTGTATAGGATTGCAGCCTTCATTTATAATCTTTTTGAGTCTGCAGAACAGCCTGATCCCTGCATGTATATGTCTTTGGGACTGTAAAACATTAAAAAGTTCACTGACTTAAAAATGCAAGAGAGAAGACTCTCTTTTAAATTCCGTTAATCCTAGATAGCACATACTCCTAAGTCTTGAATTGTTACCCAGTTATTTCTTGAAGAATTCATCATAGAAATCTAAGACGTTAGAAATTAGCCAGACACCAGGCACGTTTTGCAACTGGTGCGGGTCCAATTGTGACCGCATGGAGATCTCTGGATGCCAGGTTAGCAACTGACATCTCCATCTGGCTGGCCCCTCCAGCTTTCTTAACAGGTAAGCAGAAGAGCTTATTTATTGCATTTATATCCCACCTTTTTCTCCAAGGAGTACATGGTTAATTCACCCCCCTCCTCAATTAATCCCTGCAACGACCCTTTTAGGTAGGTTAAGAGACTGTGACTGGCCCAAGGTCACCTAGTGAGCTTCCTGACTAAGTGGCGATTTGAACCCTAATCTCCCAGGTCCTAGTCCAACACTAACCACTATACCATACTGACTTCCTAGAGTACTTCTGCTAAGGGGAAGCTATATAAATTACGTCCGGAAATAAAAAGGAGGAAAGTAAAATGTCACTTACAGAAGGATCTGAAATACTTTCCTTGAAGCTTGAATTTGTTTTATTCTGAATTGTTTGATGTTTTAATGTGTTGTAAATCAATTTGAGATTTTTTTCTTTAAAATATAAAGTGGTATTGAACTGAAAATAATAATAAAATGAAGGATAAACAACAAACACCACCGAGAGAAATAGTGCCTAGATATTGTTGTGGTGACCACAACCTAGGCTAAAAGTGCCTTGGAGATTGGCTTATGAGTTTCTAAAACTGATCTAAGATAAGCAACATTGATGAAAACCATTTTTGTTTTCTTTTATTGCCTAATGGTTTTCCAAGTGCACTCTATACAGCTGGATTCTGTTGTAATAATAAGATGTTATGCATTTCAGATGAGAGGCCTGAACTGGTACATTTCTATGAGTATGGTCCAAAAGACGTGGCCACCATCTTTTTCTACATGCTTATAGCCATTATTCTTCATGCAGTGATTCAGGAATACATACTAGATGTAAGTTGACCATTATTAGATGGGTGTACATATTTTGGGTTTGATAAGTTCTTAGCTCTTAAGATGGCTTTCTAAATAATACATCTAGTACTTGTCATGAAGTACTTGATATTCGGTGCCAGAAATCAACAAACTGTTCATTCAGTGAGTCACTGCAAGGCTTGCTAGAGCAGGGGTTGGGGATCTGTGGCTTGTCAGAATCTGACTCCTATAAGGCCTCGCCAGCATGGCCAAGGATGAGGGGAGTTGGAGTCCATCAACACCTGGAAGCCCACAGCTTCCCTGTCTCTGTGTAAGAGACTTCTCTTACTGTCCTCTCATTGCTGAGCCAGAAAATTGATTCTTTGTCAGTCAAGAAGAGATACTAGTACCAGTAACCATATTGTATGCATGCTTGCCCACCATTCCAGTGGAATTTGCCTATTACCCTTTTTAGCTATACAGTATGTCATAAGCTGTACAAATTGGGCTCTGCACTGTGTGAGGTTCAGTAGCCAGTATGGGGCACAGCATGTTACATTTTTACAAATACTTGAGTATTAGGGCTACTCTGATAGGGTAGAATCGCTGTGGATGATGGTCATATTGCTGACCTGGCTAATAAGGCTAAAAGTCCAATTCATAGCATTATTGCATTGGAATACAAATAGAGAAGATAAGATAAGCACTAACGTTGTGCTGATTAGATTATCCAGATAGCGTAATCAGTACAGAAAAACACCCACTTCCTAACTCATGTAAACTCTTGCTCATGTTTTTGTTTTTTAATTTCTAGAAAATTAATAGACGTCTCCACTTGTCAAAAACAAAGCATAGCAAATTCAACGAATCAGGGCAACTAGCAGTTTTCTACTTGTTTTCATTTGTCTGGGGAGCCAGTATTTTGTCTGCAGTAAGTAAGTCAAGTTATCTTTCTAGAATTTCTTCGACATACATGTTAGCACAAAATATATGATCACTTCTTTTACCTGTATATTTCTCCCCATTAGGAAGAATTCACTACCAATCCAACTTTATTGTGGAAAGATTACCCACATTCTCGAATGTTGTAAGTGTTGTTCTTGTGTTCCTTCATCTGATTTTAGTGGATATTGCTTTACTTGTTCAATTAACTTTCTGATGTTCTTCAGGTTGAATACATCTCTGCAGTGTCTAATCTCCAATCATAGTTTTATACATTTGTGTTGTCACGTCCCCCTCAGTTGCGTTTCTCTCTCTCCAGAAGCTAATATATATGAAAAAAAGTTAACCTTCCTTTTTTAAGAAATTGTAACAGTCGCTGGTCTACTTTAGTTGCATCTCTTGTGACTCTGTTATGTTCTCTTGAATTGGGGGACAGGGGATAAGACTAACCCTCTTCAACCATTCATTTTGAATGAATGAAGAGGGCAGCAGGTATAAAAGTCCCATCTGCAATGTCCCCTTCCCTATAATACACTTAAAATTTCCCCCTACACAATCTGTGTCATGCATTCTTTTGAATATCTGAATATTCATCCTAGATTTATATAATAGTTTACAATATTTGCTGATATATTTACCAGCGTTTGAAATTATGTTTGACTTTGCAAATAGAATCCATTTGCAGTCAGCCAGGATCTTTCCTAATGCAAGCAGTTTAGACTCCATTATGTATGTAGGATTGTACATTAGTTTTCATTTAGGCTGAATTTAGTCTGCTGTTCCATTGTCCAGTCAACTGTGAAGCTCTTCAGAGGGGCTTGGGATTTTACTGCCCTTCCTATTTCATTGTCTGTTTCACACCCATATCTTGATAGTTTATTTAAAAAAACCCCAGTACAAATGTAGATCCAAGTGGGATCTACTGCCAGTGTAGTGACAGCTATTTTTGGTTGCCAACACCCTGTCCCCAATTCCTTGTCCATAAGAGGAGGGATCTTCTTATCCAATGGTTGCTATGCTTTTTCAGGAACATTTGAAAGACTATGCCAATTAAGTGCTGTCTGCATATTGAGATTGCATTTGTCAGGCTACAGTATGTGGTAGAGTGCCCTTGCTATCTTTCACTTGTATACATAATATTTAAACATTCATTAAAATAAAATATTAGGGAGTTTTTCTATGAATGTTGAGTGTTGCAGATTAATTTAATCAAGAAAGTCAAATTGTATGAGCAAAGTCTACATTCCTGACTGACTTTGCTAACAAAGCCAAAAAATACACTTGCAAGATTTCTCTCCCCTTCTGCCTTGGGGGAAAGTGCCTTTCCCCTACAGCAAAGGAGCATTCCAGCTTCAGCTGATGCTTGGTTATAGGAATTAAAATCCCTTTGCTCAGCAATAGCTGAAGAAGCTTCCCTCCCCCCACATATTTCTCTTTTGGAGAGTATATCAACTTCAGCTGATACTGGGTGGTGGCAGGCAAAAAACTCCCATGGAACTTTATTTGCCCTGGAGCCTGGTAAGGGTGATGTCATGGACTGGCTGGATGGATGCAGAGGAATGGTGGGAAGAACCATTGGTGGGATGATGAGCAGTCAGAGGGAGAATGCTAGGAAGAGAAGGTGTTGGAAGCTGAAGAGGTAACATGCCTTAGTGAGCTAGGAGAGTCTGTGGTAGAGGGAAGTCCAGAAGAGGCAGAAGCTGAAGCAGGGGAGGAGGGAGGGAGGCAGAGATGAGCCAGGCTGGTGAAGAGTCACAGGTGTCTCCCTCTCCTGCTGTGACACGCTCTGTTCCCCTCTGGTCTCCCATAACCAGATGAAGCATGAAAGGGGCCAAGGGAGGCTGAGACTTTGAGTCTCAGCAACTGATCCATGGGGCAAGATTTACCGGGGATGAGCTGCTGTACTCATTAGGCCTGACACTTTGCCAAGTCTGTACAGATTGTGTTATTGCTAATAAAGAGTTAACTCCAACTTGCATGGTGTGCTTTACTGCCAGCTCGCTCATGCCATGTTGTCCCAGGCAATCCCTGCCCTGCCTTGCTCCCAGCATGAGAACTGGAAGGTTACTGAAACTGTTTGGATTATCCCCCATCCCTCCCCCCATAACATGAAAGTTAGGAAGAAGGCACATTGTTCACTAGATAGCAGAGTCAAAATTGGCCTGGTGAGTGTAATGGTTGAAAGAGTTAGGTTAACACTGTTTTTGAATTTTTAATTATTTTGTGTGTGTGTTTAGTTTTCAGGTTAAATTCTTCTATATCTGCCAAATTGCCTATTGGCTTCATTCACTGCCAGAACTGTACTTCCAAAAGATTCGAAAGGTATGAGTTGCAATTTCACCATATTTTTATTGTTAATATTCTACCATATAAAAACTTTAGGCCAAAAAACAGCAAACTAGATTTTGGGTACAAAGAGAATGGTGGGTGTTCCAAATAAGGAGAAGTTTGAATGAAATGGGGAAAACTTAACGTTGCTGCCCTCCCTTTCCAGAACCCAAGAAAATAGCACTGGAAGACATTGTGAAGACAAAATGACGCAGTTAATGCCTGCAACTCAGTCTGCATTTCTTAATTTAAGTATGAAGAACAATGAAAGATCACACAGCTTGCGCAGAGTTGTTTCTTTTGTCTTTTTAAAGTGTAACATGTCTCCTTTTCCTCTTTCACATAATTCTAGGAAGATATTCCTAGACAGTTGTACTACATCTGTCTTTATATTGTTCACATATCCGGTGCCTACATTTTGAAGTAAGTACAGGCGTCCCCCCACTTACACGGGGGTTATGTTCCGGGGCCCCGCATGCATAATTGAAATTGGGTAAAGTGGGGAGCACCCCACTTTAATAGAAAGGGAGGGACAGAGAGAGAGAGAGTGGGTGAAGTGACTCTAGAGTAAGGAGGCTTGGAAGTTGGCAATCTCCCCTATGGAGAGGCAGTAGTGAGGTGGACTGGGTGAGCATCAGGGGAACAAGGCTGGGCTAGGCAAGTTGGCTTCCTCCCCTCCTCCCGCTGTCCAATCCAAAATGCAAGCAAGGTCTGGAAGAGAAAAAAAAAGGCACATCATTCCCCAGTGGGGGACTAGGGCACTCAGTATGTGCAGGCTCCATCCCAAGACTGCCGAGCCATCCCGGCTGTGGCATCTGGCTGCAAACCAGGCAAAGGGGTGAGAAGGGCAGCTGAGAGCAACTGCCACTGGGCATGTTGTCTTCCCACCACCTGTGCTGCCTCCATGTTCCAGTGCTGCTGTGCTGCAGCCCAGACAGGGAGGCAGGTGGACAGTTCCAGGAGGCTGAGTGTTTGTGTTGTCCCAGCCAAAAGGCAGGCAAGCAAGCAGTCAGGTGAGCAAACAAGCAGGCGATCAGCTCCTTGCACGGTGGGAGGACTCTCTGCAGTCTGCTCCCCTTCAGCTGCTTCAAGGGTTCAAATTTGCTGTGGCCTTTCCCTTGTTCGGGTAGTAGCCCCGAGCAAGGGAAAGCCCGCTTTATTTAGCAGTGACCCATGTAAAAACAGTTGTGCTTGAGTGGGGTGCGCTTAAGTGGGGGGGTGCCTGTATCTATAAACTTTGTATTTTATAGCATGCAAAGTAAATGTTCAGTAAATGTGTCTAAACCCTACTACCTATATGTTGTGTAAGGATAATGACACAATTGGGAAACAATGGTTAGATAATTTGATCTTAGCTGAGCTGGGATTTGAAAACAGATTTTTCTGTAGCAAAACAAACCGTACTGTAACTAGACCATGCATTGGCCTAATAGTTACTGATATCTTGAACTGTGTTAATATATTAAGGAAGATATTTATTTTAAATATTTCAGTCTGCATCGCTTGGGCTTAATTTTGCTGGTACCGCATTACCTTGTGGAACTTATTTTTCATGCCTCACGCCTTTTCTACTTCAGCGATGAGAATAAGCAAAAAGGGTAATTTCTATTTATTATTACTGTTACTATTATGAAATTAACTTTTATTTTTCTCCCTCTACCCCTTTCTTTTACTCCTCACCTCTTTTGTTACCAGCATAATAGCGTTTGGTTTGGGACCAGGTTATCTCACTAGTTGTGTGCATCTATTGGGCTTCCTGGGTCTTAAGAGCAGCCTTGGAGCAGTTCTCTAGTTTGCCACTGGGAAAGAGCAGGTTGGTAGTTACTAGGTGAAGGCCTTTTTCAGTGGTAGTCCCATATCTATAGAATTTCTTCCTCCAAGATTCAAAGGAATCTCAGGACTTCTATGTTCCTCTTCTTCCTGTCTTATACAGCTGTCTTTTGCAGACTTAAAATATTGCATGTGTACAGCAGGGTTGCCCTGTGCCACATGATGCAAGTTTTTGAAACTTTTATTGCAGAAGTAATATGATGTGGAAAGCGCCACTCAGTGGAAAACACTGCTATTCCTTGAGAATAATTCAATGTCATGCTATATTGATTGTTCAATCAGCTCAAGTTTTTCAGCTTGCCAGATGGAACAATCCCCCTCTTCCATCCCCCTTGTGCTGTTCTAGGTTTCTCTAGTCTTACCCCTAGATTCAATTTGCTGGAGTGCATGGAGGATGGAGGAAAGCCCCATTGCACAAGTGGAAGTCCTTGTGGACTCAAGAGCAACCTGATCAAATTTGCAGATGACACCAAACTGGGAGGGGTGGCTAACACCCCAGAGGACAGGATCACACTTCAAAACGACCTTGACAGATTAGAGAACTGGGCCAAAACAAACAAGATGAATTTTAACAGGGAGAAATGTAAAGTATTGCACTTGGGCAAAAAAATGAGAGGCACAAATACAAGATGGGTGACACCTGGCTTGAGAGCAGTACATGTGAAAAGGATCTAGGAGTCTTGGTTGACCACAAACTTGACATGAGCCAACAGTGTGACGCGGCAGCTAAAAAAGCCAATGCAATTCTGGGCTGCATCAATAGGAGTATAGCATCTAGATCAAGGGAAGTAATAGTGCCACTGTATTCTGCTCTGGTCAGACCTCACCTGGAGTACTGTGTCCAGTTCTGAGCACCACAGTTCAAGAAGGACACTGACAAACTGGAACGTGTCCAGAGGAGGGCAACCAAAATGGTCAAAGGCCTGGAAACGATGCCTTATGAGGAACGGCTAAGGGAGCTGGGCATGTTTAGCCTGGAGAAGAGGAGGTTAAGGGGTGATATGATAGCCATGTTCAAATATATAAAAGGATGTCACATAGAGGAGGGAGAAAGGTTGTTTTCTGCTGCTCCAGAGAAGTGGACACGGAGCAATGGATCCAAACTACAAGAAAGAAGATTCCACCTAAACATTAGGAAGAACTTCCTGACAGTAAGAGCTGTTCAACAGTGGAATTTGCTGCCAAGGAGTGTGGTGGAGTCTCCTTCTTTGGAGGTCTTTAAGCAGAGGCTTGACAACCATACGTCAGGAGTGCTCTGATGGTGTTTCCTGCTTGGCAGGGGGTTGGACTCGATGGCCCTTGTGGTCTCTTCCAACTCTCTGATTCTATGATTCCGATGATGGGATCTGTTAGATGCCCTTTCTAAGCAGCTATTTAGGATAATTATCAGTACAGTATTCAGGAAACTTAAAATCTGGTAATTTGCATTTGAGACCTGTCAGGAGTAAGCATGGGCCAATGGTATCAAATAGTATGGGAAGCAGCCTTATTAGAAAAACTAACCAATAAACTGAAACTGACATGGGGACAAAAACAATTAGGAAGAAAAAAGGGGAGGGGGTGGGGTCAGGTGGTTATGCTTCTATTCTTCTACTTAGTGGGGGGGTGTGACAGCGTTACTTGTATGGGTTTTCTTAATATTCACTAGTTGTATTTCTTTGGTGGTGAAAGTGGCTGGGGTGGCTTAGGGTGTGGTTGGTTGTCTTTGGTTGGCTGTAGTGAGAATTTGGGGGGGGGGGATTGAGTGTGTATTTTTGAATCAGGTTAGCCAGATTGATTCGTATGCTGTCGGCGGATTCTTGTCATTGTTTTGTTGTGCTGTGTATGTGATAAAGGGGAACCATACCATGGTGAATGTATCTTCTATAAACCAATTCATGAACCAAGAACTTGTACATTGACCACTAATAATGAAACACATGTTTTAAATATTTTACCACATTTATTATGCTATTTTTGTGATATACAAATGATGTGAGAAAACTCTGTATACTTGTTTGTAAAATATTATTCTTGTTTAAAAGAACCAGTTTTTTTTTAAAAATCTGGTAATTTAAGGCGTTCATGAAGCAACTGATTTGGGGGGAAACACTTACTGTGAATTTCTTTTCAGATTTACCCTCTGGGCTCTACTGTTCATATTGGCTCGCCTTCTGACTCTAACTTTGTCAGTTCTCACATTTGGATTTGGTCTAGCAAGAGCAGAAAATCCTGGCTTTTCCATAGCAGAAGGAAATTTCAACATACTAACTCTTAGGTATAGTGAATTTAATAAATGGCAAAGAACAAGCTATTCTTGCAGGAAAATGTACTGTTGGTTTTTTATTATTGCTCCTTTAAATATTACATTTATTAAGTTGATAGGTAATTTGTGTGAGATATCTGAAATCTATCTTAATTGATCAAGCGGGACCTTGCACGAAAATGTTGCAATCTTGAGTTCTTCTGTTCAGGATTTCATCCACTCCATTCTTTTTCTGTTCTTTCCCTCCCCAGTAGATAGCCAGCATTCAATGCCCACTAAGTGTACTCAAACACCCCCCTTTATTTTTGGTCCCTCCTGGGTTCAGGGTGGGAAGGAGAAACACAACAGTACTCAATGCCAGCTATGGTAAATTATGGAATATGCCCTTTGATTTATAGGCAGCTGTTGCTTCTGTCCCAGAACATTGGGAATATTCTCTTTATTTGGAGTTTGCTGGTAGCTTCTTCTTGTGCAAGCGCAGAAAGATATAAATCAGAAGTACATGGAATAGTGTTAGATAGCTCAAATAGCAAAACTATATATGAATTTCTGTTTTGAAATAAGTAAGTTCCAGCCATTTCAGCATTCTGTCTCCAGCAGTGACCAGCCTGGGGTCTCTGACAAGTTCATCCTCTGCTTGAGCTTGTATTTGGAAACAGGAGGGATATTGCTCCATATTTGTTAGGTCTATTAATAGTTATTAGCCATATCACTCAGAAACATCAGATTGCTTCTAAAAGCACAGGAAAGTGACATCCTCTTAACAAAGGTGCGGTTGCATGTCTTGAGTAATTTTTTTTCCTTCAGTACTCCATAAATGTAGATCATTTCAAACATGCTTGCCTCCAACATAACTTGAGCCAATTTAATGCATTATTTCTAAACTTTTCATATTTATTGTTCAGTGCTTGTAGTTGTATTAATTTCCATATAACATTTTTCAACTTACTAGAATTAGCTGTCTGGCTGCAATCTGTTTGACCCAAGCTTGGATGATGTGGAAATTCATTAATTTCCAATTAAAGAAATGGAGGGAGCATATTCAGAATCAAATTCCTAAGAAAACAACAAACATAAAGGTTAAACCAACAAGGAAAGAATCATCCAAAGGTAGGTATATTCCTCATACTGATATACTGCTATCAGTCACAAAATATAACTGCCACATTGGCATGTTGTTCTAAACCATGGTTTACTGTGATAAACATGAGCTGGAGTGCGTGTCTGGCTCATGTGCTTCCCCTCACCCTTTCCTGGTAGAACATTTGACTTCATTTACTTTTCCAGTTTGGCAGTGTTTTACATCATTAAGGAATATGTTGTGGGAAAGTCCACTATCAAGGTTTAACTCAAGTATGCTTGGTTTAGACAAGCTTCATAACTCTTGGTTCAAAGTTGGCTTGTTTTGAAATTAAGGTGGGGGGAGAGCTTGGGCTCATTCAGCTCATGCACATTGCAGTAAATATATGATCCAATTATTAAATTTATATCCCACCTTGCCTCCTGAAGGAGTGACCTCTTCCCAAATTCGGTGGCTTATTTTACTTCTGAAAAGTGCACAGTGCCACTGTTCGAAGTTATGGGAGAGGCTTCGGAAACAGGAGTGTTCCTCCTCTCTTATAGCTCCTAACAAAGACACTGTACCAGAGGAAGAAGTGGGACTTTTCAGAAGTAAGATCTTTGAAACTCCTTCATTTCCCCCATCTTTTTGCCCCAGTGCTTTAATGGAGTGAAATCTCCTTCTCTCCTCTGCTGAGTGCCTGTGTGATTATCTGGTGAACATAAGTGTGCTACCTGTATGGTCTGTTTAAGTGTGTCTTTGCCATGCCCACTACTGACATGAAGGCTTCAATCCTCATTGAAGCCCTCAGGCTGAAAAAGGTTGGCCACACCTGCACTAAACCATTGCTTAACAGCTAAAGTTTAGCATGATTTGTATATGTAGCAATTGATGGCTGGATGTGCAATATTATAGTGGCAGCTTCCAGTGAAAAGCATGTTACTTGCTTGGTTTCTTAGCACTGGAGTTGGTGTTGTGTTATAGAATGTAATTTGCTCAGTCCATTCATCTTGCTGTAGAGACAGAGGATACCTTGTTGGTTAAGTCTAAAGCAAACTTCATGTAGGGCTGCAGCGTGGTGTATGCTTAACATGTTAAGTGGACTGAATGAAGCTTATTTCTGAGTATACTGATTTGTATTGGATTGCACTATTAGTTGTTTTTAAATCCCTGATTTAACTCTGGTTGTGTACCTTTGATGATGAAAGTATCTGATCCAGTGGAGTCCTCTTGTGAGCAGAAAAGGGATTCACACGCTCTTTGGCGATTCTCCTCCTCCCTCCTGCAGCCCCGGGTGCTGCCTCCCAACTATGAGAATGTTTCGGAGCAAATATTGGGGGAACAGGGAAACTGTATGGGGAAATAGGAATATCCACCTACCTTTCTTCCAGATTTATCCTTGAGTTGGAGATGGGGAGTCTAGCAGTTTGGTAAGGTGAAGCTTGGGATATTTTCTGGAAAAATGGTTCTTCAAAGGACTATGCCAAGACATGTTCAGAGGGGAGAATTTTCAATAAGTTGCAGAGGTGGGTAGCAGAAGGAAGTGACAAAGGAACTGAGATTATTTATGACATATGTAATAGAAGGTACCCAGTATAAAACTTGGATGTTTAAGTAATAATACAAGTCTAATCCTGACAATTTAGGAGATTACAATTTTGTGTTTATAATTGGTGTTACATTAATCATCTCTTTTTATTGCAGCTAACTTTGTCAATGGAGCAGTAAAATTTGAAGAGGGTACATCACCTAGAAAAAGAAAATCAAAAATGTTATGAGGAGCATAGAACCAGAAAGCAACCTTTTAATTGAAGACTTTGGTGATTAATGAAAATGTTCCATTACCAGAGTTGTGTTCACTAAAGGACTCTGGTTGAAATAATATATTTTAAAAATTCATCAAAACAAAGTTATGGTGAGAACACTGTACTTCAACATGAGTTTTAGCTTATTTAACCTATATGCTCAATCTCCACTATTAATTTCAGTCTTTGAAAAATTATTTGTCTTACTCTTGAATGTAAGTACAAATCCTTCAATGCTATGGAAGGCTTATAAATCAGACATTGCTTTTATTTGAAGCTTTAAAATATAATTAATATTTCATTTAAGTATAAAGCTTTTAGAAACTTTAATTTCTGGACTTGGGCTGGAAGTTGTGTTAGGGGTTTTTCATTTTGTTTTTTAAGAAAATGTTTTGCACACTATTCTCAAACTGTCTGAAATGTCTATTCAGAAGTAATTCCAGATGGTTTTCCTATTTTAAAAGTTCATAATTTGGATAACTATGGTTAAACACAGTGTTTAAGGAAAGAGAATAAAATCAATGAATATCTTCATCTTGGAAAACTGCTAGTTCATTTGAGGCCACACTGTGTATTTGAAAATGACTGTGAAGGCAGTCTATTAAGGCAGATTTTGCTGAATTGGTCTCCTGAATTGCCTAATACGAAACCCCACATAGCTGGCTTTATTTATATATAATTACATGGCTTCTTGAAGTCCTGAAAAGTAAGTTTCAAAACTAAATCTTCTTCACATGGTGCTTAAGTTTGATTTATGCTGGTTTAGATACAATTAACTGTTTCATGAATCTAAAAATGAATGCTTAACGAGCAGAGCCGCATATCATTTCAGATTTAAGTCAAATTTCTTGTATTATGTAGTATAACAAACAACCAATATTTTTTTCTTATTTCAAAACAAGCTGAACCTGGCTCTTCAATGTCATAAACAGATACTTCATCAGTGGTTAGTATAACAGATGTGCATAATCACTAAACAGCACAGCTGTGTGATAAAATATCCAATTATAATTAAGGTTTAGAAAAATGGTTAACCTTTCAAGAGAAGTATTGTAAAACCCAAAGAGCTTACTAGACTCTTGCAGCTGGCTTCCAGAAGTCCAGTGTTATTTCTTTTACTTTGACCAAGCTGAATTTTATGTCGTCATGCAGGTTTTTAAACTCCTTACTGATTGAAGTATGTTTGTCATGCAGCATGGAGGGCAGTTGCAGCTTGAGTAAAAATAATTTTGAAGCCCCACTGGGTTCATTGAACTGCTTTCAGGGCACTGTTTTCAGGCTTCCATTTAGAAACTTCTTCCCCTACTGCCTTCCCAGGCTATCTTCTAGAGAAGTAGGAAGTGAAATATTTTCTGTAAATGAGACAAATGGAAACATAGACTGCAATCCTGAAAGCACATTCTAAGCTCCGTACTTTAGAGTGAGCAAGTAAGCAGTAAGAGCCTCTGCCCTTTATATGTGCTGTTGGTTGTGCTATATAGGAATTTTGTGAAATCTATATAATTATATTCATATTTAATTGTGTTTTTTCCTACTATTCATTTGGATTCTGTAAAAGCATTAACACAATTTGCTTAAATGGTCCAAGCTAATTAAAGTCTGTAAGACACTATAAAAATTTGACCCATATACTATTGAAAGTTTTGTATCTAGTGGCCCCATACCAACCACCAGACATTGCCATAAGCACAATTTTTTTCCTACTTGGTTCATTCCCAGAGTGCATGGAGTTATCTTAACACTGCACTCAGCTGGGAAGCTATCACATGCACAAATCTCTGTACTTATTTAAAGCAACTACACTTAAAGCCTTTGATGGGGAAAAATGCTTAAAACAGATGCCTCAAGTACCTTCATTAGAAACACAATGGGAGGGTCATCAGATAGCAGGCATGTCCCTGTTTCATACACAAACTGTATGATAAATTAAATCACAAGTTAGCTATTACAGCTTACTGAGTTGTTTTTAATGTTCACACAAACACATATTTAATAAGCAAGGTTTGCTACCATGTGCTATATATCAGGAGAACCATCTACTGTGACATTGGCAAACCATTTTCTTATGATTGGTTCAGAAATCAGTCTGCATCAGTCCTGTGATGAAATCAAACCTCACTTCTGACCACGCTTCTGTGACAAACAAGTGACAAATCATTCTTTATTTCTCATTAACAGTCAATTAAACGATTGCCACATGTTATTTGATGTTGCTACATAGATAAAATCATTCAATAGGAGATTTTTTGGTATGTTATATAAACATAGTCATCATCTGTATGCAGATGCTATTCAGGATTTGAGCCCATTTTTCTTGTTTCCCAACTTGTTTCTGTGTGCAGATTATAGGAATTTGTCTGACTTCTCACAATCCTGTATATTTCTACTGAAGATGTTTACCATTGAACTAGAATATATTTTTTTATGATTTTAATAAAACTTGTTTGTATAATGATGAATGCCTCATTTGATAAAAGTAACTTCTAAGCAGTTTTGATGAAAATATTGTTTCCTGATTTTAGTGTTCAGTGCTGCTTGCAATACTATGTTTTTTTGAACAACTTGCTTATAGTTCTGGACTATTATGTAACAGGGGAGGCCAAAGGCCAGTTACACTATTACATCCTAAGGATGATAGCTGTGGACACTGTGGGTTTACAGGTTGAAGTCTGTACTGTCTAAAATGTTTTATGTTAGCTAATTTCAAACAGCTTTCTTAAATAAATGGCAAACCTAGAACTTTAACACAATATGTATGTACTGTATCAATAATGGAAAAGGTAGTGGTTATGCCATTTGAATTTGTGGAGTCTATCCACTGCTCCATATTGGGAACTATGTTTCATATTCGTGAAAAAATATGGTTCAATAACTGCATAGTGGCCAGAAATAAATTGCAAACATGCACCTATAAATCTTCTAAGCCGCTACACTGACAGATTTCTTTGTCTCATTTCCCCCCCAGAAAGCCAAACTTTTTGGTTATACAGTTTTAACTGAATGTTACCTTAAATGTGTGTGGATAGTTGTGTGCGTGTACACCTGATATCTGTATAATGGAAAGAAAATGTCATTCTGTTGCAGCATGAAAGGAATTGAAAATTGAGTATCATACTGCCCTGTGTCATTGCACCACACTGATTGATGTTTTATGTACTATCAGATGCATTAAATAAAAAGTGTGCCTTTGCCTTAGGATACTTTTGTTGAGTTTTGAAACTTAGTCTGTTGAAGTATTGCTGTGGGAGAACTTGATGCACAGGTGGTTTGGCACTGATTTACTGCCAGCTGAGAGAAGATGGAGAAATTTGTGTTTGAGAAATCTGTGTCTGGTGTATATGTGGGCTTCTGTTTTTTAAAACATTGTTTGAGCATTCCAACTTGTATATCTGAATTAGTGCAGTCTGCAAACAGCTGCATTGCTGCAAAGTGGTAAGTTGTGTTACATGAGCACACAACCCAACACTTGTGTAACGCCTATTCAGTCCTTTATGATGCACATGAATGTTATTCATTTGTGTGTGCACAAGAGCTGAATGTTTTTAAGATTGGAAAGGGGGCTTGAGCAAAATTGGAGATTGGCTGCATATCTAGCAACCTGTGCTGCTGTTTCTGTATACTTCCGAACAAATGTTTGTGGCAGGATATAAATGAACTAAAAATACATAACTGCAGTTTACAAGGGAGCAAGAAACCAGTCTATAACATGATTACTTCTCATACTCTATGCAAGACTGGTACAGGAAAATGTTTCTTGCCCACCAGTCAGGTACCACCTTGTTCTTGGTGCAAATACAGAATAAAGGCCTAAAAGTGATGGTAGTTACAGACACCTGCAAGTGAGTGAGAACAGAAAATTAGTCTTTCCATTTTGGAAAACTTCTACACTGTATGTTGACTGTTATTTATTTATTTCATAAATTTTATACACCACTTGATTGTTTAAAATAAACTCAAAGTAGAAAACAACAAATTTATCAATAAAAATACCATTAAAATTCTGTAAATCATTCAAAACAAAACAATAAACTAAGAACTAACACATTAATAAACTTACTCTTCAATTGAAACAAAATGTTCAAAGTGGAACAAATATGCAAAAATTATTTACAGCTGGCAGATGTGTTACCTATTGTTAACCATAATAACCAGTTTTGGTTTTCCCTGTGCTCAGACATAGTTAACATTTGTGCTTCAGTAATGAGAAATGAGCCACAATGAGTTCAAGGGGCATTATTTCCAATTAGGAGATGGTTGGACAGCGGAGATGGCGCAGCGGAAGCGTGCTGGGCCCATAACCTGTTGTTGGGATACTGCCAGGGAGATAAAGTCCATCAAGGCCCCCAAGCCGTCTGCCGGACGATCCATCGACCTCCCGTAGGCACGCAGCGACATGAGTTTCTAGAAAATATCTTGCCACATTCTAGAGCTCATGCACACTCTATCAGCAGATAATGCACAGCCAAAAGTTGCAGTCAGGAGAGCATTATTTACAAGTTTATTCAGCGTTGATCAGAACACAGAAAAACATGACTGACTGCTTTAGTGTCTACGACACAGAGAGAAAACGAAAGCAATAGAAAACATAAACATCCTGTGAACAGGAAATACGCAGACTCTGACTCACAAAGCCTGTCCCTTTTAAGGTGGAACGGAAATATCCTAACACTCGAAGCTACCAGAAGAGTCACGAAGAGTTGGACACGACTAAACAGTAGGCCTGCCATGCTATACACTCACCTATTTTCATGTCAGATGTGGAGATCCAAGCACTAACATAGAAGTTGCCAATACCTCCTATGGTGCCAATGAAGTCTCAGTATGTATCTCCTCAAATTCACAAGGCACTGGCTCTGCCTCTTTTACACTGAACAAGCCCACATTTCACTGGACACCCACCATTTTGTGGCCATGTCTCTTTTCCACTCGTTTGCCTGTGGCAAGAATTTTGTGCCATCCTACACCACCAGGGCAGTCATTTCTCAAAATTCCAAATGTACCTTACCGGCCTAGAAAGTTGGCAACTTATGCACTAAGGCCAGAGACAAGCTTATCTGTTTTTACCTCTGTGGCGCTTAGTGCTAACTTGGGGATAAATCTCTGCATGCTCAAAGCAGCCAACATTTCTCTCTAATCTTCAACCTGTGATTGAAGGCAGGGCCTTTTTCCCCCCAGCTGGATCTCGCTGGAATTCCTGGACCTCTCAGGTGGGCACCATTGCCATTCTAAGAAAACAAGGGAGGCATTCCATGGTGAGTCCCTGCACCTCTTTTTCTATAAAAAAATGGCACTGGGAAGGGACCCCTGCAGAGATGATTTTGGGAGTGCATAAGAAGATGGGAGGAAATGCAAGTTCCATTGCCCCAGAGAAACCCCACTGGTGTAGCATTGGATGATGATGATGATGATAGATTCAGGTAGGTAGCCGTGTTGTGTCTGACGCAGTTGAAATAATTTTTTTTTTAAAAAAATTGTCCAGTAGCACCTTGTTGTTTAGTCGTGTCTGACTCTTTGTGACCCCATGGACCAGAGCACGCCAGGCACTCCTGTCTTCCACTGCCTCCCGCAGCTTGGTCAAACTCATGCTTCAAGAACACCATCCAACCATCTCGTCCTCTGTCGTCCCCTTCTCCTTGTGCCCTCCATCTTTCCCAACATCAGGGTTAGAGACCAAGTAAGTTTGTTCTGGGTATATGCTTTCGTATAAGCTTGGGTATAAGCTTTGTTATCTGAAGAAGTGTGCATGCACACGAAAGCTTATACCCAGAATAATAATAATTTATTATTTATACCCTGCCCATCTGGCTGGGTTTCCCCAGCCAACTACAGTGATACCTCGGGTTACATACGCTTCAGGTTACATACACTTCAGGTTACAGACTCCGCTAACCCAGAAATAGTACCTTGGGTTAAGAACTTTGCTTCAGGATGAGAACAGAAATTGTGCTCCGGCGGTGTGGCAGCAGCAGGAGGCCCTATTAGTTAAAGTGGTGCTTCAGGTTAAGAACAGTTTCAGGTTAAGAGTGGACCTCCGGAACGAATTAAGTACTTAACCTGAGGTACCACTGAAATGGGATGGATCCAACTAATGCCGTTTGCTAGGGCTCCTGCTCCTCATGAGAAGAGAAGACTCCCTGGAAAAGACCCTGATGTTGGGAAAGATGGAGGGCACAAGGAGAAGGGGACGACAGAGGACGAGATGGTTGGACAGTGTTCTCGAAGCTACCAGCATGAGTTTGACCAAACTGCGAGAGGCAGTGGAAGACAGGAGTGCCTGGCGTGCTCTGGTCCATGGGGTCACGAAGAGTCGGACACGACTAAACAACAAGAAGGTCTCCTGCTAGCAGAATGGGACTTTCCCTTTCTCTCCTCCCCCAAAACCAATGGAGGGAAAAACCCCAGAACAGCATGCAGAGGGAATGCGGTTTATTATTTTCCTGTCACCACAAGGCTCTACATGTGAATCCTGATGCTCGAGGCGGCCGCCTCACCCTGCCTGTCTTAAACTCGGCAATCTATTTCGCACAGCTGCCTTGACTCGGCTTGTTCTTACACCCCACCCCACCCAAATCCCACCACCCCGCCGCGTGCTGCCCTGGACACTTCCTAGCAGCGTCGTCGCGCGTCCTTCTGCCTCCTTCCAACAACCAGCCCGCCCCCACCCGGCTACCACGGCAACGTGTGCCGTGTGGCCTATGGGAGAGCGAGACGGCGTGGAGTGACCGGGGCGTAGGGCGGGCCTTGTGTCAAGAGTTGTTCCCACAAGCGCGCATGCTCCGCCCGCCCGCCCGCCTTCCTGTCCATCATTCCGGGCGTTGCCTCGGTGGCAGAGCGAGGAGAGAGGGGCGGGGCCACGCCGGACTCTCCCGTCTAAACCGAGCGGGAAATTTCCCCTCTTATCATCCTTAGGAGAAGGGGCTCTCGGGGGGTGGGGTGGGGGGAGGTTTGGAGGGAAACCCCTCCCTTTCCCCTCCTCGTGTCGTGATTCAGAGAGAAAAGCTATTGTCACAAGCAACCGCTGTCCTTTGGCGCTACTTCCGTCCACGGTTGAGCTGCTTTCACCTAACTTGTGTCTGCTAATAATTTAGGATTTTTAAAAATATCATCGTCATCGTGTTGCTCCCGGATACAGCGACGCTACTCTGCGCACGTAAAGAATCCTATGGGAGGGAGAATTTTTTTGGTGCTGGTGTGGTTCATTTTTCAGTCTGAGCCTCACTGTTGTTGTTGTTGTTGTTGTTGTTGTTAATAATACCCCGCCCATCTGGCTGGGTTTCCCCAGCCACTCTGGGCAGCTTCCAACAAAATATTAAAAATACAATAAAACATCAGACTTTAAAAACTTCCCTAAACAGGGCTGCCTTCAGATGTCTTCTAAAATCAGAGAGTTTATTTCCTTGACATCTGATGGGAGGGTGTTCTACAGGGCAGGTGCCACAGCCGAGAAGGCCTGCCTGGTTCCCTGTAACTTCGCTTCTCGCAGAAGGCCCTCGGAGCTGGACCTCACTGTCCAGGCTGAATGATAGGGTTGGAGACACCCCTTCAGGTATACTGGGCTGAGACTGTTTAGGGCTTTAAAGGTCAGCACCAACACTTTCAATTGTGCTCGGAAACATACTAGGAGCCAATGTAGGTCTTTCAAGACCAGTGTTATGTGGTCTCGGCGGCTGCTCCCAGTCACCAGTCTAGCTGGATCTAATCATTCTGGATTAGATGGAGTTTCTGGGTCACCTTCAAAGGTAGCCCCACGTAGAGCGCATTGCAGTAGTCCAAGTGGGAGATAACTACTGTAGCCTTTTCCTTCTTGCTGCTGGATTTTGGGAGCTTGGTTGGGGGTGGGGAGTGGGCTTCCCCTGCTTTCTACATGCAAGCATTTTCAGAGAGCCCATTTTGGAGTGATCAGAGGAGAAATGATCACTGGGAGGAATGCAGAGAGAAGACACACCATAATGCACATGTAGCAGCAAAACCAGATGCCTTCATCCCCCGCCCCACCTGCAATAAAACATGTCTCTTCTGTATTGGTCTCTACAGCCACAGCAGGTGCTGTAACTGCCTCCCCCCCAGCACACTATTCCATTGTGCCCTGAGACAGATAGATTGCAGCAACAATAACAAGAAGAAAGCAAAGAAACAGAAAATTCAGCTTCACATCTCTAAAATATAAGGAATGCACCCCCAAACAGAAGATGCTAACAATATAGTTTCAGTAATTATTAGGTGAACGTGGTCAGGGGCATTTTCCGTGTGGGATATAAAAGGGTGTTGGGTACTAAGTGCTGCTTGTTTTGCAATTTGTTGTGGTCCTAAAGTTTCACAAATAGGATCCTAGATGGATCTTTTTCCATAAGTAAGTGCTCTCCTATTCTACTGTATCACATTATTTGTTATTGTGGAGCGAGTTTATTCTTTCCAGTGTGCTCCCAGCTGTGTCTTAGCAACAGATAGGAAGTGAGAAAAAGACTTAACGTAATATAATTTGTTCTAGTTTTGGACAAATGTCCAAGAGTTCTATTCCAGGGTGCATTGTTAGAAGCTGGCCAGTAAATATGTGTTAAAACTCTAATACTGACAAAGCCATCACGTGTGGATAAGATAACTTGTCTCACTTGCCAAAGAGCAAGCATAACTTTTTGGTTGTAAGCAGCACAGGATGCTATCTGATAGTCTTAAAAACAACTTCTGAATTTTGGTCCTTATTTGTTTATTTGATCTTGAAGATGATTTAGTTTCTTCTTGCATGTGACCATCTTTCTGCCTATAACTTCTCCTTAACACACCATGATACCTAATAAGTAACTATATTTCCAATCAGTAAGTTATAAATAGTGGGACTTATGCTTGCCTTATGGTCACATGTGGTATGCCACACTGGTGTGGCAGGAGAAGATTGCAAGTGTGGCAAGAAGATTCAAGGACAATCAAAGAAACATTTAAACATTTTAGTGTACATTTAAACATTTTAGTGTACAGTGGTACTTCGGGTTACAGACGCTTCAGGTTACGTGTTTTCGGATTGCGCACCGTGCCAAACCTGGAAGTACTGGAACAGGTTACTTCCGGGTTTTGGTGCTCGTGCATGTGCAGAAGTACTAAATTGTGCTTTGCGCATGCGCAGAAGCGCTGAATTGCAACCCGTGCTTGCGCAGACGTGGTGCTGTGGGTTGCGAACGCTGTGGGTTGCAAACATGCCTCCCACATGGATCACGTTCGCAAACCGATGTTCTACTGTATAGTATAGTATCAAAATAACTTTTTATTTGCAGAATATGGATAGATATATTTTCAAAATGCAGCACTGCTAGGACTTTTGGCTTTTTTGTCTTCCATTGTATTTCGTATCAATAAAAAAAATGGTGTGGCATGAGCAAATTTTTATTCTGGAAGTGTAGTTTGAAAACCACTGCCTTACAGAATGACATGCGGCAAGTAATTTGCTCAAAATCAGGAATAATATGTAACTGGATTAAAAACACGGTCCATACAGACAGAACTTAAATCCACTGGAAGCAATTAGCTGCATCTGATTTAGCCTCGAGCAGTTCAGAGGGAATACATTGACTTTTGCCTGGTATGTCTATAATACGAAAAGTCCTTCTGTTCCTCAAATGGGTAAAACAAGAAGCTATCCTCCTGTTTTAGCTCTGGGTGGTCAATAGTAGAAGGAAGGGGGAATACCTGAACAACTTGCTTCTTAGGCACCATCTGCATTACAGAGTTTCTGGGTCAACTGCAAGGGAAGCCCCACATAGACAACATTGCAGTAATCCAGTATTGAAGTATTTGCTGGCCTTGATGCATTTTATCTTTGTCCCACTACATTTGGATCTCCACTTTATTCACATTGGGCAGAAATCCAGGATCACCACGGCTCTGTTCCGATTCACGCACACACTGTGATTAAAAGTAACGCTCGCTCCTTTCAAGGCAGAAGCGAAGCGCTTCGGTCGAAGGGAGCGGCGGAAGGAACGCGAAGATGCCTTCACGGACGAGACTACAAATCCCAGAGGGCTTTGCGGAACGGGCGTAGACGAGACGCCGCGCGGCCACGTACAGTCGCGGAGTAACACAGGACCCCGACGTCCCTTCGGGGGCTGCTGAACTACAAATCCCAGCTGCCCACGCGCTTGCCGGGCTGGCTCCGGCTCTAGCTGGCGGCTGCTTCTGAGGAGGCTGGTTCCTATTTTAAATCCAGTCAAGAGATCAAAATGGCGGACGCGAGCTGAGCGTGAGGCGGGGAGGAGAGAGCGAGAGCGAGAGCGAGAGGGGGGCGCTGGGCAGAAGGCAACGCTCGGCTCTCCTTCTCCTTCTCCTTTTTCTCTCCGCCCCCCTCCCCTCACAAATCCTCCGGTGAGTTGCGTTCAGACGTGGGGCGAAACAACTGCCGCATATGCCGGCGAGGGTGAAACGGGTGAGGAGGGACGCCTGCTTTTCTCCCCCTTTTCCATTCCCCGCCTCGGGAGACCGGCCAGCCGAGGGGGCAGCCCTCTCTCTCGGGCGCCTCTTCCACAGGGGGGCGTCGTGGGGCTCGGGTGGCGGTTGAGAGAGAGCGAGCGAGCGAGCGGAGAGGAGGAAAGTGCAAGAAGAGGTTATTATTATCATTGCCTCGGGGCGCTGCGTTTCTGCGGGTCTCTTCTTCGCGCGTCTCCTCATCTTCACAGGACTTTTAAGGTGCCCGGAGGGAAGAGAAGTGGGGACTTTGAGAAGGCGGCTTTGCCTGGTTTGTTGGTGGGGGGTGGGGTGGGATTTGATTCCCCCTCGGCGTGCGTCGCGAGGGAGGGAACTTGTTTCCCTTTTCACGTGTATTTCGCCTTGCCCGCCTTTCCACGGGCACTCGGGAGCAGACGCGTTTTGGAGGGACCCCAACCAAACCCGTGCGGTGGTTTCTGCTCCTCCCTTGCTCAAGAGCTGTTGCTGTCGAGTCTGGGTGGGAAAGGAAGGCGAGGGGCGGGGGCAGCGAGTTAACTTCAGGTAAATTTGGGGACCGGTGGGTGGGGGAAACTCGCCGCCAGCATCGCCACCCTCCCTCCCTCTTTCGCCTGCCGGCTTGGTAAGTTTCAAGCGGGTAAGTCTCCTGCTTCGTTAACACGAGGGCGAGCGGGAGACGCTCTTGTGCTTTGGTCGGGACCCGGGTGAGAGGATGGATGCCTGGTGTCTGCCTCTGTTGGCCGTTCGTGGTGCGTCTCTCAGCCATGGCGAGGTGGCTCTTTTCTTTTCTTTTCTTTCTTTTTTTGGAAGCGAGAAGCAGCAGCAGCTTCCGTCTTCCTGCCTGTTACCAACTGGCTGGGTAGGAAGGGCAGAGCGCTTGGGATAACTGCCCGACGCTGAAGCAACCCAGCGATTTATTTATTTGTTTTAAAGTTTTGCCTCGCTGTCCTGTGCAAGGTGCTGCTGCTGCCTTGGCTGCGGTTCCTGTGTTGTGTCTCTTTGCTTTGCCAAGTTGCTTGGGGGGGGGGGGGAAGACATTTGCTTCCTAGCCCCCTTTTCTTGTAGCGCAGCTTAATCGTGTTGTTTTAAAGGATAGGGTTGCTCTTCGAGATACTTTGCCTCTGACTTCAAATGATTAAAGCATGAAGAACATGTAAATATAACAGGTATCTACTGTATGACGAGCTCCGTTAAATATTGGCACTCCTGATAATAACAATGAAGAAAAATTGGACGAGCCTAGTCTTTCATATATGGGAGAGTGTATTGTGCCCACTGTCCAGCACACAGACTTAGCGTGTGGCCGGTTTGAGCACTTTAAATGGTAAAAGCACCCAGCAAAACCACCCTTAATGGTTGTTGGAGATGGGGAGGCATATCTTCCCAAAGTATTTTGGCTATAGGATTTGGGATTCTGAATGTTTAATGCTTAAATATGGTCCTTTATTTTAAAAGATGTCTTTTTGCGTTGTCTCTTTTTGAAATGTTGTTATGTCACGTTATGTTTTCTGGTCAAAATAAAGAAGTTGCATGCAAATAATAACTATAACGAGGTAATATACTGGTGAGTGTGGTGATGTAGAGGGAGCCATGGTTTTGAACACACAAATGCTCAGTCTGCATTAGAACAAGCTGTTAAATTGCTGTTTCAAGCTAGATTTGGTTTTTAAGTTTTTAAAATATTTAATATCTGTTTAAGTCTTATAAATTAATTAAAGCTATTTTGTATGCCTTTAACTGGGAAGTTGTCGTTGTAATGTAATTTGTGTTCTGTGTGCAGTTGCTTATCAGATATGCACCAAATAGCTGAGCCAAAATGCAGACGAGAAGGGGAAAGCCCCTGATCACAATAGAATAAAAAGGAACAGTATTCTTAGGTTGTACAGAGCTTAATAACACAGATGGTGTATAAAATGGGAACAAAAAAAGCCTGACTTTTTGTAAATATTGGAGGGGAAACCCAAAATACACTCACTGAGACACTCGAGGAAAGGAAGGCATTGAACTCTATGTCTAAAATGATATTGGACACTAGTCTGACATTGGAGGTTGCTTCAGGTCTTGCATATAAATGAGCAATATGAGCAGTAATCGAATATCTTATTTTTGCATTGTGTTCACATAGCGCTTGACATGCTGCTATGATTATTCTGAATATAAAAAGAGAAAATACTATCTTTAGCATGCCAAATACTATTTCATTCTAGAGTTTGTAATTTTAAGAATGAGTGAACATTTTTTTTGGCATTGAGACAGTTGCTTACAAGTGACAGCTACCTATGAACCTCTCAGATTGTATTATTATGCATTGCGAGATGTTCAGCTAGAATTTTTAACTGCAAAAAATGGGTGTGTGCACAAAATGGCTTTTAAATTTTTTATCAAGTAGGAGAAATAACTAATAACTATATGTTCTTAGTATGAAATGTAAGAGCTTTCCCAATAATTGAGAAATATGGCACAAGTAAAATAGTAGTAATCTGTACAGTCAAACAAAAAAAAATTGAATGCATTAGTCTAAATCAGAATTTAAAGATTTATTCAGGGATAAAATGTTAGAAAATGAATTGCCAATAGTATGTTAAAGTGTGTAATCTTTAATAATACATTAAAAACCTCTAATGTGTGTAATCAAGGCTACATTAAAGGTAAAGGTACCCCTGCCCGTACGGGCCAGTCTTGCCAGACTCTAGGGTTGTGCGCTCATCTTTATAGGCCGGGAGCCAGCACTGTCCGCAGACACTTCCGGGTCACGTGGCCACATTATCTATACTTAAAAGGTTAAGGGACCCCTGACCATTAGGTCTAGTCATGGCTGACTCAGGTTGCGGCGCTCATCTCATTGGCTGAGGGAGCCGGCGTTCACCTTCCGGGTCATGTGGCCAGCATGACTAAGCTGCTACTGGCGAACCAGAGCAGCACACGGAAACGCCATTTTCCTTCCCGCTGGAGCGGTACCTATTTATCTACTTGCACTTTGAGGTGCTTTCAAACTGCTAGGTTGGCAGGAGCAGGGACCGAACAACGGGAGCTCACCCCATCGCGGGGATTCGAACCGCCGACCTTCTGATCGGCAAGTCCTAGGCTCTGTGGTTAAACCCACAGCGCCACCCACGTGGGAGTAATTTCCACTAAACTTATTGGGACATCTAAGAAAACAAGTATAGGATTGGGCTGTATGGCTATTGGTGTAAGCAAGAGGAGTGAGTGATGGAGGTCCCTTTTTAGGAAGTCCAGGTGCTCAGAAGCTGACTAAAGCCCTCTCTTTAGGAAACACTACATTTGCTGTTAAGATTCAGGTAGATAGCCGTGTTGGTCTGACGCAGTCGAAATATATAAAAAAATTGTCCAGTAGCACCTTAGAGACCAACTAAGTTTGTTCTTGGTATAAGCTTTTGTGTGCATGCACACAAGTGTATCTGAAGAAGTGTGCATGCACACAAAAGCTTATACCAAGAACAAACTTAGTTGGACTCTAAGGTGCTGCTGGACAATTTTTTTATATATTTGCTGGTAAGTCAGCAATCCAAAGAAGACTCTATGATAGTCTTAATATTCTTCCTTTTAATTGATGCTCAGCTAGATAATTTAGTGTGGTTGAAGTGCATTTCAAAAGATTTTGAAGGATCTCAGAAACTTGAGGATCAATCTCTCAAGGCTGGAGCGGGCAACTGGATGCCTGCAAGCTATAGAAAATTCCAGTGTGTAGAATAGATGATCAAATGACTTGCTGCCCCAACATTTGGTACAACCATTTCATCAGTGCCAATCACTCCCATCCCAGTTCTAAATCTTGGTTATCGTCATCACCATCAATTAAATTGGTATACCATCCTTCATACAATTCACAAGAGTTCACAAGATGAAAGCACAACATATATACGTATTATATATTTTTTAATCCCCTCCCCCACCTCCTCCTACAAACGCTGCTGTTTTAATGAGGAGACATAGTCAGTCAAAGCTTTCTTAAATCATTTTGGAATTAATCTGACAGCTATATAATGAAGGATTCATTCACTTGCAGAAACTGCATTGTCCCAAACTGAATTGCACTTCACCTTAAAATATATACTGTATGTAGTGTAATCCTGTGCATATTTATTTGGAATTAAGTTCCACTGTGTTCAATGGAATTTACTTCCATGTAAGTCGGTATAGGGCTACAAATTGAGTTGTGCTTACATTCTGAACCCCCCCCCCACCCCGAAAAGAAAACAACCAAGCACACCCAGAGAAGTACACATTATCCTAGGACAAATTATGATTGGACACATGACAAAGCCATTTCGATCCAGTTGCTCCTATATTGCAACTTGTTTATTTTGTAAACCTAGAATTGGTCAGCTTGTTTTGCTGCAATGTGTAAGTTGTAGTCTGTTTTCAACCTTTCACTGTTGAAGAACTACACTGAAAAGCTTCATAAAACTTATTTCTTAAAGCAGATGGTGTGAAGGGGGTGATGCCATTAATCTTAAGTAAATGAATATGAATTCAACTATCTGATAACATTAATAACTTCCAAATTTAACTTGGTAGGAGGTAAATAATATTTCAGGCAAGCATGTGTATAATGGATGCGACCAGGAATGCTATTTTAAATTGTGTAATCATGCAACTTGCTTCCGTTCTTCTCTCCAGCTCTTCCTTGTTTTCTCAGTCTTTTGATTACACTCGAATCACTGAAAGCTTTTTGATAGAACTAGAAGTTTTGGAAAAGCTGGGTCATTAAGTTTTAAGAAAGCAACAAGGATAGTAAGTAACTCATGGAGAACCTATTGCCAAAAGCTGTAGTAAAGAACATCTTGAAATATGACTAATCAGGCGCACTTAATATGCATGCCTGAGTGTCTACACCATTAGAAATGGAAACAAAAATACATTTCTGATGCTAAGTTTAATGTCTTCTGCCATATGGTCTTGTTATATGAGAGACCTTAAGACTTTTACTTAACTTTAAGATAAAATTCCTTCTAAAAATACAGTAACCTTGTAATATAGAAAGAATTGTGCTTAATACTAGTGTTGGTATGGTCTCATCAATCCAAAGATCGAGGCAACAGGCATTTGAAAACTTTTTAAGTGTTCAGAAATTTGTTGCAGGACACATAGTGATGCAGAAATCTTTTTAACCAGCTTAAGTTTTTATGTCACCCATGAATGATCTTGGATGGGCATAGTATAGTTGCAATGACCAATGCACTGGTAGTGTCTTGTTTAGACTACTGTAATGTGTTGTCTGCCCTTGACAACAGTCTGGAAACTACTTTAAAATGTGGCTGTTAGGATCTTAACCAGTCTTGTTGGGAGCATATCTTTCTAGTTTTGAAAGAGATTTGTTGGCTAACAGTTAATTCCTGAGCCCAATCCAAGGCATTGTTTTTGAATTTTAAAGCTGGACATAGCTTAGGACTTCACTGCTCCTGTTCAGACTGCACAGCAAAAGCAATTTGGTTCTTGAAGTTCATTCTGATTGGGCAGATAAAATGTAACTGATAGAATTTGACAGGAAGTGGTATTAGTGTGTGAAAACAGTCAAGATCCAATGATCCCCAGGCATGTACCTCCAGATGGTGGAGATGTCAGGCACCATCCTAGTGCCCAGGCATGTTCACTTGTTTGCAAGTAGCTGATAGCCAGGTGCAAAATGCTCCTGGTTAGTTTCAATCACTGGTTGGAGGCATGCTGCCTTCCCTTTCCCTGTAGCTCCAAGTTTGTGCTCATCTTGCTTGCCAGAGCCTGGTGCCCCTCTCACTGTCGTGAAGGGCGGTTAGCAAGGTTATTGAAGCCTTATGTTAAGGAACACCTTCTCCCAAGTTGATGTTGATGTCTACTAAGGCACTTCTGTGGGTGTTCTGCTGTTGGACAAAAAGCAAGCAGTGAGCAGGAAGAGAGGGCCTTTCCATTTGTGCCACCCTAGATATTAAACTTCATCCCCAAGTATCGCATTTGGCACCTACTCTGTTATGTTATTTTCTTTTAAAAACAAAACCTGGCAAAGCCACTTCTGTTCTCCCAAGCTTTTTAACTATTTATCAGTTTTACTTACTTATTTTTACTCTGTTGCTTGAAGTACTTCTGCTGTTTTGTGTGAGCTTTCTTTTTTATTGTTTATGAAATTCTGTTGTGACCTTTCCTGAAATATATATTGTGAAATTTATGAGTGTGCTTAGAATAGTTTTAGCAAGATCTAATTCTTCCCAAAACTACAATTCAGAGTTTTCTTTGTAGCAAAGCATTACCAGTTAACTGATTTAAATTAAGTGCTATCAAAGTGTCTAGTGGATGCCCAGCATAAAAGGTAGAATCATTACCCAATTTTTGCTTGGATAGTTCAGAGTCTGTTAAACAGTGCTGGTTAGGTTTCCCATTTTATGGATGAATAAAATTTATAGCATGAACCTTGAAATGACATGTTTCAGGGATGGGAAACCTTTTTGGCTCCACGAATCAGATACTTATCAGGATCTGCCTTATGGGCCAAATTGGACAAGTGTACAGGGCCTCCCACCTGTCAAAATCCCTTCTGTGACACTTTGCAAAACACTTGATTGGAAGCCGCCCAGAGTGGCTGGGGAAACTCAGCCAGATAGGCGGGGTATAAATAATAAACTATTATTATTATTATTAATAATAATAATAATAATAATAATAATTAACAACAACCCTGTTTTCTGCTTGGAAACATGGCAGCACAGCCAATGTAAGATTAAACCCTGGCCTCCCCACCATCAGCTGATGTGTCGGCAGGCATACCGTAGTTTGGGGAAAACAGCCTGGGCTGAGGTTGCTCACTACTGTACTGTATTAGATTAACAGCTATTCATTATGATATCTATATGGAACCTCTGTTGTTAGAGTTGTTGAGCTCTGCAATGGGCTTCCAAGCCCTGTTTGTGGACTTTCCAGAGTCATCTGATTGGCCACTGGCCTAGTTGGTCCTTTTTATCTGAATTAGAAGGGTTTCTCTTTACACCGCATACCAGGTCTGGGGAAGCTTTGGTCCTTCAGATGCTGGTGAATTACAGTTCCTATCATTCCTAAGCATTGACCATGCTTGCTGGGGATGATAGGAGTTGTAATTCTGGAGCATTTGAAGTGCCAAATGTCCCCTGTACCTGCCATCTGTAGTTTTCTTAAGAAATAAGTCTGATTATGTTCAGTGAGCCCTAATTCTAGGTAAATGTGGATAGGATTGTAGCCTAGTTGTTCTTTATTTGGCTTCCTTATACACCCATGCTTAAGAAAAAAAAAACCCAACTGTTTAATAATAGCACAATAAAACATTTAGTTCTTGGCCTTTTCCATTCTCCCAGTAGTAGTCTTTAAAAAGCTATTCTGATTAGCAGCTTAAAATAGGTTTACTATATTAGGCAATGTTGCGGCTATGTAGAAGAGTATGCAAGTAACACATTGGGTGTTATATCAGGGAAATGTAACCTAATGCAGGGTTAATACAAAATATTTTAAACATTTTCTGGTAAATACTAGACTTCCATTTCTGAAATGCATGCTCACTTTATCAGAATCTGAGACGCTATATATCTAAAAGTTATAAGGCATTGCAGTGTGCCTCCTTTGCTTCTGGAATTTGCTCATTGTGCTTCAGGTTATCTGGCAACAGTGCATTGCAGTTAAATACAGTGTAGGATTTTTAAAAAACTAAATTTAAAACAAATTACAGTCTACATTTCTAACTTTATATTTTCCATTTTTAATGTATATTGGAAAGCAACAAAATGAAGGGAAACGGATGGAGAAGAGGAATAAGGGATGTTGTGCAAACAGATTAGATTCTGCAGGGCAGGTGACTAAATCAGAGTTTGAGTATTTAAGGTAAAAGATGGAGATGTGACTTGAGCGTCATTGCTCAGGTGACTCAGAATTCATACCATAACAGTTTAAAAAGAGCACACACCTATCTTTCCTTTGGCTTGCTGAAATTGATGACTGATTTTAATAACAGCATGGTCTCAGATAACAGTTTTGCCGAAATAATTGTGGAAATCCAGTGGTGTGATACAAATGCTTATTACTCATGGATAAAATGGCCAGATGAAAAACAGGCCAAGGTGAGGCCAAGGCTCTCACGTTATCACACTGCATGTGTTAATTGGCTCACTAATACCAGAATTCCTGTAGTATTGACAACTGTTTTGTGAGTGACCACAATTAATTATAAATTATCACTATATTTTCCTGCATTTCTTTTTCCTCTAGTAGCACTCCTCAACCTCACCACTCAAAAAACCTCATGCAATTCAGTATAATACTACAGTGTTACCTGATGAGGTGTAGTCCATGAAAACCTTTGCCATAATAAATTTATTAGGATCACATCCAGTGATATCTATTTGCGAGTGGAGTGAATGTCTGCTTAAACAACAGAGGTCTTTGCCTTTCGCTCCTTGCCCTTGCAACCCCAATACACTTCCCTAACTCTGAAGGGTTAGGCCAGGGAACTTTCCACAGCACATTTGAGGAGGGCCTGGTGGCGGGGAAGTAGAATAATGATAACTTAGAAGAAGTCCCTTTGCTCAAATGAAAGTTTGCTCACATGACCTTGGATGTTGCCCTATGTCTTAAAGATTCCATGAAACTCTTCACTGTTTTTAACTTGTGTAGAAGAGGAAATGCCAGCAGGTATAACTCATCTTTCAAGCTATATCTGATGAAAATCCCTCTTGTACAGAAAGTTACGGGAGCCTCCTCTTCTTTTTCAATTGGGATCCTGCAGTAGGCTGAAACAAGGTTTGGTAGGTTCTTGTGAGACTTGAGTAGTTAATTTTCATCATGTGAATTTTCATCAATGCTTGTGTTTGTAGGTAGCATTTAAATTTCCATATTTGAGAGGTGGTCAGATTAGTTTTTCATTTGGATGGAAACACCTTTAGCTCAGATGTATCTGACAGAGACATTGATTCACTTAGGAATTAACAGTAGGGCTAATTTGCTTATATCCAGATTATTTAATATTAAACTAGTTATTCTTTAACAACCTTTATTATCACAATTTTTCAAATAAATATGATCTGATTGTTTTTCTTTTTGTTTAAAAAATTGTAAGCTTTTATGCACCATCCCAAAGACATGTGGGCTTGAATGACAAAGAGTTTGAATCGTATTTCTATGATGTATAGGATTATATCCAACGCTGCTGTTCATTCAGCTCAGGCAGTAGACTTCTTGCAGAATGGAACTTGCCCTGCTCTTCCTTGCAGTTCCTTGTGCACCCTCAAAATTTGCTTTAGGGACCTGGGGGACCCCTGGCAAATATTTGGGTGAGCAGGGGGAGAGGACGGGAAAGGAAAGAGAAATCCTGTTGTGCAAGTTCAGCTCTGCTAACACAGACAGTGTTGGATACAACCCATAGACTACTTAGTTAGAAGGCTATATGTTTTAATTAGAGAAGCAACTGGATTAAATTTTAATTGAATCATCACTTTTTTAGCTGAGAGTTTTAATCAAATAAATCTGCATGTGCTTAAAACTAAGTTCCAGAGAAAATTATGTTTTTTTGTACATAAAGAGTATACATATACTATCAAGTTACTACATATGGTAATACAGTCTTCATATACTGTGAAATGATTGTCAAGGCAGATTTAAGGAATAATGGACATAATTCTGTTTCTTTCTTACCTCAAGTATTCATAATGCATACTATTTCTATATATATTGTTTATATTGCTTATGATTAAAAGTGTCTTTCTGGATCATAGCGAAGGTGATCATATAGTGCAACATTCTATCCTCTTCCACCTTTGATGGGGAAGGAAAGGTCACATGAAAGAAGGGCATAAAAGATGCTGATACACTTGTTTCACTCCCAGCGTTCACATGCACACTCACATTACAACATTCCATTTATAACATTGGCAAGCTAGGTGCTTCCCACCCCCACCCCAAAAGAGACCACAAGAATAGCCGTGTTTAATCAACATACAAGTTGGATTGCATTATCAAAACTGATGGGCATGTAGAATTTTAGGTGTTGAATTGGTGTCCGAGTCTAAGGATCCTTGCATGCAGCTGCAGACTCATAGATTTGTATATAACAGGGGAATCTCTGGCCCAAGGGCCAAATGCAAACCTCCACACCTATCTGGCTCTTAGTACTCTTCCCAAGCCATACCCCCTACTGGCTCTGCTTTTCCCTTCTTGAGTATTTTCGTTTGGCTGGAATGCGTCCTTGAACACTGATAGTGTCTTTGTTTTTTTGGATATAGGCTAGAGGGGCATGTTCCAATGTGTTTAGAAACTTTCCTGCAGTACAAGGCAAAATTTACATTCATTGCTTTGCCTGCCACTGGTATGCAGCCCCTGGCGGGTTGCCCAGAAGGGAGTGTGACCCTCAGGCTGAAAAGGTTCCCAACCTCTGATATGTAAGAATTCTGCTTTTTCATCAGTTGAGCAGACTTTTGGTATTGGCATGAGATAGAGTAAGTTCAGAAAGGAACAGGGCCAAAGTTAAAAAGATGGAGGAACACTAGACTGAAATATGAAGATCAGCAATGGTAGGTGAACATGGCGCTTACTGGTTTTTAGAAATGTTTAGAAATGAGCCTAAATAATCATGAATTAGAATAAATCTATCATTGCAAAAAGCAAATTGAGACAGGCTGAGTAGCAGCTTGCAAGCTGACCTCTGAAACTATAGTAATAATATTCACTGGAGCTGGATCCAGTACAATTAAACTGAACTCTCTTGACTTCAAGTTTTTATACAGAGTCCCCACCCAGTCTACCAAAAATCTGTGCTACCCCTGTTTTGGCAAAACACTGAAAGTCCCAAGAAGTTTGGCAGGTAACGTGAGTCAAGTGTGGTTTCTGATGCTGATTTGGCATGAAATGTCTGGTTACAAAATGGCTTGTGAGCTAACATCTTGGAAGGGGATATGGTTATTCAGGCAGACTCAAAGGCATTTGTCTTTCATTCAGCCAAACTTTGAGTCAGATGAATAGTCTGCAGAGATTTATAGCTTCAGTAATTTTAGTGCTCTGGATTTTTACAGAATGCGGAAATGGTAAAATGTCTGCATTTTAACTAATCATTTTAGCCATAGGTGTAAAGCTCCCTTGGGGAAAAACTAAGCATGTCTAACAACTACTTAGAAGATTGAGGATTTCATGTTAAATTGATTTATATCTAACTGTAGATACAATATGTGAAAATAAGTTCCATTGAAATTTGTTGGAATTAACAAAGTATTTTAGGATTGAGGTACTGGGAGTTCTTTAGGTCTCCATGCTTCAATCTTATAAATACTTTCCTGGGGGAAAAATCCGGTGTAATTCAGTAGATTCTGCTACTAAGATTTCATTCTAGTAGCTTTGTGGTTGATTGCTCATTTAAGTATTCTATACCTATGCTACTGCCTATACTACCACAGCACATATATAACTATAATGCTGCCCAAAGACACCATTTACAGTAAAGGACATAACCCAGAGACATGCATGCATACCAGAAGCCTTCCCATGTGTGTTTCCAGCAATATCCCTATCAGCCTCCCCAAACTGTCCTCCAAGCATACCACACTTGAAAGCCTCTGCTACGTATTCAGATACATAGGTTTGTATTCAATTAACTTTTACTTGGACCCATTGAATTAATTGCAATGATTAACTAAAGTCCATTAGTTTCAATGTGTCTAGCTGAATACAACCCATAATGATTTTGCATAAAGGGGACTGGAAGCCACCAAGAAAAAACAAAAGGAGGCAAAGCCTGAAATTGATGCTAAAAGTACTTAAAATGTATTAGAAAATACAGTACATTACATGCATTTTGGCAAGCTGCTGCAATGCTTATGCAGATGGTATATTCACCATAATACAGTGTTGAATTCCATCCAGAAAATTGTACCATTTTTCACATTGAGCACCTTTAACTTGAAGTTCTAATAGTGTGTTCAGAAGATCCGTGTGTGTGTATGCGTATGTATTTACTGCTTTGGTTACTTCAAGAAAGGATAACTTCATTCCACTCTTACGTGAGGCTTTCTTCACACTTGATCCAGAATCTGCAGTTAATGCAGAACGCTGCAGCACAATTGCTGACAGGAGTGAGGCCTTGTCGCGTATAACACCTCTGCTCAGAGATCAGCACTGGTTACCAGTTTGCTACTGGCCAAGTTCAAGGTCTTATGATTAGTACAGTGGTACCTCAGGTTACATACGCTTCAGGTTACATATGCTTCAGATTACAGACTCCGGTAACCCAGAAATACTGCTTCAGGTTAAGAACTTTGCTTCAGGATGAGAACAGAAATCATGCTCTGGTGGCATGGCAGCAGCAGGAGGCCCCATTAGCTAAAGTGGTGCTTCAGGTTAAGAACAGTTTCAGCTTAAGAACGGACCTCTGGAACGAATTATGTACTTAACCTGAGGTACCACTGAAATGGGATGGATCCAACTAATGCAGTTCGCTAGGGCTCCTGCTAGCAGAATGGGACTTTCCCTTTCTCTCCTCCCCCAAAACCAATGGAGGAAAAAACCCCAGAACAGCATGCAGAGGGAATGGGCACCTTCTCTGTACTCTTTTTGTTGCCCGCTAAAAACATTCTTGTTTAGACAAGCCTACCCATTATATTCCCCCCATAGAAAACAGTGTGATGATGCTGAGCATGCTCAGTGGACTCAGAGTGCTGAGTGACTATTGTGGAAGAGAGAATGGAAAACTGGGGATGGTGTGTCTGGAACCTTGAGCAGGGACACTCCACACATTTTGTTGTAGGGATATGCTCAAATAGCACCATTCACACACAAGAGGCTTCTTTGACTTGCAGAAGTATGGAAAATATTTAGGAAACTAAACCTCAAGGGGAACCCACCCAAATAGCCCAATGAAGACTGAATGTGTTTAGTGGGCATGGAATGCTATTGGAGGGGGGAGAAATGGAAAAACTGGATGGGTGAAGGCAATGGTATTCTGCAACACTCAACAAGAGTACTCCCCATAGCAACACTTTATTGGTGCCAATTGTTTTTGTTAATTAGGGGTAGCTATTCTTTGTACCCTCTAAATCAGGCATGGCCAAACTTGGGCCTCTATATGTTTTGGGACTACAACTCCCATCATCTCTAGCTAACAGGACCATTGGTCAGGGATGATGGGAATTGTAGTCCCAAAACATCTGGAGGGCCAATTTTGGCCATGCCTGCTCTAGATGTTGCTGGGCTACAACTTCCATCTCTGGCTATTGGCTATGCTAGTTGGGGCCGATGGGCACTGTAGTCCAATAAATATTTGGAGGGCACTATGTTGGCTATGAGTATTCTACATTAAGCTACTCCCTATATAGTAGTGTAGTTCTGCCAACTGTGTGCTTAAGTATTAGACTTTGTAGTAGAATTTTGTAAATATGGCCAGAACATTTACTTACCTTCTTCACAAAATATACCCATGTTAGTTATTTGTTGCACATTGATTTCATGGCAGAAAAAACATACTGGGTATCCTCTGTATTAAAACCATCTGCCCTTGCTGGCTGCCTGAAGGAAATTCTCACTTGCCACAGGTGAGCAGGCAAAGTGTCTAATTACAAGCTGCTGTCATATGATTAGTGAAACAGGTCTATTTGAAATGAAATTTAACCATGGTTAATTGCTCTGAAAAGCTGCACACTTCTTTGAAAATTGTTCCAAGCCCATGAAAGATAGATGTGTTGTGGATATTGTCCTGCGCATTTAATTGTGTTGACACAATATTTCCTTTTGAGAGCATTTCAGCATTTCTCACTCATGGAAAAGTATATGAGGATTCATGTACTTTTCATTGTAAGCTTAGATACAAAATGTTATAAAATATTATAGAATAGCAAGTGCTAACAGTGGAAATACCCTCAACATTTTTTTATAACACTTAAAAGCTTGCCTTCTGCTTCAAAACTTCACAAAGTAGTTTTACTTAATGGCCTGATGCAAGAAATTATTATCTTCACCTAGCATTTTCATCTAGTTAGAATCATTTTATTATTAAAAGATCAAGTTAGCCTTTCTTCAAAAGTTTGTTGCACAAATGCCAGTTTCTAAACTGTATAAGTGAAATATAAACCTTTTAAAAGGAAGAGCAACTTCCAGGATTTACAAAGTAAAAGCCAAGGTCATAGTCTAATGACTCCTTTGCAGGAAGAAAGGTAAAAATAAGCTGCATACTTTTTGGATATGGGCCTGTGAAATTTTCCACTATATTCATTAGTAACATGGAGGCATGCTTGTGCTGCTGGTATTTTGAGCAATAGACTTGACTCTGAATGGAATTTTTAGTTATTCAATCTGCAATAAACAGACAACTAGCCAGCATTTTAGAGCAGAAAAACACTTGCTACAGAAAGTACTTAGTAATTCAGTTAATGAGTGTAAGTGAAACGAGTCCATGTTAGCTTGCTGTTTAGAATATAACTTAACATATTTTGGGTAAGTATCTGTACCTTTTTTTCAGCTCATCTACCCAGCTCTGTCTCATCTGAATCAGGTGGTGCTAGACTATAGCTTCAAGGCATTGAAGGCGCTGGATGTGGGCCAATAAATTGAGACTGAAACCTGAACAGACAAATGTATTATGTATTCTGAGTTCTTGAGTCTGGGAGATGGGAAGCTGGTCTGGTGTGGATGGGATTGCATTCTCCTGGAAGGAGCAGATCCATAGCATTGTTAATAGAGGTTCAGGAAACCTCAATTCTGATTTACAAGGAAGAGGAATTCCCTAGTGAAGCTGATCCCATGAGAGAGAATGAGGAGTACCTGAAACCGGCCCATGATGGGTCTCATGAATCATGGATACTAGCATTCTAGATCAAATGCAAATCAAGTAATGGAGTTAGGATGGAATTATTGTTCAAAAGTTGTTATTTTCTAATAGTAATTGTAAAATTGGTTGCAAATGGACCATGCCAAGTTGCAAAACATGCCTGGCACCTGGGGTGTTTCGGATGCTGATCCAGGTGTAACTCATTCAGGCCATTAGGTGAAGAACAGGATATAAATCTTGTGGTGCTTTGCAAACCCATTTTTGGCCCGGCCTTGACTTTATCTGCCCCAAACTTGGTATATATCTATTTTTTTAAATGAGTTTGCTTGTATTTCAATTCCTTTTGACAGAAGAGAGTACAGTGGTACCTTGGGTTAAGAACTTAATTCATTCTGGAGGTCCGTTCTTAACATGAAACTGTTCTTAACCTGAGGTACCACTTTAGCTAATGGGGCCTCCTGCTGCTGCTGCTGCTGCTGCTGCTGCTGCACCACCACCGCACAATTTCTGTTCTCATCCTGAAGCAAAGTTCTTAACCCGAGGTACTATTTCTGGGTTAGTGGAGTCTGTAACCTGAAGCGTCTGTAACCCGAGGTACCACTGTATCACTTTCAAGGGTGCTTATCCTCTGTAGCTTTTATAATGACTTGTATTAATAGTTAAATTGTATTTTAATGTGTGTGTCCAGTTAATTGGGGCACCTTTTCTATAAAATATTTTTATTATTTAATCAAAGTTATTAAATTGATAAATGTTGCAGACCAGCTTAATGGGATTCTATTTGCTTAAGATCTGCTGAGTTCTTCACCACAGGTTGTTATGCTAAAGATGCTTTCGGATTATTTTACTGGGATTGCGAACCAAAATTTAACTATTGACCATCTCTAGCCATAAAGGAATAAAAAGCTTTATATATTTGTATTTAAATGTTATGTTTTTGTGTTGCCATGGAAGCCATCTTAGAAGAAACTTCGCCAGGGCACAGCCTGACTCCCTCCCTCGGCAATCTTCACGGAGCTCTGGCCCAATGGTTGCCAGTGGCTTGATTTGAATTAATTTTATAATGAATGATTTTAGAGTGTTGTTTGTGCTGTACTTTTGTACTGTTTTATTGTTGTTAGCCGCCCTGAGCCCGGCTTCGGCTGGGGAGGGCGGGATATAAATAAAATTTATTATTATTGTTATTCTAACATGCTGCCCATCACCCATGGTTATTGCAAATACTTGTGTTAAAATAATAATTTTCTGGTAAGTAATAATTTTCTGATTATTGGTTTCAGTTCTCCTAAAAGTATAAACGTGTCAGTACTATGTTATCCAAATATCTTTTCTGGAAGTAATGTCTATCAATTGCATTTTAGAAGAGATAATTTTATGAGCAATATACTATTTTTTTTTTTAAAAAAAAATCTACCCACGTTTGCAATGTATATTACAGCTTCAGCAGAGCTACAGAATAGCAATGGTATTATATCTAGCAACATGATGCACCAGGTTGGTGTGTGTTGCAAAGGATGAGCCACTTTTGTGATAGTGTTGCTATGGCAACTACCTTCTGAGAGCTGCCTCAAGGTCACTCATCAGCCATAGCCCAGAGTGCTTGGATTTTACGCAAAATAAGAAGCACCTAGCAGTTCCTGTTGTTCTTTTTTCAGTCTTCTACTGTTGCATTAAATATTAGGAGGAATACTAATGGGTTCACAATATTTACATGTTAATTAATTTTAAGTTATATTTTTATACAAAGGGTAACGGACACAAGGACAGACTAACAATTATATATGTGTATGTATATGCTTTAAAAAAAATATTCAAATTACATAAAAGAAAGTTGGTAGTAACTAGTATCAAGCATGTGTACTTAAACTACAATTTAAAGAATTCTTTTAAATGTCTTTTCAAACAATGGTGATGATTTTTCTTCTAAATCTGAAAAGACTTCCAATAGTATAAGCAAGACTGACACTCAGCAATTACAAGGAGCTGTAGGATATACATTTATGGGGCTTGCAACTCTGTTCACTCCCATATCGTGGCAAACAACCAAAATTTTGCTTTTAATATTTTGTTTTATTTTTTGTTCTTCAACTGTTTGCTGTCTGTGGCCCATTCTAGTTATTTAGAAATTGTCTACCTGAATTACTTAAACTCTTCAAAAAAAAATCATGAGAAGTGTTATTTAATGCTGAGTAAGAGCCAAATTTCATGTATGATATAAATATGTATTTAAGTCCAGATCACTGGCTCTTTGCAGGTGGGTTGAACAAAATTTAAAGCTCTCTCTCACTCTGTGTGTGTGTGTGTGTGTATGTGTGGAAAAATTACCTTTGAACATGTGCAAAGTGCAGTTTCCTCCTAAATGTTTCACTGGAACACTTTGTGGAATATATTTTCAGATCAAAGTAAGTACCTCCTGTACAAGATTTTGAACCTCAAAACAGCTATATCTTTCCCAGCAGACATCATTCAGCTTGTTTTCTCCTCTCCATTTGAATTTCCCTTTTCCATTTAAATTTATTTATGTATTTATTTTAATAGATACTGCTTTGATAGTAAATGGAACCTCTAAGCACTTTACAAAAAAATAAAGAAAATGTTAAACTTATAATTTTTCACAGAGTTAAAAAGAAGAATTAAAATTTAAAAATATCTACAACAAGCTAACAACAGATTAAAATACATGAAGACTTCTACATGTCTGGGTAGACTTGCTAAAATATTTTTAGCAGATGCCAAAAAGAGTACAGTGCACCCCTGCCTAGTGTAAATAGGGAGGGAGGGAGTTCCAAAGTATAAGTGTTGCCACACCTACAAAAGATTTGTTTCCTGAAAGTGTGCGATGAGTATTATGAACAAGTGTTATGTAACAATTCCACAAATGTTTGTGTGTGCAAAAACACTTATATTTCATTAGTTCTTTAACTTCTCTATTGATACCTGTGAGCTGTTCTCTCTTCTGTCACTTGGTACATTGAACTGTAGCACCTTGTGCAAACTAGGAAGTGATCCTGGCCCTCCTGTTCAAGGCACTCCATTCTAATCCCTCTCCCTCTCAGTTGTCAATATTTTTCATCTTCTCAAGCTCTGTTCAGGTGTCCAGTTTGAATGTGCAAATGGGCAAGTGGAATAAGCCCCAGTTCCTCAAGGATGTATGTCTGTATAGGGTTGCCTAAACAAAAAATGTTTTAAGCAGACACTGAAAAGGGTTGTAGAAGATAGGTTACTCAGATATCTGTCTGAACACAGGGCTGATAAAATTAACTTGCCTGCTTGCTGAGGTCATCAAAACAGGCCTTGTTTTGTCTCTCTTGGATTATCTGAAATATAGTAGGTGTCCTTGGAAGTTGAGGCCTTTCTGATGGTGGCACCTCTGTTCTGTAATTCCTTCATTTGTAGTGCTGTTTGGTTCCCTCTGTGTTAAGTTTTAGACACTACAATTTCTGAGGATGCTTAGAACCAGTGATTTATATCAGTTTTAGTCGTACTTTTTTATATATGAAAAATATGATTTTCTTGGGTAACAAAAGTACATACAGCTTTCAGTTCGTGGAATCCTTTCTCAAGATCAGTTACATTCGACGTGAGACACTAATGTTATAGACTATGAGGTGGGCAGAGCGAGAAGGGGGGAATAGTAAACTTCCATTCTTTTACATAGTGTATGTGAGAGTTTTTTTTGTGGGTAGGTTCTTTTTTCCATTCATTTACTAGTTTTCATTGGCAGTGAGAAAGATTGGGGGGCCTAGGGCATGGTTAGTTTCCTTCAGTTGACAACAGTGAGTTTAGTTTGTGTGTGTGAAGGAGAGGGGGTTGTTGGGTCAAATTAGCCATATTGATTCGTATGCTGTCGGGTTTTGTTGTTGTTGTTGTTTTGTTGGGATGTGTACTGGTATTTAATAAAGGGGAACCACACCAGGGTGAATGCATCCGCTTCTGTTTGTCCCTGAGCTCGTTTGAATTTGTTGGTTAGCTTTTCTAGAAGGGCAGTTTCCCATACTGTTTGGTACCAGTGGTCATACTTGAAGTAGACTTGTGATTATTGGGCATGACTACTATAGGTCCATCAATTACTTTGAGTAAAACTTAGTAGGATACAGCTCAGTATTTATTGAATGTGTGTTTTACTGGTCATCAATTTTTTGTTTTTCCTTTTTCTGCTATTGTATTGTTGGCTTGCTTATTTATTTATTATCTGATAGTATTTTTTCCTTAGGGATTTTTATTGAACAGAAGGGCAGACTATAAATATCTAATTCAGGGTGCAATTTTTAATATTTATCCAATTTGAGTAATAGTTCAGGGGGTGGTTGTTTTCTTCCTCCGCATCCTCCAGTTGATAAGATTCTCTGGCAGTATCGAGGTTTGTGAATGTTTGCTGAACTTCTAAGTGTAAACTGTGATTGAAGTTTAATTGATGATATCCAATATCCTAAGCAGTGTGACTGACCATTTTCACATTTAAAACTACAAATGTTGAACCAGTGCTTGGAAGTATGAGACAAAAGTGTTGGGTAGTCAGACTCTACAACATGATTCCAAACTGTTTTCCCCCCAAAAGGGAGTACTTTGTTTATTATTATTATTATTATTATTATTATTATTATTATTATTCCTAGTTCACTGTTCTGATTGCAGTAAGTGGTGGTCAATAAGCATTTATTCATTAGACCTGCTTTGGCTTTTGGTAGATCTTAATTGAAACATTGGGGGGGGGGAATGCAGGGGTTTTGTTAAGGGGGAAAATTGCTGTCTGAACACATGTGCTTTAATTGTAAAATCCTTACTGCAAGATGGTACCAGCCTCTGTACAGAGCAGGAGCCTTTTTGAAGAGGTCAGTTTGTTTAGCAAATTATTGTTTAGGCACTGAATCAGGATCAGAAGCATAAAATGCCTCCTGAGACTATAAAAGAAGCTCTGTCCCTGGGCAGGTCAAGTCTGTGATAGTTGTGATTGTTGCAGTGGGTTGGACTAGATGATCCTCAGAACTCTACAATTCTATGATTCTAAGTGTCAGGCACAAATCTGGAGTGAAGTTCCTAAGATGGTTGGATGGCGTCCTGTACGCCTCCAGGTGACTCCTGCAGCCAGGCTGGTGCCAAAGATATTGCTCTGTTTTCCTTTGGACCACATCAGTGAGGCTGAAAGGGGGTCTTGACATCTGGGCAGCCCAGGACCTCCATACATACTGCCCAGGCTTTTGCACCCTGGGGAGGTCATGTTGGTGCTGCTAATGAAGCAGTTTTACTTCACCCCCGAAGGCGTATTCCATTGTCTCTCGAGACAGATGGATTCCAACAAGTGTCAGGCAATTTCCTCCACCCAATGCATCAACTGTGTTACTCTGAAGGGGGTTGCCTTATTCCTGTGTAAGGTTTCTAATACAAGGATGGGAACCAGTCATGCAAAATTGGTGGCAATCTTTTTGGAGGTGGTAAAATCATCAGTGAGGAACATTCAAGTGAATCCAATGGGGGCCACTTGTGGCCTCTGGGCCAATAGATTGCTCACATGTTGCTGTAGAGAAATACCAATAAATTGAAAGGTACATACATATATGATAGAGATCTGTCAAAATAATATTGCAAATGGAAATAAAATAATAAGCACTAGAGAGTTCAGTATGTTTGACCGGCTTTATTCAGGTTATTGTCACCAGGAATTTTTCTGACTCTTGGATATCAAGAGTAAAATCAAATTCATCACAACTTGTTCCCAGTACAGTGGTGCCTCGCAAGACGAAATTAATTCGTTCCGTGAGTTTTTTCGTCTAGCGAATTTTTCGTCTTGCGAAGCACGAAATCCCATAGGAATGCATTGAAATTCAATTAATGCGTTCCTATGGTCAAAAAAAGTCCAATCAAAGCCAAATTTGGTACAACAAGAGTTTATTAACTGCTCTTTAAAGTCACACATACTTTAAAGAGCATATCAAAAATTGAAGGAACAATAAATTAAGTTTCTAAACATGACAGGAAAAACATTTAAAAATCAAAAAGGGTACATTACATTTTCTAAGACTCTGGGGACCACTCGAAGAAGGTTCCTCTTCCACTCTTTGCTTCTTGCTGAGGAACCTGTCCATGGTCTGCTGCTTCATCCGCCTTTTCAGCAGCTCCCTGAGAGGCGACATGACCGTCGTATCAAAAATGTTCGCTTGGTCATGTGCCACGTGCTTGTCAGGGTGGTGCCGCTCTGCAAAAGCCTGCACCTCATTCCACTTCTGGCAAATGTCCCTCAGTTCTTTGGAGGACAGCCGTTCCTCAGTTGCTTCCTCCTCTTCCAGCGAGGCCTGCTCCTGCGCAACCTCTGACTGCAGTTCAACCAGCTCCTGGGTGGTCAGCTCGTGGTCGTGCTCCTCCACCAGCTCGCAGACGTCCTCCTCTGTGACCTCCAGGCCCATGGTCCTCCCCAAGGCAACAATGTCCTGCACCACTGTCGACTCTGGTGCATCAGAGTCACTTGGTGCCACACAGTCCGGCCACAGGCTGCGCCAAGCGCAATTCAAATTCCTCTGGCTGATCCCCTTCCAGGCCGTGGTGATCATCTTCAAGCAGGTGACGATGTCGAAGTGGTCCTTCCAGAATTCCCGCAGGGTGATGGTGGTGCAATCAGTCACCTCGAAGCATCGCCTGAAAAGCTCCTTGGTGTAGAGTTTCTTGAAATTGGCGATGACCTGCTGATCCATCGGCTGGAGCAGTGGCGTGGTGTTAGGCGGCAGGAACATGATGTTGATGAAGCTGAACTCCTCCAACAAGTCCACCTCAAGGCCTTTAGGATGAGCAGGAGCATTGTCCATCAGAAGCAAAGCCTTCAGCGGCAGGTCGTTGTCCAGCAGGTACTGTTTGACAGCAGGGCCAAAGGCAAGATTGACCCAGTCCACAAACAGCACACGTGTGACCCAAGCCTTGCTGTTGGATCGCCACATGACACTCAGCCGCTCCTTGTCGACCTTGTGTTTCTTGAAGGCCCGTGGGTTCTCCGAGTGGTACACCAGCAGGGGCTTGATCTTCAGGTCGCCGCTTGCGTTGGCACAGAAGAGCAGGGTCAGACGGTCCTTCATGGGCTTGTGGCCAGGCAACTTGGCCTCCTCCTGTGTGATGAAAGTCCTTTTGGGCATCCTCTTCCAAAACAGCCCGGTCTCGTCGCAGTTGAAGACCTGCTGTGGAACGTAGCCCTCCGTCTTCACAACCTCCAGGAACTCCAAGGCAAAGTCTTCAGCCGCAGGAACATCAGAACTGGCAGCCTCTCCATGCCTGACCACGCTGTGGATTCCGGATCTTGCCTTGAACCGGTCAAACCAGCCTCTGCTTGCCTTGAAGACTTCTGGCTCGGCCGAGGTTCCTGGCTGTTCCCGGATGAGGTCTGCGTGCAAGGCCTTGGCCTTCTCACAAATCACGGCCTCAGTCACTGTGTCCCCTGCACGCTGCTTCTCTTCTATCCAGATGAGGAGCAACTTCTCGACCTCCTCCAGAACAGCTGGGCGGTTCTTCACGATCCTGGTGACTCCCTTGGCTGCATCAGTCGCAAGGATCTTCTCCCTCATCTTCAGGATGGTGCCGATGGTCGATGGGTTCCTGCCGTACTCCCTGGCGAGGTCCGTCACACGCATTCCACCGTCGTGCTTCCGGATGATCTCCTTCTTCATCTCCAGCGTCACCTTCTCCTTCTTCCTCTCGCCGGCCTCCGCAGCAGCAGCAGTCTTCTTGGGTCCCATGGCAGCACAGCTGTTACCTTTGTAAAACTCAGAAAAAGAAAAAAATCAGCAATTCAAACCCACAACCAAGTCCTTGAATTCCAAACACCCAACCCAAAATCCAAAACCCCCCCAAAAAAGTTTTAAAAGTTTAACTTACGAAATGGCTGCAAATCACCAAAGTCTTCAAAATCCTCAAATGGCTGCAAAAGAAGTTTTGGGAAAGCTTTAAAAATCACCAAAGTCTTCAAAAACCTCAACTGTTCCCCCAGCCCCTCCCCAACTGTTGCAAACCCCTCCCCAACTGTTGCAAACCCCTCCTCAACTGTTCCCCCAGCCACCCAGCACACAGAAATTCAAAACCCAGAAAATTTTTCAAAAAAACAACAACATGGCCCAATGGTTACAGAAAACCATAAAAATTCAAAAAAAGCACACAAGCTCCCAGATTCCTGCAAACCCCTCCTCAACTGTTCCCCCAGCCACCCAGCACACAGAAATTCAAAACCCAGAAAATTTTTCCAAAAAAAACAACATGGCCCAATGGTTACAGAAAACCATAAAAATTCAAAAAAACCCACACAAGCTCCCAGATTCTTGCAAACACCTCCCCAGCTGTTCCCCCATCCACCCAGCACACAGAAATTTAAAACCCAGAAATTTTTTTCAAAAAAAAAACATGGCCCAATGGTCACAAAAAATCATAAAAATTCAAAAAAAACCACACAAGCTCCCAGATTCTTGCAAACACCTCCCCAGCTGTTCCCCCATCCACCCAGCACACAGAAATTCAAAAATTCAAAGCCAGATTTTTTTTTAAAAAAAATAAACATGGCCCAATGGTCACAGAAAATCATAAAAATGCAGAAAAAAACCACACAAGCTCCCAGATTCTTGCAAACCTCTCCCCAACACCAAGTCCTTGAATTCTAAACACCCCAACCCAAAATCCCAAAACCCAAAAAAGTTTTAAAAGTTCAACTTACCAAACAGCTGTAGAAGAAGTTTTGGAAAAGCTTCAAAAATCCAGCAAACTCTTTAAAAAGCTCAGAAAGGCCACCACACCGCGTGCAATGTGTTGCTCCTCGAGGTCAAGTCGCAACTGCACCTCTTCCAGCAATGCACCCTGGGTTTTAACGGTTTTACGAAAACGGAAACAAACTTGCAAGACGATTTCGTCTTGCGAAGCAAGCCCATAGGGACATTCGTCTTGCGAAGCAACTCGAAAACGAAAAAACCTTTCGTCTTGCGAGTTTTTCGTCTTGCGAGGCGTTCGTCTTGCGGGGCACCACTGTACTCTTCCATTTTCAGCCTTGTCCCTAGTCCCACCTACTGAAAATGGCTTCTTCTCCCCTCTTGAAATCATGTTCCACTGTCTTCTGGTTGCATTTTGAGACACAGAACTTTTGATTCTATTATTTAATTCTTCTACATGGAGCTCTCCAGAAAAATTATCTGAACCCTCCCATATGCTCCACCATTTTACTTCCTACATCTATCATTTACTAGTAAATGTGTTTGTAAGACCTACAATTCTAACATAACATGTTCACAGATCACATTTCTTGCCTGTATTCCAGAGAGAGAGAGAGAGAGAGAGAGAGAGAGAGAGAGAGAGAAGTAAAGAAACATCTACTGATCCTATTTAAAGCCTTCAATTTATGCAAGAATTTAACCCCTGCTGGTGGTTTAGGGACTGATTACTTAATACTCTGGTAAGAGCCTGAAAGGGTGCTGAAGGGAAGAAGTGCACAAGCCCAAGGACTTTTTGAAAGCTGTTCTGTTCTTGTAGTGCCAACCCACAGTTTGACAAGTCTGTAGGTGCAGTGTTCAGCTTAGGAAACACTCTCCACTGAAAAGCCCACTTGTGCCTGTACTTTTTTCATTTCAGAGATAACCCACCACTTTTTAATTTTTGGTTGCTTTCAATAGCCAGTGGTGAAGGGAAGCTACATTTTGGTACTTGATGTAAGCTGTCTTGATGCAAACTGATTTGAGAACTTCTCTGGGCCAGGATAAAGGTAAAGGTACCCCTGCCCGTACGGGCCAGTCTTGACAGACTCTAGGGTTGTGCACCCATCTCACTCAAGAGGCCGGGGGCCAGCGCTGTCCGGAGACACTTCCGGGTCACGTGGCCAGCGTGACAAGCTGCATCTGGTGAGCCAGCGCAGCACACGGAAACGCCATTTACCTTCCCGCTAGTAAGCGGTCCCTATTTATCTACTTGCACCCGGGGGTGCTTTCGAACTGCTAGGTTGGCAGGCGCTGGGACCGAGCAACGGGAGCGCACCCCACCGCGGGGATTCAAACCGCCGACCTTTCAATCGGCAAGCCCTAGGCGCTGAGGCTTTTACCCACAGCGCCACCCGCGTCCCTGGGCCAGGATAGTGGCATATAAATTTGAGAAAAGACAAAAGTAATTATATACTATACTCTAGTCTCCCTGTGATGTTAAATGCTTGATGCATTTGATTAATTTTGTATTCTGTTTCTTGACACTAGAATGGTGGTCTAGAAACTCCCAAAATAAAAATGTTTTATATTGTAGCATTTAACAACTTCACTAACTCTATTAAAGCACTGCCATTGATACGGAAATAAAATTATTTCAGTAAAAGACAAATTCCATTTACCCTGAGCCAGCATTTAACAGAAAAAGTGTAGGAGTAATTAGTATGTGTACATGTGTGTTTAAACCTCATTTAGGAAACTTTGAAGGCTCAGGTTGTACAAACTAGTATATACTCATTTTTGCTTCCATTATGTACTCATTTGACATAAAAAGCACTGGTCTAACTCTGGTATTTCCTGCACCAATTATAATACGCAGTACTTCCCTAAATTACATAACCACTAGACAGGAGGCGAGCTGAATCTTAAATGTTGCAAGTTCTGATATGGATAGGCTTAAAAAAATTCTTTTAAGTTTTTCATATCTGGATTTAGCTTCATGCACACTGTGTATTCTAGATACTGTTCATGCACCCATTTTACTTGATACAACTTGACCCTGATAGTATTAACTTTTTGAAACACTAGACTTCCAGATTTTATATTTATTTACAAGTTTGGAATACTTACAGCCTGGTTTTATAGCCCCAAGAGGGGCTTATAAAAATGTGCACATCGCAATCAAATGCAACTGTAGTATCAGGAACGGAAATAACGTTGTGTCCATATGGTGCCAGTATTGTTCAGATTTCAGTCTCAGGTCTTCATTGTTAGTATGGGAGTATATTGTTCTCAACTGCCCTTAGAATGGGAAAGAAGTCCGCCAGCTCTGTTTCTGGTAAATGGAAGGGCTTTGGATTTGGCCCCTGGAAAACCCCTTTTGTGGTTACGATCTGCTCTATGCTGTGGCCCCAAGGACCCCCTTTCATTGGGGAAATATTGAGTATTTCATACAAAATGATAGTATCGTTGGTTATATACTTTGCACTTGTATTACCAAAAGACACACACACACACACACACACCTTGATTTGTGCATATTGAAATGCAACATTTGTTTAGTATGGAAAACACTTGATTTGTAGCAACTCCCTGGAACATTCAGTTATATAGGAATTAATTTTTTACCTTGTAATGTGTGAAGCAACTCACAGTATAACTTTTTCCTATCTTTTTATCTTTGTTTTGTGCTTTTGTTTCCTAGGGTAACAGGCTGCAAACTAGAACCCTTGTGTAGGCTGCAAACTGGAACCCTTTAAGTTGCAGTGTGTTGCTATTTATGTCAGTGTGTACATATTTTACATTGCAGTTGAGGAACAATACAAATGTTGAGCTTCTTGGGCTTTCCACTTGATTGTATCATCTGTTTGTTTTAGATAGAAGACACTTCCATTCAAACCACTCTAATAAGAAAACTCCACACAAACAATTCTAATGTGAGAAGATTCCCAATTTAATCTAATGTGTAAGATGGCAGGTTTGCTGTGGAACATGGTTAGGAAGGTTAGGAAGAAACAACTGGATAGGCTAGCAGTCAACTGCAAAGGGGACTCGGAGATCTAATTTGCACATTTTACTTGAGAATTACTTTTTATTCTGTGTAACAAGGAATTTTGGTGGATTTGATCATGGTTTTACTGCATATGTAGTGACTGTTGGGTTCCCCCTCCCCTTTTCCTTTATTTGGATGATGCCATGGCCTTTGGCTAGCGCAATAATTTTTTTAATTAAAAAAAAATCCTTTTGTGGTGGTACAGTCATATGAGAGGATTGTACAACTTCAGCAACTTAATGTTTGAATTGGCTCTCTGTGCCTGGGTAAATGGAGGTCTGTAGACAGCAGAATTGCAGTTCAGTTCATTAGATCCCCCATTCTCATTTAAGGGTTAGGTTGTTTCTGTAACTTCCATAGACATGTATTCACACACACACTTCTTTGCTTTCAGATTAGATGAATAGTTTTATTTCTCTGGCTAGCTAGTATCCTGCCATTTTTCAACCTCTAGGTAGAGATGCTGTGTGAGTGCTGAGAGGAATACATTTCCAAGTAAGTGTTTAACAGTGAACTTAGAATACAGTTAATTATCTGGTCCCATTGAAGTTGGTGGAATAAAGCCAGTTTAAGCACAGGAACTCTTACATAGTTTTTTTAAGCTGTTGGAAGTGGGGGGGGATCTATTGTACTGTACTTCATTTTCCATGTGGTTTTTTAAATCTTTACAGTCTAATATCTATCTTTGGATATGCACCTCTTCAGGTTCTCTCCATAGCTTTCTGTTGTTTGCTTCCTCCATCCACATAAGCCCTGCTGTTAGTGGTCATCCCTTGGTCTTTTAAAACTGTGGGGTCTCCACACTAGCATTGCTTTATTCCATCAACCTGAGTCATCTCTTGCCACATGCCCTGTATATGTCCATTTTAACTTTGTGGCCTTTTCCACTACCTCTGTAACTTTTGATCTTTGTGCTATTCAATTGTTAGCTTTGCTTGTTCCATGGCATATTGTGGTGTTCTTAAGCTGTTTGTTTCTTTGTGTCATGGTCCAGTTCCTCACTCTATAACACATCACAGGTAGTACACAAATACTGAATGCTTTAGCTTTCAAATCTGAGGGAATATTTTTATTTTTCGTCTTATGTGTGATTATTAAACATGGGTCACAAAGGCATGTGATGCTTCTCAGCAAACTTTCTGCTTGGATTGGGCTGCAATCCTTTGCTCATTTCCTTGAGAGTAATCCACATTAAGTACAGTTGGTCTTAATTTGGAATTACCATGTTTTCATTAGAATTTGTTGCATGATTGCCTATACCTTCCTTCTTGTTCTTGAATTCCTGGGCTGCTGCAAACCAGGAGGTCAAATATGAAATTTATTGTTGCTTATTTCTGGAAGTGTTTAAAGGGGAGCACCATTTGATCTTGGTATGACAAAGTTTGGCATTAATCAGGAACATCATAATGTTTGATATTGAAAGCATATTAAGGGGTTAATGCCAAAATTGCATGACTGCCAAAACATGCTTATTGAGCCAGTAAAAAGATTTAAGGATGGTTTCTTGGAGTATTGTATTTGAAACATTTTTAATGCAAAGTGAAACCAATTGATTTATAGGAATTGCATTATAAAATCTGTATTAAAGTGGAGTGTAATTCAACAGCTTTGAGGGAAATTGGAATTCAGATAGGTAACATTATGTATTGTTTACTTACAGTGCTCTTCTCGGTGTTTCTATTCAGAATTCAGTCTCAGTGGGGCTTGCTCAAAAAAACAAATACAGCAGAGTTGAGGAGCCCTTTTTTTTTTGCTGAGGACCGCATTCCTTTGGAGGGGTGTGTGGGAGGCCACAGGCTGCTGGTGGGTTGGTGTGGAGCCAGAACATGGGCAAACTATCATCTTTCCACTCTCTGCAATCCATTCCCTCCTTTTTCCGTCTCCTTGCCATATGAGAATCGCATGATAATTAGGATAAGGGCTGTAGGGTCCCCACTTCCGGGATATTGGAAAACAACCCAAATGCCTCTGTCTTAAGAATGTAATTGTCACCGTTTCTGTGTGTGCAGGGGAATGGCAACATCATCCTGAAGTTTCCTTTGTTTAAAAAAATTGTGTAGTTGTGTACATTCATGAATACATTTAGAATATGTGTTCCCTTCCCTTTCCCCTTGATATCAGGCAAGGTTTATGTTAGCTATTATCATGGTATTAGCAACTGCCAACGCCCACTCCCTTCCCCAGCTTCAGAGTGCAGAGAAACCTAGTTTGCTTGCAGCTGCAGCGCTAGACATCTTTCAGGAAGTGACCTTGGCTTGTATTAATCAAATTCAGAACACAGAAAAGCTGCTTGCTAACATGCTGACTTGATATAAAATGTTAGAGCAGACATTTTCTTTTAAAATGAGGCCATGAGGGAAATAAGGGGAGTTCTTAAATAATATCTCCATTTAGACGACTTTTCAGTATGTAGAAAGGACAGAGAAGTTGCCTACAGTGAGGGTTATTGAAATATAAAGCCTGTGTTAAAATAATTTAGTGGTTGCCTTTTCTAAGCAGTATCTGTGATCTAAGAATGTATTAGGGAACAATTGGCATTTAAAGTTAAGCACAGCATAACATTTAACTAATAACCAATCTGTATAATTTCCTCTTTAAAAGTTGATCAGCATTGTTGATAAATATTGCATGCTAAGGACTGATGCATCTAAACAAGTAGCCAGGTGAATGCCTTCCATAATAATTGCTCCGTGCAGGAAGGCCCCATGTTCATCTAGCAAGGATTTTTATACAATTTTATACAATGCTGCCACAAATGGTCTTGCTCTTCTTCATCTATCTCAATAGAGTGTCATTGTTGGAACATTCACTGAGGCAGCACAGACATGAAAGATCCTACTATTTTGTGTAGGGCATCTTGCCTGCAGGAATAGAATAATAGTCATTTGTGATATTGCCGTTATGTACTGTCTTACATAGCAATTGTTGCTGTCTGCTGTCTTATGTAGAAATCCACTTGTTGAAATCTTTTAGGACCAGACCATTAAATCTTCAAAATCAAACAGAACATCAGATAAGGTTTAACTCTAATTATTCATTTAACAAATTATATGTACAATGGTACCTTGGGTTACATACACTTCAGGTTACATACGCTTCAGGTTACAGATTCCGCTAACCCAGAAATATTACCTCGGGTTAAGAACTTTGCTTCAGGATGAGAACAGAAATCGTGCTCCAGCGGCACAGCGGCAGCAGGAGGCCCCATTAGCTAAAGTGGTGCTTCAGATTAAGAACAGTTTCAGGTTAAGAACATACCTCCAGAACGAATTAAGTTCTTAACCCGAGGCACCACTGTATATCCATGAGATATTATCCTTGGGTTACAGGGAAAAGTCTGTTGCACAAGTAAAACAACATCATTGAATGCAACCCACACTACAGTCAATAATAACTCAATTTTGGTTGCATGTAACACTAAACTGTGGTTTATCTGAAGTGATGGCTTCTAATCTCCTTGTGGCTGGGGCAAAGGGGGAACAGGGCCATAGGCATAGCACTGAGCTATAAAGCAGGAACAAGCCATGCATTTAAAATATTTTCACTGCCCTTCATTTGAAGATTCTAGGGAAGTGTGAAATAATTCACCCAACAAGAAGTACAATATCTAAAGAACATACCACCACCACCACCTCAATCAATCAATCAATCAATAGAAAGCAAGCTAAAAAGAAAAAAACTAAGGAAATCAAGCAGCTTAGACTAAAATATTGTGCCATGAATATTGTAAGGTTAATGCTAGATAGGCCTCCGTAGACAGAGCATTTGAAACTAAGGGTAGCACTGCAGAAAATGAGGCCTGAAATCAGAACCTTAATGATGGAGATTCAACAAGGTTAAGAATGGTAAGATGAGAAATCCCTCTGAAAGAAGACAACAAAGCAACCATTTGAGTGTATTTATGGCAAGGAGGGACATGGGAAGCTTTTAATCTGTTGCCTATAACCAGTAAATATAAGCAAAGCATTGCAATCTTTAAATTTCACTGAAGACAGCTTGCATTGTTGTGGCATCACAAATGGAATAGGTATACAAAAGCTGTTGAAGTTTCAACAGTTTTGCAGAATTTCCTTAGAATCCATCCATGTCTTAAGAACTTCTTTAGAGACTCTTCTCAGAGTACTTTCTTTAACAGAGGTATATTATGTAGTTATAAGGGAGAGGGTATATTCTCTCTCTCTCTCTCTCTCTCCCCCTCCCCTTTGAGTGGGTTTTGTTTGGCTTTAGTACTCACACTGTAATTAGTGCCATATTTGGAGTCTTGGGGGATCCTGCAGGTCAGTTTTTGATGTTGCAAATCAAATAGACAAAAAAAGCTTTTCCCTTCAACATTGTTGACATTGTCAAGCTACCTCCTATTTAATAGCTTGTTAAATCTCTCTTCTTACAGATCCAGGGTAACATGACATCCTACCAGTTTTTCTTGTCTTTCTGCCAGAACATCACCCTTGTGGTGAATGACTGGAAGCAAACCCTTGATTATTTGGAAAATTTGGCTATCTGTAATAGACTGGCTGTATCAATTCTAGCACAGGGGGTGTAATTATTTTAAAGTTCTTTGGGTTTTGTGTGTATGTGGTAGTTTTTGTTTAAAGCTTTTAGATTTGGCCCTGCTTTGTCCAGAATACTGCAGTCAGAAGCAGTGTTTGGGCTGAAATTGCTAAAAATGCAGGGGAAATCCGGACATATGGCAACCTATGTCGGCTTTTTGGTAATTTCCCGTAAAAACAGCTCAAAATCTTCATTTTTTAAAAGTGAATTTGCCAAAAAAGCTTTGGGCAAAGCTAAAAACCTCCGGATTTTCACTGTTTGAAATATGGCAACCCTACTTTATATGCATACCACACCATTCTGCTTTTAAGAGCATGACGGTAAAACAGATACAGACAGCAGGGAACTCTTAGGCATATCATGGTTGTCACCCAGGATGGAGATTGTGTGCACTGCACTTCTGTTTTCCTGCATGGGTATCAACTTTCAGAAAGCGGTGTTGGAACACTGCCCATCTGCTCCATTGCATGTACATGGTATTATGTAGCGCTATGTGTTGTCCCCAGGGCTATTCTAATGACAAAGATGGATCAAGAAGCACTACCATACTACACACCTTCTCCTTCAGTGAGAGTGTGACTCCACAGGTTGAATACCAAGTTCCTAGACCCAAGAATAGTGCCTCCAATTTATCAGGATTCAGCTTCAGGTTATTGACCGTCATCCATCACGTTACCACTTCCAAGAACCAATTCAGGTTCTAATGGAGTAGAGATACAGAGTTGGGTGTCATCAGCATACATGACACCATAACCCAAACCCCCTGATCACTGTACCCAGCAGCTTCATATAAATGTGAAATAGCATTGGGGACAAGAGGAAATCATTTGTGGGGGGAGGGGCAGAAGTAACCTAGTTCTACTCCCTGGTGATGGCCCTGCATATAGGAGTGGAAGCATTGTATCACTATGACCCCTAATAGTGGACAGTGTGATGACATGCTACTGCTTAGCTGACCCCTGGTCCGTTGTGTTGCTGCTGCTTCCCAGGAGGTTGATTGCTTCAAATATGTTTTCTGCCAACTTTATTTTAAATGTCTTCCCTGAATGGCTTTCTATCGTAGCACTGCAGCTCTGGATGGAGTAGTATGTGTGTGTGGAGGCAAATCACACCTGTCCACGGACACTGGACATTTGCATGTGCGTATTGTTGTTGTTTGTTGTTGTTGTTTAGTCGTGTCCAACTCTTCGTGACCCCATGGACCAGAGCATGCCAGCCACTCCTGTCTTCCACTTCCTCCCACAGTTTGTATAGTAATGTCTGAAACTCTGTACATCTGTAGGTTGTGTCTTCAACTGGCAGAATCTGTATAGTCAAGAGTCCCTGCTCAAAATGGCTAGACCTTCCAGTTTTTGTATGGATGCAGAGTGCAGAGATGAACAGCTGTGATTTTTCTCCCTGCCCCTCAACACATTCAGAGTTGCATCTGAACAGTGTTGGTGTTCCAAATGATTAGAGGTACATTCAGGAAAAGGGAGGTGTTCAAGGTTTTATCAGTTATTACATATCCCTAGTTGCAGAGATCTTTTACCCACTTAATACAAATGGGTAAGTCAGAGGCGTAGCTGGAGGAGGAGAGCTCCCCGAGTGCCACACTGCACTTACCGTGAGACCTGGCCTGCAGTGCGCCCATGCCATGCGTCTCTCCTGACGCAGTGGCTCGGGCACCTGCAGGTTCCGTGCTGCCCAAAACAGCAGTGTGGGGCTTGCGTCTGCCCGCTGCCTCTCCCTTAGCCGCCCTACAGCTGAGAGGGAGCTGGTGGCGGGACTCTGTGGAGGCTCCATGCAATGCACCCTGCCCCAACTTGCCCCGCCCCGTGGGTAGCTCGCCTTGCCCCCATGGGCACTTTGCCCCGCGCCCAGGCATGTACCGTCCCAGGTGGCTAGATACGCTGCTGAGAAATTTTACCAATTGCATACAAAACCCTGATAATGTACATGTCAGGAGGCACCTACATTGTAACCTACTCTTGAAACCTTTGGTCAGGGGGGGAAAATATCTAAATATCAAAACTATCAAATATCAAAATATCAAATCCCCGCTACGGGGTGAGTTCCGATTGTTTGTTCCCAGCTCCTGCCCACCTAGCAGTTCAAAAGCATGTCAAAGTGCAAGTAGATAAGTAGATACCGCTTCCATGCGCTGCTCTGGTTTGCCAGAAGTGGCTTAGTCATGCTGGCTACATGACCCGGAAGCTGTCTGCGGACAAACGTCGGCTCCCTCAGCCTATAGAGTGAGATGAGCGCGCAACCCCAGAGTCGTCCACGACTGGATCTAACGGTCAGGGGTACCTTTACCTTTATGTGACCTTTAAGTTTCTCATATGGAAGACATTACATTAATGTATTCACCGTAGGCAGGGTGGTTTCTTTAAGCAAGAGAGTATTTCAGCAATGCAGTCATATACCAGTAGTACCATTGTGCACAGATATTGTTGAGATAAAACTTTTAGTTGCTGCAAATGGACCTCCTTCATCACAACCTGCTCCACCTGGTGAACATTTTTTTAAAAATACAAACAAACCCAGTTGTCCCAAAATGGCTTGCTGTTCTGTTTCAGTCTAAAGTCTCCTGTCACTTTAAGTATAGTGATGGTAAAGTATCTTCTCATGTGAAAAAATGGTTTGGTGCGCAAACAATATAGAGCAGGCATAGGCAACCTAAGACCCGTGGGCCAGATACGGCACAATCGCCTTCTCAATCCGGCCCATGGACGGTCCGGGAATCAGCGTGTTTTTACATGAGTAAAATGTGTCCTTTTATTTAAAATGCATCTCTGGATTATTTGTGGGGTATAAGAATTCGTTCATTTTTATTTTTCCCCCAAAATATAATCTGGCCCACCACATGGTCTGAGGGATGATGGACCGGCCCACAGCTGAAAAAGGTTGCTGACCCCTGCCTGATATAGAGTGCACTGGAGGCCATTGAGCAGGCAGAGATGGAGGAGCAGTTGTTGTTAAATAAATTTCTATACTGCCCTTCATCTGAAGATCACAAGGTGGTTTGCAATATAAAAACACAAAAATGCATAACACAGTAATAAACAAAACCAAGCAAATTATTATTATTATTGACTTTTATTTGTATCCTGCCCTCCCCAGCCAAAACCAAACAATAATTAAATTACCTCCTAAAAACAAGTCAGGGTCAAATTAAAATCTAATTAAACCTAGTTTAAAAAGCCATAGGTTATTTAATTAGCCCAAAGTACTAGGAGAATAAAAATATTTTTGCTTGGCACCTAAAGATATGTAGAGAAAGTGCCAGGCAAGCCTGGGGAGTGCATTCCACAAGTGTGGAGCCACCACAGAAAGGACTTTATCTTGTGTTGCTGCCTTCCAGGCCTCTAGTGGAGGAGGCACACAAAGAAGGGCTCAGAAAATGATTGTGGGGTCCAAGGCAGTTTATATGGGGAGAGGCTGGCGAGAGGCAGTCCTTGAGGTATTGCAGAGATTTAAAGATGCAGTTATGCCTAGTTATGTCTAGGTTCCCAAATGTGTTAGACCATGGGTAGGCAAACTAAGGCCCGGGGGGAGGATCTGGCTCAATCGTGTGTGAATGATTTTGTAGAATTTAAGAGTATGTCTTGAAACTTGTTTGGGTGAAGTACAGAAAGCTTCAATTGTCTCTGTGGTGTTCTGATGTGAAGAGGGATGGACTTAAAAGACCTAACGTGTGCGCAAAAATAGTGGGAGGCAGAGTAGACCTATTTATATTAATGGACCTAACTTGGTCATGTTCATTTATTTCAATAGGTCTACTCGGAGTAAATTTAGTTGAGAGAGAAAAAATCTGGGTAATTGAGATTTTACAAAGGAGCCACATAAATTTCATAGTTATTCCAGTGGAATTAAGAAAAAACTGCAGGCAACTGTATTGGTTCTTTAGAAGACTTCTAAACTCTTGTAACAGCAACATTACAACATAAAGTTGTAAAGTAGTAAGGCACTTTCAGGTTTCCCAGAGTTTTTTCAGGTTAGGTGGAAGAGGAGTTAGAAAAAACCTGACATGCCCTTTATCTGGACGCTTTTATAGAGCAGGGCAGAAATAGTTTTCAAGGTCACCCTTCATCTTCAGAGCAGTTTCAAAACTATCAGGGGAATAAACCCAGTTACAAAAGATGCAGACTTACTTTACTTTACTGTAAAGTAAATGAAGGAATATTTAATTCACAGAACTGTTCGTTAAGCTGGAAGTTAAATGCAAAAACTAACACACTATGTCACCTTCAGTTGGTATTAATAATATACGATTGCCACATTTAAATCTTGCTACTCCTCAAAACTTGCTTGTTGGAAATTGTGCAAATGTTGTGAAGCTGTAAATATCTCTAAACAAACACTTGGTAAGAAAACTTTATGGAATCTATTTTTCACTGTCGAATTCCTAGATAAACAGTAGCTGTAACTGGAGCTTCAAAAAAGTTAGCCTTCCTATGGAATCTGGTACTCAATGAGTTAATTTTTCATTTGCAGCTGAAAGTTCTATCTTCAGTTGCTGTTTTCTGATTGGTTGCTAAAAGGTGAAATTGAAATCACAGTGAACTTTTGACCCCATAGCAGTTCTTGTGGAACGCCTACCACTTGCAGAGAAAGAGGGTGGGGTTTTTTGCCTCCTTTCCTGTATTTATTCTGTGTGATCGTGCAGCTCCGCATGCAATCTTTTGAGGTGGGGGTGGAGGGAGATAAAGAACAAGTACAAACAAGTAGCTTCCATGTTCCAGTAACAGCAGAGTTGGCATTTTCCCTCTAGTTAGCAACACCCACAATTAAAACAACCTGGCAAATAAGTAGACTCTCTCCCCTTAATTTGTTGGATTCTCTTTCTGTGCAAACGCTATGGATACTGACAATGTAAAAGGCAGACAATTTGAGATTATTTGTCTAACGAACACTTGCATCCTAAAATATTAGGTTCTTTTGGTTTGGAAATAAGTGGTGGTAAACATTGGAAATTCTTGGAGGCCTTTAATGTCAGCACAAAAAGTCAGCTGACATGCAGCTAATAAACAAAGTTTTTTTGATTTGCTTTAGTAAGACAGCGATTTTGTTTGCATTCCATTTAACCTGGGGAAGGGTCATAGCTCAGTGGTAGACCATGTACAATCCCTGTCATCTCCAGACAGGGCTGTGACAGGCCTTTTCTCTTAAATCCTGGAGAGCTGCTGCCTGTACAACAATGTCAATGTGGATGATACAGAACTAGGTGGACCAATGGTCCGACTTGGCATAAGGGGTGTATGTGTGAAAATCTCAATGCTTTGTTGAGTGAATGATGGAACACAGTTGTCCTCTCATGCAACTCTACAGTGGACCCTTAGGTTGCGTTACCTTCTGGGTTTCGCCATGTGCGCATGCGCAGAAGCGCTTAATCACGCCACGTGCGCACGCAGAAGGGCGGCTCTGGTTATGAAGTTTCTGGGATGCGGCCGGGCCTCCGGAATAGATCCCGTTCGCAACTGGAGGTATCACTGTATTTGGTTTCATTGGTGCATACAGCAAAACTAAGTGGTGGTTTGTGCCCAAGACCTTTGTATTTGAAAAATCCCAGTTAAATCATCTTGTAGCATCCCAATCCTAAGCAATTTTTTAAAATAAAAAATATTTAGTGGCACTGTTTTCAACCAAATTTGCTGTTAATTATTTGGGTTTAGTATTGCATTCTTGATGCTATCAAGGTTTTATGTTTCAGATTTTGTTTATTAAATGGTTTCTCATACAGGCAACTCCCCATTTGCACATGTTCAACACACACACAACCGCCAAAGTGTGTGCTGTTTTCGGCCCTGGAAGGGAACGGAACAGGGTGGGGTGGGCTTTTCCCTTTCCCGCCGACACATGTGCCTTGGAATGCAATCCCTGTGCAAATGGGTAATTGCTTGTATTAGTTCAATGTTTACATGTCTTTATTCTTAAATTTTCCTAAGTTTATTTTGATAATAAAGATTTTTAAAAACTCAGTCAAATTGCAACCATTGCTATGGAGGAAAATAGTTTGGATTTTCAAATTAGAAAACCTTTAATGTTGTTTCACAAATTAGATGTGAACAACAGCACAGTTCTGGAAGATAAAAAAAGGAGTTGAAATTAGCCAGTCTAAACTGTATTTAAGCATTTAGGCATAGAATTGTTTATTTTTAAAATTTACTTGCTACTGTGACAATAGATTCATAATCTGAGTGACTCTACTAATAAATGGAGGTGCTTAGCTTAGTATTCTAAGAACGTAATTGACATGATAAACATTTTAGCCATTTTCAGTTTTCTGATATTGATAATTTTTTCTTTCCTCTGGACTCAAGAGAAAGTACTGTGGCGACAGTTGAAATCTTGTGTTTTAACTTGAGGCATATTATCTAGACAGAGCTTGCGTGCAATAATTCCAGTGGACTATTACTATGTCAGAGTGATTATTTAAAAACATTTTGCTTAATCATCTTGTAACAGCTCATGTTTGAAAGAAGTGTAGCGCATGTAAGGCTTATGACTGCAAACTGCTAATTTTTGATGGTTATTGTTTCTGTTATACACTTTGATCTGGGGTACAGTAGAGGTAGAATCCTTGTATATAGCCTTGCCTGTAGCATCAAAGGAACAATGAATTTAATATGATTAATATCAAATTCTCTTTACCCCGCCCCCCTTAGGTGCAGTTCACCTCGAAACAGTAATAGCAAAATGCATTCATAATGATACTCTGTGGCCTCTGTTCTAATCAGTGTTCCCAAGTAACAGATATTGTAGTTTGACTCTCCTCGCCTCCCGCAGTCTTTTGTCTAGCGTCGTTTTACACTGTACACACTGGCTATTTTTATTTCTCATGCAAGGTATCTTTGGATTTACTGTGCATGTATTTCGATACAGGAAATCATATTACAAACCAGCCTTTTTTTGGTGAGATGAGTTGGCGTTTTATTATATCCTGACCAAACATTTAATTAGGAATAATTAATTAATGGTTGGCACAAATAAGTTACTGGTACTTAAGAATGTCTCTGTGAAGCAATTGTCTTTTATCAAATTCATAGCCTTTTCCAAAATCATTTGAATTTCCCTCTAGTATTAATGGTCCAATAGAGTCTTAAAGGATTAATATTTTAAAATCACATGGCATTCGGTTATGAAATTTGAAAACTGTCCTCCATATATCTGCTAGCATTTGCTTTACCTGTGATCACATAATACCTCATTTATTGTGCAGCCTATTCAGTTGGGTGCTCCACAGAAAGTAGTTCTAGACTATATTCTCTCTTGATATAAAGAACCTCTCAGCAACCATGCAGAAGTATTTCTATTTGTCAGAATTTTTTCTACTGTAGCCCTGCCCCATACAAACTTTTGAAATGCCAGAGAGAGAGAGAGTCAAACTCTGTGTGTGGCAGGCCACAAGAAGCTGAATAGCTCAGCTGGTTAGAGTGTGGTACTGTTAACACCAAGGCTGCAGGTTTAGTCCCCTTAAGGGTCAGCTGCATATTCCTGCATTTCAGGGGGATGGACTAAGATGATCCTCAGGGTCCTTTCCAACTCTGTGATTCTAAGGACCCTCCCCCAGTGTTTTAGTAAGATGTCTTTTTATTGGATGGTTTGCAGTATTAACTACCAAAAATATTGAATCTTATAATATTAGTAACTACTTGTTTCTGAGCTGCGTTTACCAGTTTTGTGGCTGTTTACTATTGTACACCGTATTTGTCATACATACATAGTGGTGTCTTTGGCTGCAGTAATAGAAAACTACTAAATATACTATCTTACGTTACAAAAATGAACTAAAATTAAGTTTTAGTTAAAAAAATTATTTTACTTTTGACTCAAAATTGTAATAGACTTTGTATGGATCCCTTAAAATGCTTGAGAAAGTTGGTCATCCTACTCCAGTTAAAGTAGCAATTTAGTACTGTGGAATTCCCGGGGCCATAGCCTTTCAGTACCCAAAGACATGATCTCATTCATAGTTTATGGCACTTAACGTTTTCACTGCTGAAAATTGAGAGCTAACTGCTGTTTATTCCCATTGCAAATCTAAACTATGCAACGAGCATTCTGTTTGTCTTTAAATGAAGTGTGCCAGACAATTTAATAAACTTGAATATATGTCATTTTTTTTGCTGGTCTGCAGTTTGTCCTGAATGCAAAATCCACTTTGGCTTCTTATTTCTTCCCACCCCTTACAAATGACAGTTTTTTTACTCTGAGCAAATTCATCTACTTTTTAGGTGTTTTTTGGTTTCTGTACCCAATATTTCATTTTGAGACCTGTACCTTTGTTCAGTTGTCACACCAACTCAATTCCCAGCTCATAACTTGGTTTGCTAAAACTTTCCCAGAAATATAATTTCTCCATTTCTATACATTCTACAATCCAGAACCTCCCTTGCTATACATTCATCATAAAAATGCTGCTGACTTTTATTATTGTTAATATGTCAAATATGTCATCCCTTATTCTCAGCCATGAGACATCACTTCAGGGACATAATCACTTCTGTAGTTCAGGCTTGTATTGTAAATGCTTGATTATACTAAGCATATTTGTGTTCCATGCTGTAGCACTATTTCCTAGAGGGAAATACTGTATAGTGGAATAAATAGTTTGTATGGCTTAAATCACACAGAGAACCTTTGTTATTGGGCAGAAATAGTCTTATGTATTTCTAATATCTTCCTGTCTTCCACTGAATATTGGTTCATCCAGACCAACATTGTTTTAGATGGGCTAGTGGCTCTCCATGTTTTCAATACAAAGGCTTTGCCCAGACTTGAGATATCTGTTAACTATCCAGGTATGAAGCTTAGGACCACCTGCATGCAACGCATGTGCTCTGAGGTAAGGCTTTTGGAACAATGTGGCACCTCTGCTCGTCCTAGGTACCAGGGACTGACTTTATTTTTGTTGGCTGTTTAGATTTATATGGCTGGTTATCAATAAAATTCTCTGGTTAGCTTAAAAATGACAGTAGTACAACCCAATATACAGTAATTAAAATCAACAGTAACAAATAAAAAAACAACAGAAAATATTCCTTGTAAAAGATAGCATAAATTGTTTACAGCTCAGATTAAGGCCACTGTAGCCTCAACAGCCCAATATTAATTTAAGCACAATATTTAAAAAATCTTGGATGAACAAAGAGTGTCTTCACCTGGCATTGAAAAGGCCATAGAAACGGTGCCAGGCAGGCCTCTCTAGGGAGAGTTTCAGGCCACCACTGAAAAAGGTATCTTGGTTAGGAATATTTGGGAGGAGGGAGAACTTTTCATGCAACCTGCTTTCAAACTGTTCACAGATATAAGAGTTAAAGACAGCACTTTTAATTGGTCCAAGAAACAGATTGGGAGCAGTCTTTCTTTTTTACCAACTCATGTTGCCTGCTTTTCAGAAAAATAATGTTCTGGCATCCACCACAACAGTTCTTTGGAGGTTGTAGCTTTGATTTTGCCATATTTTCTTGGAGCTCTTAGCTGTGGAAAGATCAGGAACATCAAATCTCTGTACATGCCCTGCTTGATTTTTGCCTGGTAAAGCTCCCAATAGTTATAAGTGGTGATATGCAAATAATACTTTTATTTCACTGAGGAATATTGTTTGCAAAAAGTAGTGCTGGGGCTTAGTATGAAAACACTAACTTGAATCTTGAAAGTAAGAAAGGTAGGCTAATTTCACTTATTGTACTAGTGGCTTCTTTTCATGTAGCTTGCTCCCTACAGGTCATGTTGTTTAGTTAAAAACTAGAAACAAAAATAGATTGCCATGAAAGTAAACGTGAAGAATAAGTTCAGTAGCTGTAATTTATTGTTATACAGTAAGATTGCAATTTAGGTGCCATCCCACCTGCCACTGAACCCAATTTTGACTAAACACAATTTTGGCTTTAGGTGTGATCCCTGGAACATAACTCCTGTGTAAGCTGTGGACTTACTGTATTACCATTTTTTAAGGATATGTCCTTTCATAGGCTAGCACATATTTTGGTACAAAGAATCTAAATAAAAGAAAGGTCAAGCTGAATGAATTATTTCAGTCTTTGCTCACTTTATTGACATTCGTGATTTTACTTCTACTAGTAAAGGGATAGCAGTGGCTTATTCTTAAAAGGTAGCTTTTCCCATATTGAAGTGAAACCTTTGAACTCTTGACCTTGACTTGGTATTGCCATGTAGAATGCATTACATACAGCTATTGAAGTCAAAATTTCCTTTTCAAGTCCTGTGGTTTATGAAAATTTGTACATATTGGCCTGAATTGCAGGACAGCTGATATTTATCAAGGGTAACAGGAGCTTTACTCATTTTCACATTTTTAACCAAATTTTGAAACCTTTTTGTATGCACACATGTTCAGCATATGTGTCTGAGCTTTGAACATTTTGTTTTGAAGTGTATTGGCTCTCATTAGCTCAAGAGTGCAAAGTATAAAACTTTAATAAGCCTCATACATCAAACTTCTGCATAGCAATATTATTATGTAATACGACACATAAAATTGAGAAGTATGTGGTATGTTCAAAGCTTTAAATATATCTGGAAAAGTTATTTTTATCAACTGATAGTTCAAAATGCTCATATGAAAAACTTTGAGAGAGAGCCTCTCAGTGGCCCTAAGGCTGAAATAAGGGCTCTCGGGGACACACATTCTAGCAGAGATTTAAACTGATAGAATAACTTTCACATTCTAATTCTCCAATTTATGCAACTTGGTGTTAATTGTGATTAAGGTTTTTACCTGGGTTGTGGATTGAACTGCTCCTCTTCATTTCTATTTTTACACATTACTGTTTTTGAGTTAGTTTCTTCCTGTTACTGTGGTAACTCAATATATTGATATGCAGATCACACTGACTTGCAGCAAGGTAACAGAAGGCTCTAGGTGACTGGTGTAGATAAATGCAATTGTTATCCTAGACTAGTGTGTTAAAATGTGTCTTAGGAATCAATCAGCAATATGTGGCGGTATCCCTCCTTCTAAGAGAAAGCTGCAAGTGTTAAGCAAATGCCAAGAGACTGCTCCAAAATATTTTTTGTTTAATAACGTCCTTTATAATTTACCATATGTCAGATGAATGAACAAGAATGTGGCAGCATGTTTCAAACCAGTCTGTTTCAAGGATAATAGGGGAAATGTTTTTCGTTTAACGTTTAAGCATAAAAACAATACAATGTGGATTCTGCAGAGACCTAGCATGCCACATCTGCCTCCTGTGCCATTCCCCACCCCCAGAACCATCCTTGCTTCTCCTTGCCTACCCATGTTCTAAAGGGTCTGACAATCCTCTTGAGCAGATTTTGGGTGTGCTGCAGAGGAAAGCAATTTGTGCAAAATAATGCAAGTGCTTGAACATTGTTGACAAACTACGCAGCTAGGGAACAAATCATATTTGCGATACTATTTCTAAAGATTTTTATGTAAGGGTAGAGGTAGGATGAGGCAAGAAGCTCTTAGAATGGTTGAGGTGATATCATTTGATAATCATAAATTATCTTTAGATTTAGCCTTAAGAGGATTGCTCACAAATTCACAAACTCTAAAGATGTTCAGCAAAGTTAACACACCTCTTTTAAGATTAAGAATACCACCACCCTTTTAGTAGAAAAAAGCACTGGAAACACACACACACACACACACACACACACGAGAGTCGGGGGCTTCCGCTTGGCTGCTGCCAAGGAGAAGCAAGGATGGTTCTGGGGGTGGAGGATGGCACAGGAGGCAAATGTGGCATGCAAGATCTCTGCAGAGGCAGTAGCGGCAGCAGGGCCAAGGCCAATTAGGGTTCTAAAGGTCAGCTCCAACATTTTGAATTGTACTCAAAAAGCATACTGGGATCCAATGTAATTCTTTTAGGACTAGTGTTATATGGTTCCAGCTATCGTTCCTAGTCACCAGTCTAGCAGCCACATTCTGGATTAGTTGTAGTTTCTGAGTCACCTTCAAAGGTAGCACATTGTAGTAGTCTTTGCAGGAGATAACCAGAGCATGTGCCACTCTGGCGAGACAGTGCACAGCCAGGTCGGGTCTCAGCCAACGTACCAGATCGAGCTGGTAAACAACTGCCCAGGACATAGAATAAACCTGCACTTCCATGTACAGCTGTGATTCCAAAATGACCCCAAGGCTGCACACACCTGGTCCTTTGGGAGCACAATTACCCCATTCAGGACCAGGGAGCGGGCCAAACCTGCCGGCCCCCTTTCCCACAGAAACAGTATTTTTGTCTCGTTGGGATTCAGCCTCGAATCTGTTGTCCGCCATTCATCATAATAAATGTGATGCACACATGGAATGTGCCCCAGTCCTCAAAAATATTTGAAGAGGTCCTCTGTCTTGGTTGAGGAATGCAGGGCTATACCATGAATGCATTGAACCAAGTCAAGGCACGTCAGGCCAGTCTGCCAAGTGGTGGATTTCCAGTGTCTTTGAAATAGAAGGTTAAATTTTATGTGTTGGAACCATGCACACAGGAGCAATGATAGTGCTTCTTGGTTTGACTGTTGCCCCCACAAATAAAACTGGTGTCACATTTGTTTTGCTGAGTATAAATCATCTTGCAAGCATTGTGCAATGTCCCATGGAATTGTGTTGGCATTAGCTCCATGTCTGGCTTAAAAGCATCTGGGATGTCAGCTACAGACCTCCGGGTATAGGGCTGCATATAAATTCAGTTGTTAATAAGAATAATAATAAAAAAGTAATAATAATAATACAATAACTGCTATACCAGGCACATTGTTTTCTGTTTGCTTTGCTCGCTGGCATGTAATAATTGCTTCCATAAGTGAGGCATTCCTTTCTGGTGAGGTAAGAACATGTAAGTTGTGTCTTGCACCGTTTAGTGAAGTAGTTGCCCTCTGCACACTCATTACAGGTTTCACCAGAATCTTTGCACTGCCTGGGCTTGTGGATGCACCTATATCTTCAGCAGGAAATTGTCTTTTGCAGCTACGAGGCTGTCTGCTGCAGAGGCTTGCCTCAGGGACTTTCTTCTTCCTCAAGAAGTTCTGGGCTCTTGTGCTGAATGGCAATAATAATTATTTCTGCAGTCATTGCTGTTCTCTGAGCCCTCATAAGGACCTTTGCTTTGCAGATGTTAATTATTTGTGCTAGAGACAAGTTAGGGTTTTCCAAGAGCTTCTTTTTGAGCTTCCTGTTGAAAATACTGAAAACAATCCTGCAGCTGAGCATTAGAACTGTAGATGCCCCAAATTCACAATGTTGTGACAAGACTCTACGCCTGCTGCCTCATCACAAGGATGTTCCCAGAACTGGAACAGCTCAAAACAGGGTTTCTCCTGGGATCACATTTTTTGCTGGACTACAGCTCTCATCATACTTGACAATTGGATGTGATAGTTGGAGTTGATGGGAGTTGTAGTCCATCAAAATTTGAAGGGCACCATGCACTATTCCTGCACTAAGGGCTTCTGTTACTTTCCTGTTCGTTGGCTCTGCATAGATATTAGGAACATTGTATATTTCTAAACAATTCTCTCCTGTGCAGTGCAGCACCATAGCAATTTTGTAGCACTCTGATTCTTACTCATCTTTTGTAACTGCTAGGTATACAGTGGTACCTCGGGTTACCTACGCTTCAGGTTACAGACTTCGCTAACCCAGAAATAGTACCTCTGGTTAAGAACTTTGCTTCAGGATGAGAACAGAAATCGTGCTCCGGCGGCGCAGCGGCAGCAGGAGGCCCCATTAGCTAAAGTGGTGCTTCAGGTTAAGAACAGTTTCAGGTTAAGAATGGACCTCCGGAACGAATTAAGTACTTAACCCGAGGTACCACTGTAATTGTATTCTGTATTCCCATTTCCCCCTAAGTTTCCACATTCCCTGTTAATAGGCCTGAAACCCTTCTCCAGGTGGTTTTGTGAGGAGGGCAGATCTAACTTATAAAATACCAGTTGATGATAGCTTGATGGGTCTTCCTGGACTAATTTATTTGTTAATGGCCAGAAGCAAAAGAATCTCATAACTGGGTCTGGATGCCCAAGAGGTATTTGGGCTTTTGCTTTTCAAACACTGTTCCCCATGCCACACCTTGTTTTTCAAGTGCTCTTCCCAAACAGAAATAGCCTTTGAGGAGGACAGCCCAAACCACCCTCTCCATTTGCCCCTCTTTCATTGTGACTGGCTAGGTGTGAGTTAGGATTCAGGATTCAGCCTTTTGTTGCTTTGTGGTGCGTTTGCAAAGGACACCCTCAGTCAGTCAGCTCATTGTACACTCAGGTCAGAGCCAGTCCAGCGGGGTCTTAACAAGCAATTTCCATGTGTAAATGTCATGTGGCTATGAGAGGACACAGAGGACAGCTAAATCCAAGTAGCACCATAAATTAATCCAGTATGTAGTCCAGATCCTCCCATATATTCTAAACATATTTTTGTTGTAATTTCTAAGAGGAAATATTGCCAGTATGCAAGGGTGATTTAGCAAGTTAAATTCCCACCCTTTTGCTCCTGCTGTTGGAAGAGGAAATTGTTTTCTAAGCTCCAAGCCTTTAGGGAAGTTTCTGCCACCCCAAGGGATTTTCCCTGTCTCCTCTTTCTTCTCCCCCCCCCCACAATGCCCCCTGAAATTTGCCCTGTGTGGGTCAAGAGAGCAGCAGAAGAGCGCACAGGGACGTGAGCGGAGGAATCCTTCCATTTGGCAAGCTGCAGTGCTTGTGCAGACAGCATGTTCATGATAGCACAAAACTGAATTCCGCTGTTAATGTGTACTTTTTCCTCAAACTCATAATATATGTGGTGGCTTCACTCTTTACTCCTTGATACTGCCAGATAAAATTTATGTTGCTAAGTTAGTATGCATAAATAGATGAAATGTGCTATTAAAACACTGGATCAGACTTAAATCAGGTTCTTTTCTTTGCCGCTGTTTCTTCTCCTGTCTTTCACATTGCTTACACCAGAGCAACATTTGAGTTATAGGATTTATTCCAAGACTGTCTGCTGAATCTGAAGGCAGAAGTCGTCTGGCATTTATTTTCAGCTGAAATATGTTTGTCTTGAACCAGAGGCTAAGGCTTTGGAATGCTTTGCAAGACTGCTTTGAGGCTTCAGACTTTTTCTCAAACTGAGCTCTTGTCTCTCTAATTTAAAATGTACTTTTGCTAGCAAATGGATATTGTTTTTTGTCGCTGTGACTCTTGGCTGTTAACTTTTTAATTACATTTCAGAAATATGTTTAGGAAATAAAAAATTGCAATTGGTGCTCTTCAGGCATTTGAACTTTCTGAAACCATCTTAAGTAGTTAAATGCCTCTTGTACCTTATTGAACAATAGTTGTTACAACTTGGGAAAGGAGAAACCAGTAAAGAGTCTAAACCATCAGTGAATTATGACCATGACAAATCCCTCTCATGTCACAGTGATTATAATTAGGTCTACTAAACCTGTTGAAACATTTCATATGTAAGTTGATACTGGCGATATACAACAATAATGGAATTAATTTTGAATATTTCCTAAGAATGTTAGATGAGCTCAGCTAGATCTGACCATAAGCCCATCATGTCCAGTGTCATGTTCTCAAAGTGACCAGCCTGATGCCTATTGGAAACTCACAAGCAGGGCATGAATGCAACAGAACTCCGCACATGTGTGATAATCAGCCCATGTTCTTATGCCAATATGCAGAGTTCTGATCAACTTGGGACCAGGGTACAATAAAGATGATGACCTGAGCTCTTATAACCCAACTTGATCACTGAGATCAACTGGAGGAGCACTGCTAGTTGTTACAGAGGCCTGACTGGCTTCTATAAGTTGGGCATCTAGTGTTGCCAGTCGCCTGCTGCACAATATTACTACAGCAAGTTTCCTTCTTTTGACTTTCAGGTGCCTCTTTTATACCAGGAGGTCTTTGCCGCTTTTAAAATTGGTTAGGCATTTACTTCTATGATTATATTGTTTGTAATAATGTTTAATTGTTGTTTACTGCCCTGGTATTTTTATGATAGGTGGTGTAGAAATACTTTTATAAATAAACAAATGGGATGGCGCGTGTGGGGACTGCAGCAAGTATTAGACATTGTTGGAATTTGGGGATGGGGGCTGTCCGGCATATACATGAGACCTTTTGCAATTCTGCAACTATAATTTTAATTGGGACAGAGTAACTCAGAGTAAGATATACACAATCTGTGTTCAATGCTGTATCAAAATCGTAAAGTTCTTACACACTGTGTTCACTGTTTTCTTTCAGAAAGTGTTTTAAACATATGTTTATGTCCTGGAGGGCAAGATTTTCTGTGGTAAGTACCCTACCTAACTTTTGACTTAAGTTAAATGTTTCCAAGTTGTATGATACATAACAGACACATTAGAAATGGCTAACCTCAGTTGATTGTTTGTTAAATTTGCAAACATTAGGACCATAGAAGATTATAACTATGGCATATCCAAATATTCCAGGCTCAAGCACAGTTTGTCTGGTTTGGCTGTAACAAACTGTGATTAGTTGAAAGTGGAAGCAAGTTCTTCGGATCACCTCATGACTGCACTGGAGAAGGGTGGGATGTAGGCTTGTGGACATCTTTAGTGTTAATGTCTTAATGTGGCCACTGTATTTCATACTATTTTGGCATCTTATGTTTCTCAAGAGGGTCTCTGCAAAGCCCCATGTTATAGCTTAGCTCAAACAGCTTCCTCAGTTTCAAAAATGGTTTGCCATTTAAGAAGCATAAACTCAGAGCCCTCTTGGGGGCATAGCAATAGTTTTGTGGTTTTTGGATTCCAGCCAAGTCTGAGTAAATATGAAAGTAATTTTTAATTCCAGTGGTTCATCTTGTTTTAATGTAAATGAGTATAACACTTTATTTTTCAATTAAAACTACTTGAAATATCTTTAATTTCCAACTTATTTTAAAAGACCTGCTTATTGCATATTTTGTTACCATTGAATATTTTAAATATATAAATACTAGTTCTAGCTGCACAACTAAAAACAATAGTTATGCATTTAAAATAACATTGTAATATCCTGCAAGTAAACTTGAATCTTTGAAATAAAAATGTTAGGTATGGTAGCCAGTTTCAAATAGCTTTATGCACAAAGCTTCAAACCGACTAAAGCAAAGCAAAGGCAGATAGCCACAAAAACAGGAAATCCTTTTGTGTATCCTTCCTTAGCAGCCCTGAACTACGTATTAAACTCACACCCTTTTATAAATGACTATTAAGCTTTTCTGTTGAATATTCATTTTCTATGATAAAGTGCCTTCAGTTCTTTTTTTATAAGAATTGCTCACTCATCTAATTCTCTTCTTTAGTTGCAAATAATTTGCTTTAAAAGTTCCTCATAACTGGAAATGGGTTTCTACTATTAGAGGATTTAAGTTTGATGTTAGAGAACAAAATACTATATAAGGCAAACCATTCTAAAAGGTGGGCTTATATAATATATTGAATAGGAGCTCAGAAGAGGTTATCCATTCCATTCAGAAGTACAGAAGGGCAAGGACAATAGGGACATGAGAGGGAATACATGCCCAGGAGCACTGTCTACAAGCAGCATCTTTTTAAGCTGCAAGTGTTCTCTCCTACACCACTGATGAAATGAAGCAGTTGTGGAACCAGTGCAGAAATGAAGAAGTCACCCAGACCTTTTTGTTGGATTGCCAAAGCACAGGAAGCAGATTCTTGATTTAGGGCATGGGTTTTTTTGAGACCTGTTTAGCAAGCCTAGCTTTATTAAGTTTCAAATTCATAAGATTATTGTTCTAGCCAAAAGTCATGACAGACTTGTAGCAATAGCATTAATAAAATAATACAGAACATCCATCCATAAATAAACCAACACCCACAATGAAAAAGAGAGGTTACCAGAGAACTAATAAGCTTAAATCCAGCTTGATTTCAGATTAAATCACCAAAACAACTTAGAGGCTTTATCTAACTCCTTTCCCCCATTATTATTATTATTATTATTATTATTATTATTATTATTCTTTTATTTGCAGCATAGGGGGCCACTCTGTGTGTTATGAAGCTATCATTGTCTAAAAAGAAACCAGACCAATGTATTAAGTGTCCAGCCATATTGCCACAGAGCAGCACAGTTGCTCTATCCAGGGGTTCTTTTTTCAGCTTTGACAAAGCAAGTCCACTAAGGCGTTTGCTTCCAGAAAAGCCCTGCCTTGTCTGTGTTGAAGACTTGCTCTGGAAGGTATGCTTTGTCGTCCAGTAACTGCTTTAGTTGCACAAGGTATGTTTTTGCAGCCTCTTTGCAGATGCAGCCTCCCCTGTCGTTCAGATATTATTCAGGTTGAAGCAGATCTTAAAACTGTTAAGCCAACTTGGGTTGGCTTTAAATTCCTTGGTAGGCCAGTCCCCATTTGTGGTGGAAAGTCTGAAGTGGTCATATAGGCTTGGAACCTTTTGATGCAAGATGCTGCCATCCATAGGAGCACGTTTCCAGTTTATGCCTTCTAGCCACAAGTGTAGTGCTTTCTCCTGTATTCACCAAAGCCTTTTCCTGCACCTCACTGGTCACCTTTGCAGTCAGTGGTGTGCTTGCTGCCACAGCCTCACAGATCTCCTTCTCATGCACATTGAGGGCATGGATGATGGACTAATTACAGCCGCATCTGAGTGCCACAGTACACACAGACATGCCATCTCTGAAGCAGTCCAGTAGAGCCAACTTCTCTTCCAGTGTGGGATCCACCCTCCGCTTCTTGGGTTTCCCATCAGCGGATGATGGTAATGCCTTGTGTTTTGGGCCCACTCTGTGGTCTGAAGCTCTCCAAACACCTCCACAAATCTCTGTGGCCTCCTCCAGTCACCCTCTTCATCTGCCTCTTCCACAGCCAAACACTTTCATGAAGACTTTTGGGATTGCTGGCCATTTTTTATGTCCTCACACCCTCATCGCTCCCCACCCCACCCTGTGTGCCACTTTTGCACCATTTTCTTAGTTTCTCATTGTGTGTGCAATTTTTCGTCATTTTTTTTAAAAAAAATTTGCAACATGTGTAAAGCTGTGAGCACATATTTTAAGTAAGTGTAAGATGCAAGTTACCTGTATTTGTATTCTGTTTGTGTTCTACAATGAGCACCAGTTGTTCGGCCTCTTCTGTTATATTTTAATAGCTAAGCCTTGTCCTAAGGTACAGTATTCACTACATCTTGGAAACATTATCAGGCATTTATATATCATGGGTATCTATTCTTGGATTATTCTGTGGCCAACTGGCCATTAATTTTATTGAACCAGAACCTGATAGGATGTTGACTACAGGTTTACTGTTAACTGTCTGGCATTGCAGAAATGAATTATGCATTCACATATGATTATTCTTGACTGCATAACATGAACTTCTGACTAATAATAAACCAGTAGGCAAATGAAAATGTCAGACTGTATCATTATTTCCAATTCATGATTTGAAGACAGTCTGGAAACTGAAGGCCCTCCTACTTATTGGCAAATGGGTAGCTGATGTGGGGAAGAGGGAAGAAAAGGTGTATAATGGCTATTGTGGGTGGAGGAATTCTAAGCATTAAAGTTAGTAAAACTCAGGTGTCTTATAATGGTTTGCTGTCCAGGCTATTATAAGGGACCTCAATCCACTCTTGAGTCTTACCCATTTTAATACTTAAAATACTATTGAATACAATAAAAGCTTCTTCCTTTAATTTTATCAGTCAAGACAAGATTTTATCAGTTAAGGTGGCTGAAATTTAGGCTATTTAAAGTCATATATGTAAAATGAAATAAATTACAGTTATACAATAAGCAGTTCTGATAAGTTATTGTAAAAAAGGAATTAGTACATTTTGACCTATTGATATGGATACAAAATGTACATTTTGTTATAGCAACCATGAGTGCTTTGCTGGGTATGATGCTCATAATACTCAAATCCCCAACTGAACAGCATCCTGAAAGCTGAACAGCATCCTGAAACAACCAAACAAACAGAATACCTCCTATCTGCAACTTGCGACAAAGCAAGAAGGAGAAAGCCCTCTCATGAGTGTGTGTCTTGTATTTTACCTCTTTTACAAAGGGAAGAAAGGCAAATGCAAGGGAAAAGATGAAGAGGTAAAGTATGTGGGATATAACAATATAGGACTCTGGCCGCATACTGTGCCCTGTGTGAAGGTCTCACCCTTCCCCTCACATTTTAAGAAACACACATAGAGAATCTTGCTTGAAAGCCCCCAAAACTTGAAGCTGGTACAGTGCAAAAATTAAGGTAACTTCAGAAAATAGTTTGGCTATTAAAAGCCAAACTTCATCGTAAAGGAAAGGAAGACTACACCCACTTGATATTGCTACTTGGCAAATTAGAAATAGAAGATTTTATTTTAGGGGATTTTATAATTTATGCAAATACAGAAACTTGTAGGTCTTTGCAATAGTTTCCAGCTGCTAACGCTATATACAGTCGTACCTTGGTTCTTGAGCAGAATCCGTTCCGGAAGTCCGTTCAACTTCCGAAAATGTTCAAAACCCAATCGCAGCTTCTCAGCCAATCTGAAGCCCTGTCGGACATTTGGGTTCCAAAGAACATTTGCAAACTGGAACACTCCCTTCTAGGTTGGTGGCGTTCAGGAGCCAAAACGTTCGAGTTGCAAGGCATTTGCAAACCAAGGTACGACTGTATATCTATTTGCAGGTATTCAGCTCCTAAGCATTGTAGGATTAAACTGGTGGACCAAATGCATGAAAAGATTAATGACACATGTTTACAGGATGTAATGAGCTTTTATCAGTTCGCACAATTATATTTATTTTAAAAATACCTAATCATAATCAAAAATAGGAGAAGATTTTTTTGACTGAAGTACCTTTTTTAAATTATAGACTTAAAAATGCTTGCTTAATGCTGTTATTCAGGGCTGCTAATCATAAGTGCCCAAGCTGCACATTTTTGCAAAGTTCAAAGATATTATCACATGCCATGGTTTAAGCTTCCTGCTTTCAGTAACACTAGATGGAAGGTTTATCACTAGAATATGTTCATGTATTTCTTGGAATAGTTTTTCAAAAGCTAACTTCTTCAAAACTTGTTGATGACTAAATAAAAATCATGTGGGGAAGGGAGAGCTGCTGACTTGTTTAGTTCTGCAGTGATATTTCAGCTGCTGCCTTGGAAGGCAGAGAGACTTTTGCTGTTGTGGGTGAAGCAATTGGCTGGGACAGAGACTTTGACCAAACTGCAAGGGGCCCTGTTGCATGGGTGTAGCTACACTACCACAGTCACTGTCTTTGGACACATCCACGCCATACATTTAAAGCACAGGGCTCCGCCAAAGAATTCTAAGAACTACAGTTTGTTATGAGTGCTGAGAATTGTAGCTGTGTGAGGGGTAGACTTTCAGGGTTTTTTGAGAGAAACATGTAATTTAGCTCTATGGGGTGGATGTCCTCCTGTTCCTTGCTCTCCACCCACCCATACAACTTCACATCTGTATTCATATTGCTGTCACATCATTTTTGTCCTGCACAGTATTGAAGTAAAAGCATGTGGGTTTTGTAGCAGTAAGTAATCTACTCTTAAAGGAACTAAGCTACCAGCACTGACCGGAAGTCCGCAGTAGCTGGTGGAAGTCAGGTATTACGTTTAACTGAAGTGAGCTGAATCTTTAGTTGAAACTGAATTGCCACCAACTCTGGAGGTGGAAATGGCTTCAGCAACCACAGGAGCCTTTTTATGAACTTGCTGAACATGTGTTGAAGTGTCCATTTCCCTAGGGAGCCTGGATGGTTGATTGAGCTGGGCAGCATTATGAAATTATCAGGCCCTAAGTATGATGGCTCCTACCAACCTAGCAGTTCGAAAGCATGTCAAAGTGCAAGTAGATAAATAGGTACCACTCCGGCGGGAAGGTAAACGGTGTTTCCGTGTGCTGCTCTGGTTCGCCAGAAGCGGCTTAGTCATGCTGGCCACATGACCCGAAAGCTATACGCCGGCTCCCTCGGCCAATAAAGCGAGATGAGCACCGCAACCCCAGAGTCGGCCACGACTGGACCTAATGGTCAGGGGTCCCTTTACGTTTAAGTATGAGGGCTCTGAAAAGATAAAGCTTTTTCTGAGAACGCTGAGATGAACCAATGTATTATGAGGTGTTCACTTTTTTATAAAGCTTAATGGGGAAAAGGTGAGCTTCCTGGACTTGTGCAGCTAGGAAAACAAGAATTAACCTTCCCTTTGCAGCTGCAATCTCCAGGAAGATCACTGCCCCACCCTTCAACAAGAGAAAACTCTTTCCAAGTCTAATTGCAGCAGCAGAGGGGAAATTTTGGGAGTGCTGTCTAGCTGGGAAGGGAGTGGTAACCCTTACCTTCCAAGCTGCAACTGCCTACTGTCACCCCACCTCCATTGTAATAAGGCTTTCTATTGTAGCCAGCAAAAGGCTTATCTGAAGCCTAATCGTGGTGCTGGCTCTCTGCAGCTGTCAAACTTCACACACCAAAAAATGCCCCTTTGCACTGCAAGTAAACTTGGGAAAAGGCATTCTGTGGTTCACAGCAGAAGTCTTCTTTCAAACCTAATTTTAGTGAGGGAAGGGCCATGGGGGGGGGGGAACCCAGAAGGTATCAAGAAGAACATTTGCAGGTGCAGCATAGCAATCGGTAAGTTATGCCATTATGTTATTTGGGGGTTCTCCCCCACCCCGAATCTTTCTGGAATCCTTGAGCTTCCTGACAAAAATAGTAGTGTTGCCCTTGTGAAGTTTGGGAAAAAATTATTGTCAGCTTTAAAAAGCTTAATTGCTTGAAACAGATGTATGTTTAATTTTTTAAAATAATCCAAACTAAAATGGGGGGGACGGGACTCTGAATGAGATCAGTTGAAGAATCTGTGGCTATACTAGTACAACAGGCTATACTAGTACAACATTGTTCTGAGATTAATGAGTCAGAATGTGCTCTTTTAAAACCTGATTCACTTATTAAAAATGTAAGAGGACAAAAGAGGAAGTTCATGCAAATTGCAGTGCCTTAGTAATACTAAAAATGTCATACTTAGAAGATCTGCATTTTTTTCTGGGGCACTTTTAAATATTTCCTTTGGGATGTGAATGGAACTACCAAACTAAGCTGATACTCTGACAGGAAAAGCCTTTTTTGTTTTGTTTTTATGATACAAGTTGTGTGTTTTTAGTTAATTGTGTGTCCTGTTTTCATCAAGACCTTGAGTGATACCAGTTCTGAAAGTGTTAGAATGATGTGTTCTGTCTTATGGATGAAAGGGATAGTTATTGCAGCAAGGAACTGACATATTGCTGCTCTGAAACTGAATACCAGAGGTGTGTGTTTGGAACATCTCCCTTTTAAGGGGAAATATTTTCATGGCTGGTCAGTTAATAGATAAATGCTCTTATATCTGCATCAGCTAGTTTGTGAAAAAACTGTCAGGAATAATGCTTTGCAAGAACTAATGTCATTTGGAAAGGCAGTGTAGCTGTGAAAATAATCAAATTTTCATAAGGCAGCTTTTATTATATTACTTAGCATATTACATTATTGGTGTTTGCAGTGTGCAGCTTTTGTCATAGTGCATGTGTTAAATGTACAAAGCAATTGTATGCCAAATTTGTTAAAATTGTAGATAAGTCTTTGTGTGCCTTGTTTTATTAGTTGTAAAAGCTGTAATTGGAATATTTCTCAGATTCATGTGGCCCCATTAAATTAAACCTTCGTTTTTAATAGTTTTAACATTCAAAGGCAAGGGAAATATGAAAAATGGCAGTATCAAAATAAATTATCCCACATGCTTAGGATTTATTTTCACTTCTTTTAATCCCTCCTTATTACCCCTCCCCCTCACAACTAACCACTTCGTTGGACAAAATCCTGTCCTCCCATCACACCATTCACCCTCAATTCCAATATTGCAATAGTTCAGTGTGGGAATATTACAGCAAAAATACCCTCTCAAAAGTCTCCTTTCTTCTTGAAAGCTTTAAGTAAGGTATGCTCCCACTTACCCATCAGTTGATGGGTGGGAACACACCTTCAAATGCTCCCCATTTCTTCAATCTACAGTGGTTTGAAGGAGTTGAAGATGTGTAGCTCAATGAAAGAAAAATCTGGGAGCTTTAAGTTCCTGATTGTTCCTTTGAAGTCCCACCCTTACTTGCCCTACACTGGACAACAGCTAATATTTTATCTCAAGTATATCTTAAATTTAAGTTAACATTTCTCTTAACATGTATAGTGTGACCTGCTCATTTTTAACTACAAGTGACAGGGTTATAAAGACAATAATCAGTTTTTACACTTTCCTAGATACAGTTACCTTAATTTCATTGGGTAAATTGATAAAATAATTGGTTTTAAAAACACCTTTAAAAACTCCTTTAAAAAGCTCGTTAAAACATGATTATAAAATTGTGTTGTTTGTGAGGCTCCGGGGCCAGCTGCCTCACCTGTCGCTATGTTTCTTCTACTCTCTAGCCGATTCCTTTGTGTAAATTATTAAACTAAAATGTCAAAAACCATATTGTATATTAGATGTATTGTATAACTTTTACACAGTTAATAAATCATGTCCAATTTCCCTAATCCGCCCCCATTGTATAGTATATACCTAAGAGTATATTCCCACATTGAACTTGAAAGACAGTGAAGAGGATCCAGCAGATTTTCAAATTTGGCATAGAAATTTGGTTTTCTTTGTGCAAAATTGGGGTTTGAAACATTTTATATCATGCCTTATGATCTAGAAGACTGACCAAACTTCCTAAAATCCATACAACATTCAAAAGGAAAGAATCAAAACTTATGAAAACACCAAAGAGGAGACACAATTTGGGCGCGAAGAAACTAGGCAGAAAACAAGCTAGCAGAAACCTCTGTTCTGTGGACTGCTATGAACACTGAGGCTTTTAACCCTCACTTTTTTCAAGTGCAGCTTCAGCCCTACAGTGTTATTCACCAAAATGAACAGGACCCTGATTTAATTGTAAATAAAAGTTAAAACCCTACTCTTGAAAATTGTTCATGAGAATTTGCAGTGAAGCAAATAGGTATCATTTTCCTGAAATACAAGGCATTATGTGAACTGGGCTTGGAGGCATGTAAAAGGTCACAGTAAGATAAAACTATGTGAAATATGCAGTTTTGGCACTTCATTGTGCATATTTTATAGACAATAGTTTCCCCCCTGCACGTATTTTATAAGCCTTTTTAGACGTTCCATGCTGAAGACAAAATAAATATCTTAGTTGAGATAAGTAAAAGTATTGTTTTAAAGCATTTTTATCAGTTGAGAAGTCTCTAAATAAAAGCAAGACAGTCTCTGCCCACAAGCTAACATTCCAAAAGACAGACAGGACCTTCATAGGCACATGAGGACTCACATTTACAGAGGGCCATCTCGGTGGCTGCTCCCAAAGTGTGCCCCCCCCTTCCACTGGGTGTTGTGGTAGGGTCTTCCGAGCATGAGTGCTGTGCATTTTTTCTCTCTTTTGACATTGTAACTTAAATGGCTTTCAGTGTTGCTTTTAATAGGGTTACACTATATATCCAGGCATCCTTCCACTTATGCGTGTTCTACTCTTGTGCAACCATGTATACATGCTGCGCTGGGGAATGAAATGAAAAATGAATGAATGTGTAAGCAAGCAAATAAATAAAATAAAATCTTACCAGGAAATGGTGGGAGAGAGCTGGAGACTTCTTGTGACTCATGAGCCCAAAGAGGATGCCAATGAGAGCGGAGGAAGCCCCAAAGAGACCTGAGGCACAGTGGTGCTTTGTTTAGACTGCTCAGCATCCCTGTCTTAACAGCTGACGTGTGGGGTAGGGCAACAGCACCAGCTGCTTCCTCACTCGTCCTCCAGTCTTTAGCTGACCCCAGAGCTTAAGAGCTCTGGTTGAAGAGATAGTTATGTGAAGAGAGAGAGCTGGAGAGCGTGGAAAGCATGATTTCACTTATGTGCATGGGGGACCAGAACATAACTCCTGCAGAAATGGGGAGATGGATGTATGTATCAAGGGGGAAAGCCTTGAACTAGTCCATTGTCCAAATCCACACTCTTACCGCCTGACTGACAGAATGGGAGAAAATAGAATGATTGACACAAAGTTTGGGGCTGGGAGCAATAGGTTATTGCTGGTAAAAATAGCAGTACTTGGTTATCACAGTTTTGTTCATCTTGGATGAGCACTCAATGAGTGATGAGCTTGAGAAAGACACATCAGCTTTCCAAGAGCTTGCAGCTTTCTCAAATTTATTTAATTCAATACAAAATGCTGCTTAGTCACTTCCTGGTAGAGTTCCCCAGAAGTGTGTACTGGCTTGATAAAGGCCTAAGAGATGCTTACTTGCAGCTGATAGCATCTGAGGGCACCCAGAAGGAAGTAACCAAGAGCTGCAAACTAATTTACTTTGTGGGTACCAGAAAGCTGACTTGGACCAGAGATACGGAACGTGCTCGTAACATAGTATTTATCTTATGAATGAAACTGTTTACAGTTCTTATGTGATTTCTTGCTACAGCCCAGGAGGCAAGTTTTTAGTTCATTTTGCATTGTCACCACACATTCTTTGATGTCTATTTCTATTCAGCTCAGATTCCTGATAATTTGACCAACAGCAACATCATAGAGTTCCTTGATGGACTTCACTGTTTGATTACTTTAAGCACTGTTCATTTATTGTTAAGTTATGCTTCTTGTTTTAACCATTGTCAAATTTTTTGACAGATGAAGTTTATTTTTTTAAAAAAATTATTTTTATTAAAGTTTTAAACAACAAAGAAAACACACCAAAAGTAATACAAAACTCAACAATAAAAAACAAACAAAAAACATAACAATTAAAAACAAACTCTCTTTTCCATTTCCATTTTTAGATTACTTATTTTCTGGACTTTCTCATACCTCCCTCTTTTGTATTCCAATCCAAATTATTTGTCCAGCAGTTTCTTTTCCACTTTTTTAATCCCAATCTTTAATTTAATAAAATGTTAAAATATATAACTTCCACTTCTTTAAACCTAATCCTTGATCTTAATATCATATAACGTTTAAATTTTCCCTTTTAATATCAAATTTCCATTTCTTTAAACATCTTTAATCTTGATCTTTAATCTTAATCTATCATTGACTTTAACCTGTGCAGCTGGAAACCACTTATTTTCAGTCCAACATCACTTTAACATTCCTTAATTTTGCAATGTTTCTGAAGATAGTCTTTGAATTTCTTCCAGTCTTCCTCCATCGACTCTTCTCCCTGGTCACGGATTCTACCAGTCATTTCCGCCAGTTCCATATAGTCCATAAGTTTCATCTGCCATTCCTCCAGTGTGGGAAGTTCTTGTGTCTTCCAATACTTTGCAATAAGTATTCTTGCTGCTGTTGTTGCATACATAAAGAAAGTTCTATCCTTTTTTACCACCATTTGGCCGACTATGCCCAGGAGAAAGGCCTCTGGTTTCTTAGGGAAGGTATACTTAAATACCTTTTTAAATTCATTATATATCATTTCCCAGAAGTTTATAATATGATCACATATGCCTATATTTAGAGGTAGATGAGGTAGGGCTTTCCCCTTAAAACCCTCCAGTAATGGTTCTTCCTCAGTAGTGGATTTTGTTTGTTCGTTTGTTTTAGTTAGTTTTTACTTTTAAAGATTTCAGCCTTCAAATTACCCAGCTCAGCTACTTGGCAAATGTGAATTCCTGGAACCCTTTTTTAGAATATTGATGTTACATCAATGTATTCCAATTCTGTAGTAACGAGGCTGGTTTTAGCAATAAGCCACATATTTTAGTCCACAGATAATTTTCACATTTGAATATTTTTACGAACATCTAGATAGATAGATGCCAATTTTGGTGACTTGTTTCTTTTTAATATTCATTGCTTCTAAAGCTCATTTTTGTCACCTAATTATGAAGATATGCTCCCAATATCTGCTGCAGTGAAGACCGGTGGAAATATTCCATCTACCTGCTTACTCCTTTGTTATAGTTTTTCTGGTTGGGTTCATGTTTCCAATATTTGTGTTCTCTTTATTCAAGACCCCCAGTTTTTAAAAGAAACCTGGTTTTTGGTGGAGGGTTTTTAAACATTTTCTTTGACTCTGCCATTCACCCATGATTTCATTCTTTTGGACTTGCTTGTGTGTCCCTGTCCTCCCCCCCCCCCTTAGGTGTTTTATATGCAATATTTAAAACTCATTATAGTGGTTTCAAATAATGACCACATTTTCTGAAGTAGAACCATCTCCAAAATTCACTCTGTAGAATCTGTTCTACGTTCCTGAGATTCCAGCTTGCAAGCTTACCTAGCTGCACTGGTAGGTTGAATCAAACCACCATTTAAATTACCCACAATTCTCTGGAGCAACACTAGGTTGAACATTCCAGGGCACTGTAGGGAATGTAATCAGTTGCTTTGTACAGGGGATCTATCAGCACTGTTGGGCTCTTGACAGCTGCTTGAGGATGCTGATGCTTGCCCTGTCCTGAAAGGAAATATGCCTGGCCTGGATTTCCTTCAGTTTTCCACTTGTATATAAGTCTGATTTGAAAGTCTGATGCATTGTTTTGAGAGGTTGAAATTGAGGTTACAGTTGTGGATGTGTTAATGATAGATCCTGTATTCTACTATATGTGACCAGTGGTGCATAGTATGAGATCTTGATTTTTATCTTTTAAGAACTTTCAAATATTTTTTGTTGATTTTCAATCTCCCCTTACTCTATTCCACTCAGATTCTATTAAGGGGGATAGATTTGGAGCCCTTTGGGTGCAGGACCTGGAATGCTCTCACCAGTATAATGCTACCTACCCACTAAGCAGAGATGGTTGGGGGTGGACATTTTATTTTTATTTTCTGCACTCAGGTTGATACTCTGCAATTTGCAGCAATGTATGTTCTCTTGGGGTAGGATTCACCTAATACCTTCCATCATCCGAAGACCTGAGCAAGGAATTCTTGCACAACAGGTCTTTCCCCCCTATCCTTCCCTGTCCCTTCTGAAATTGGCTTGGGGCAGGCAGGAGAACCCCCAGAATAGCATGCTGGGAGAGGAGAGAGGGGATCATTCAATCTGGCAAGCTGCAATGCTAATGCAGATGGAATGTTGGTAATAGTGTGACATTGAATTCCACCCTTGGTTTCTCTGACAGTGATTGCCAGGTTCTTTGAAGTACAAGGCTGCTGTGCCTTTAATAGTCACATAACTGGGAATTAAATTTTCCCCACCTCTATAGCATATGAGGAGAAAAGTGCTGCCATATAGGATTAATTGGGAAATGATTTGTTTGTTCACATGGTTAGAATAAATTATGATTCTGCCATAAGAATTTTCACAATAGTACTTCAGATTTTGAAAATATATTTTCATTCTTTCCACCCTGACTAGTGGGGGTTTCTTACAGAGAAAGCTTTACAAAGGTGTGTAATTAGGAGGCAGTTGAGTCTTGATGCTTATCTTTACGTGACCATATTGCCAATCACTCCTCTAATTGGTAATGTGAGTTCATCTGAATACAGCTACTGTCAATGTTGTCAACTGAGTGGTTAAACTTGCATGCAAATGCATATGCAACTGGTTGATATGAAAAGGCCCTAGTTAAATTTCTTAAGAAATTATCTGCCTGTACAAAGCTCTTCACCTGACTACTAGTAATTATCTATAAGTAGTCTGAGTAGAAGTATCAATTTTGAAATTCTGAATTCTGGATAGTACTATAATGTGTGCTTCTACATATGAATGCCTCATAAATATTTCCCAAGAGCAATTTATTTTTCTAATTAGCTGGAAGAGTCTCACTTTTTTTTTTTACACATTGCTTCAAGCAGTTTTGAATAAATCAATTCAAACACACAGCTGTTGTTCAAAACTTCACTTAAGTTGCTGTAATTCTGAATAGCTTATTAGGAATGCTTCCTAACTAGTCGATTTAATAATACCATTTACAACATGGTCATAAAATAAATTAAACCAGTCTCTAAACTTAATGGATAAAATAGAGAAAGGGAAATTGTCAGGGTCTCTGCTTGTTTTGATAATAGACATTGCAATATTCATGGCTTATACAGAATATAACTTATACGAAGAAATTACTCTTGTCAATTTTCTGAAACATACCATTTAGGAGGATAAAAGAATATAAATGTTAAAAAGAGGAGCAGATTTTTAAAATAGCTTCAACAATGTTATAGGGCATGGTGTGAAGGCCCATGTTTTAGCAACCTTGCTGATGCTATGCAGATCTGGATCTGGTCAATGCCTGGATAGGAGACCACTTGGTAACCTTATGTATACCATCATGAGCAGCAGAAAAGATGCCCAGCCAGAATTATTTACCTTCACGTCATAGGTTTGTGTGGATGTCTTTAATAAAATGTGTGTTTTAAAGAGCCCAGATACAGATGTGTAATCTCAAAATGCTCAGAGTGCTGAGACTATGACAGACACAATTGCAGAACATGGACTTCTTTCTGTGCTGGTGAACAGGATCAACAACCTGCTTCCGCTAGGTAGAATATGAGCTGCAGAAAGCTGCCTGTAGTCTCAAGCAAAGTCCTCTACTTTTGTAAATCAAGGGAGGGGGTGTCCTTGGCCAAAGTAATAGAAGTGGTCAGATAACTGGTCTGATAACCTTATGCTTTGGGGTGGGGGGGAGATGAGCTGAATTATGTGCATGGTTGCTAGGCCTTCAGCAGCTACAGAAGATTATCAGATTCTCAGCCTATACAGGTTGAAGCTAGTTGGAAAATTTATTCTACTGCTCCACTGTTGTCATCTCCTTCTTTCTTTTAAAGTAACAGAGGTAACCAGAATAACCATTCCTGCCTATTTTCTCTGTGCATGAGCAGCCTGGATGTGAGGGTGGTAGCTGAGTAGCCTTTTGTTTGAAGCAGGGTTTGCCTTGACCTCTTGATGAGGTTCTAAAATTTGTCATCAACCCCAACCCAAATTCTTAAGAATGTAAATAAAATAGTCAACAAATATCAATATATAATCAACATTTATTTATCATCAATCCTTACTAGGAATAATAAAATGTAAAAGACAAGGAAGCAAAACAAGTGAAAATAATAGCAGTTGTTGACTAAATTATTCGACTATCTCATATTGTTGTTGTTTAGTCGTGTCTGACTCTTCGTGACCCCATGGACCAGCGCACGCCAGGCACTCCTGTCTTCCACTGCCTCCTGCAGTTTGGTCAAACTCATGTTGGTAGCTTCGAGAACACTGTCCAACCATCTCGTCCTCTGTCGTCCCCTTCTCCTTGTGCCCTCAATCTTTCCCAACACCAGGTTCTTTTCCAGGGAGTCTACTCTTCTCATGAGGTGGCCAAAGTATTGGAGCCTAAGCTTTAGGGTCTGTCCTTCCAGTGAACACTCAGGGCTGATTTACTTAATATCTCATATTAAGCTTTACTGAAAATGAAGTTGGGGAACACAATGATACTTACATGAAGTTTTAAAATTTTCTTTGACAGAACGTGACACACAATGCCTACTGATCCTGATGCCTGCCATTGAAAAATCATCTGTGCATGCTTGAGTTTTAAGGACATGTAAGTGAAAATATTTTAAAAGTAAAATTTTAGAGATTATTACTTATTTTCCTTAAGTTTTCATTATAAACATAGATTCTGGGCACACTCTAGCCGAAGTCCCATCAATAGGAGATGCACCAATATGCTTGAAAGTTTCTTACTGAAACCAATAAGATTTAATGTAGATGGCCTGTGTCCTACGTTAGTAAAATGTTAATCTTTTGATTACATTCCAGCAGCTGTTTTCCTAAACTAGGACAGAAATCAAAAAGTTTTTAACTGCTCTTGCGTGGGGCTTGATTTTTTTCTTTTTCTTAAAGTTGGGCACTGTTATATAGTTCTAATAAGTCTTTGACAAATAAAATTATATTGTAAACCACCATATGATCTTCAGATGAAGGGCAGTATAGACATTAATTAATTAATTAATTAATTAATTAAATGGATGATGAGAGGGAAAATGTTGCAAACCAAAAACTCACTCCTAATTTTAACATATTTGGTGAGACCACAGGGAGTATCCTATTATTGAAATTGTAATATGTGATATGTTCCTTAAAGACTACAGGCACAGCTAATTAAAGTTAATAAATAATAGTGGTAATAATATGAACAAGCCCTGAAAAAAGTTCTAGGGCCAATCATAAATGTAAATAAAGATTAGAATAATATCTGGACATTCCTAAAATACCGTATTTTTCGCCCCCATAGGGCGCACCGGCCCATAAGGCGCACCTAGTTTTTTTGGGGGGGGAATAAAAAAAAATATTTCCCCCCCAAGGCGCGAGGCTGGGGCGGGGGAAGCCCAAGCTTCCCCCGACCCCAGCCCCCAGAACAGGCAGCTCTGCGCAAGCCGTGGGAGCACCTCCCGCAGCTTGCGCGGAGCTACCTGAAGCCCCGGCGCGACTGCTGAGCGCGCCGGGGCTTCGGGATAAGAGGCAGCGCTGCACAAGCTGGGGGAGCCCTCCCGCGGCTTGCACAGAGCTACCCGAAGCCCCGGCGCAACTGCTCAGGGCGCCGGGGCTTCGGGGTGCAGGCAGCTCTGTGCAAGCCGTGGGAGCCCGGGGGGAACTCCCGCGGGCTCCCACAGCTTGCACAGAGCTTCCTGGAGAGGGAGAGGGGTCTGTGCGCACCGACCCCTCTCGCTCTCCAGGCTTCAGCGAAAGCCTGCATTCGCCCCATAGGACGCACACAGATTTCCCCTTCATTTTTGAAGGGGAAAAAGTGCGTCCTATAGGGCGAAAAATACGGTACAATTTTTTCTACTATTTGACTGGTTTTCCTAATGTTCCCATGCTTTTTTGTGTTATGTATTTTCTTCGGTGGTCAAAATGTTCCACATACATTAGCTTGAGATGCATCCTTGAAGCTGTGAGATAGTGTGTTGCTTTAGACCACCTGGCAAGCTGATGGCTGAAGAGAGATTTGAATTAGGGACTTCTTAGCCCACAAGACATTACAACAGGAATACAGAGCCTTTAGATGTTTTGGACTCCAACTCCAGCCCCAACCAGCATGGCCATTTGGTTTGGCCATCCCCGCTTTAAAGTTTCACTTAACAATTTTTTTCCTTCACTGCATATATTTCTAATCTAATCATCTCACTAGTACAATTCATGCATCTGATGAAGCAGGCTTTAGCCAGTGAACCCTCACACTAACAATAATGTAGCTCATCTTTAAGTTGCCACAAGACTCATTTGTTTTATCAGACCAACTCTTCCTGAATTTCTATCCTCTGACAGTATTGTTTAGGAAAAACACTTATCAGCTATTGAAACTTAGCTTTGAGAACTGGGGTTTTATCTTAGTAGCAAGGTTTACCAGCTGCTTCTTGTGCTGGGAAAAACACTTATCAGCTATTGAACCTTAGCTTTGAGAACCCAGGGTTTTATCTTAGTAGCAGGGTTTGGCCAGCTGCTTCTTAATCTCTTCAGGTGGCAAAAGCCCCTCTCAATTCCATGTCTTTCCTCTGAGAAGCCCATGATGTCATTCCATGCTTGTGTCCCTCAAACAAACCTAGAAATTAGAAGCTGAGAATCTTTTTTATGTGGGTTATAGATGCAACATGTTGCCCTTCAATTGGAGTATTAATTAATATTAGTGTTAAAGACAAGTCCCAAAACAGTATCTTCTATGCAGAGATTGTATTTGACCTTAAAGAATCCCGGAACATTTAAAGAGCTCTTGCAAGCATAGCAAACCACTTGAGCAAGACAATGACACAGTACAAATAGGCCTGTGTATCTGATTGTATCAGATGCAGCAATAAAAGCTAGAAATATTGCACCTGTATTGTGCCTCTTCTGGAAGTCACTCCTGATACAACTGCTGAGTGCAACTACTTAAGCGCTGTGATATGGTCTGACATTGGGTTGTTTTGTGATCAGAATATCACCAGTGAAGACTGTTGTTTAAATAGCAAGCTTTTAAAGTAATTCATATAACAAGGTATCAGGAAAAGAAGTGTGGCACTTTGATTTACTAGTTAGTGGCCTTTCTCTGACATCAGTTAATAGGTGTTTTAATTCCCCATATATGATCAAAAATAAGAAATTTAACTATGTATGTATTACTTTTTAACTGCAGTGAATGGGTAGTATGTTGTCTGGTTTCATGTGCACAATCTGTGCAGTCATTGTAATTATTTTTCTAGCTTTGCAGTTTCAAAATCTGTGCTTCAGCTTAGCTGCTTTGGCTCAGAGTTGGCTCTAAATAGTAAGTTCCTTTACAGATTGCAAGAAAACCTGTCTTTATCTGGGTTGACCTCTTGATAATCATCAGCCCGATTAGTAATACCATTGGCACAAACTACATAAGAGGAGGCTTTCTGGCTCTGATCAAATGTCCATTTAGTTCAGCATTCTGTTTCGCTCAGTTGGGGACACGAAGGCAATAGCCCTTTCCCATTGCTGTTCCACAGCATGCTTCCTCAGATCCTGGACATGTTGTCATGGATAAAGTACTCTACAATAAGGGTTCATATATAGTAATAGTCAAGTACCAAATGTGAACAAATATTCAGTTGTACTCAAGAACCATATATATTAAATGGAATAAACAATGTGACTCATAAGACCATAAGACTCATAAGACCATGAATAGTATATGCATAATGGTACACTGATTATTACAAGTGAGTGTTTTCCCAACATGCCCCAGTGATCTTGAGTCCTTGGGGGAAAATAGTTTCAACAAACTTCTTAGGGGAAAGTGTTCCAATTCTTCATATGCATCAATGGCCAAAATTTTTAAAATATATAGTGTTTTCACATTTTGGGTCTTTCTCATGATTGGGCATGATACAGTGCCTTTAACAGCAAACTCAACTAGTAAGTGGTGACACAATTGTAGTCAAAACCGAGTGTGTGTGTGTGATTGGCATATACACAGGAGTGTTCATGCTCGTAAGAGCTGTCTGGGTGGAGAACGCCTGCAGCTTCCCCACCATGGCACTCTCTACCACCTTCCACCCAAAGGTAACTGGCTGACAGCTGTTCTGCTCCAAGCTTCCCAGTAGGTGGGTTGCTTACTGGGAAGGGCATTTTGGCAGGCTGCTTGCTCAGGAGCCTGGGAGATGCTTCACTCCAGTATTGCCTATCAGTTTTTATTTTAATTGTTTCAGTTTGGTTCACTTTGCAATAAAAGGAAAAAGACCTGCCTAAGGAATATTGGTCACTTCAATGGAAGCGATGTCACAAGTCATAGCTTTGGGGAAATGTAATCCAGTCAATGCAATCCAAGTATAATTACTGTCTCCTCCCTCAGGAAATGTGACCATTGTTCAAGACTAAAATCTAATCAGACTAGTGAAAGAGTGAAGAATGCTGCCATATATCTGCAAAAGAAACAGACCCACCCCATCTTGCCATGTGCTTCAGAGCTATATTAAGCAAGGCTGGTCAGGAATGGCACCTCCCTGATCCAATCAATTTTTGAATTTGCTTTGAAGCTTTTGTCCAAAAAGGTACAAAAGCTGAGGTCCTGATCCCACTACTTCTCCTGATTGCTCAGTTCCACTCTCCTTGAAATCGCTTGCTGAAAATCCCTTAAATGGAGGTCTAACTCCATTATCCTCCTCCGCTTTCCCCTCACTAACACTGGTTCCTGCACCTCTGGATGGTCACTTGCTGCTTCAAGTGCAGCTGCTTCAGAAGCCCTTTTCAGGAATTTGCTTCAGTTCCTTCTTCTCTGGATCCCTGCTTGCTGAATCAGAGATCTTGGTTCCAACTGCTCAGAGGTCCTTTTCAGGCCTCCTGCCTACCTCCCTGTCTCACTGTTTCCTGCCTTACCTGGAAGATTCAACACACACACTAGTCCTCTTTCTTCAGGATTGCCAACAGTGTTGGAAAGGTAAATTTTGTTTGCTTTTCTGTCTTCTGGAGATCCTTCCCCTATAAATTGTAGCCTCCACATCTGATTCCTCTTCCTATGTTTTTAGATCTATTTTTAACATCCTACCTTGGAGTGTCTGCATGCCTGGGTCCTTACCAATTCAGCTGTGCATTGCTGAGACCTAGTCTTCAAGGTACGCCTAGAGAGGAAGAGCAGGCTAGTGTGGCTTTCTAAGCAGCTCTGAACACCTCTCCTCCCCTTCTCTTATACCTTCTGTGTTTGTTTGCTTTGTGTGTTTGTGTGTGCTAGTTTAGTCATGGTTAGAATTAACTAATTCTCACATACCAAAGAAAATGCACTTAGCAATCCCCACTGTCAGAGTAGATATGTATTGTTGCTGAGCCCCACTGAAATGGAAATGTGTGGGTTTTCTTTCTTTTTCTGTCCAATAATCATCCCCATAACCTGTGTAAATTAGTGGGTAAATCTGCCAAGATGCACTATTGCCTCTGACTAAATGCCTGGAACGTGTGTATGTGAAACACACGTCTTCCAAGGAGGCTTGCTAACAAGGTCAACATGATACAAATGTAGTGCTGGAGCCAACATGGTGCTCCTGTAGGTGTTTG